TCATTTGCTCAGTGAAAGTTATAGATGTACCTTTCCCGTTTGTAGATAAATAAGTAAGATTCCACCGGGGTCATACGAGTTTAAAAAAAGGTTGGTGAGGAAATGTTACCTCACATTATTGATATATGACTAAACGTCCCATCTATTTAATATTTATAGAAATTGTTTTCCATTTGCGTACAACTGAATGAGTTCCATTGGACTCGGTGGCAATCAATATATGAATCAATCTCCCCAAATTGTGAAAGTAAATTTTGTTTATCACAAAGCACACACGTTTGTTTGAACCTAGATTTTCTGTTTACGCTGAGGTAAGTTGTTTTGAAAGTGGACTAGGGCGATTATTTAATTTTCTTTGGCAGAACGCTAAATAAAATGCCGTACGTATGGACTTTCTATAATAATAAATATCTGGCGACCGTCCAATGTTTTGTTACAATACTCTGTACATGACGTAAGTCGCTACCTGTTTAGGAAGATTGCATGACTTCTGTTCTGGCCCACTTAGCAATGATACCTGCCTTATTGACAAATTTGGATACTTAACAGCGTAGACTAAAACCGCCCAATTACGCTACTACGTGATTGTGACGTGGAGTGGCGTAATTCTTGGAAGACGAAGTCGGGTGGTGGTCAGGAGTGCAGAGGTTGTCACGTCATGCCCACTAAAATTATTTATATTTTCGAAAAAAGAAGCTAAAGAATATTCAATAAGGCGAGGAAGGCTTTTTAATTATTGTATAAAAAAAAATTATTTTGTTTGAATCTGAATAATCGAAAATAGTATTATCCTTCGTCATTATAATTAATATTTTCAGTTACTTTGCTGGAACCGACAAAAATTACTAATAAAATACAGCGACGTCCATTGAAACATCTGAGGTTTTAAAGCTACCAAAAATATATTTTAATAGATGAGACCCGGATAACGAAGGAATCACCTGTTGAACTGCGTATTAGTGCTATAATTATCTGAGCTACTGGGAAATATGTTATGTTTAATAGAAACGAATACAGTCATAGTCATTGCGACTATTACGTTATAGAAATGTTCTGCGGAATACATTAGGCCTACAAATATAGATTATTCGCCTACGGAATTTTCGTCTTTCTTGTATCAGACCAGGCAATGTAGCTGATGCGCATTAGTGACGTACGAACCCCTCGAATTCAAAAACATGTTTTGCGCGAATTAATATTTCTACGTTAGGCACCACTTCCGCATTATTAATTTGTTTTCATTGGATGTTTACGTTTTGAATTTTTCATGAGTACGTACTAATGGGGTACATGGCGTTCTATTTAGTCAAAACAGAAATGATTCTTAGAACACAATATTCCCGATTTACTAGTTGGGGTATGTAATATCAGGACAAAAGCATTGTGAAATAAATTGTTATGTTGAAACTCTCAATTTTAAAACATTTGTTCTGTTGTGATTTATTTTGGTACAATATAATAAATATTATATTAGCTGTAATTGCAAGAAGTAAATACATTTGAAACTGTTGTAATATAGGAAAGGTCAAGACATCACTATAAATATCTGTATTAACTGCATATGTAAATATTAGTGTTCTATTTTTAGAATTTTGTATTCGACCACACAGGTTGTGAGGTGCGGCACCCGCTGTTTGATGTGGGCCCTACAAATTTCATGGTTTATTTGCACGAGCAAGTAATTACAAATACATGAAAAGGCTTATTCGGCATGATTTTCTGTTTGTTTTCTTTACTACCTTTTTTATGGGAGTCGACTCGACCTTACAGTCACAATGTAAAAAAAACGTTCAAGTGTTTTGAACTTGGGCAAAAAGTTGATTACGATTGTCAATAGGATACCAACTATCATCTTTCGGCCCTATAAAAAGATCACCTATGTTGTTCTGCCAATAGAATAATTTTCTCAAATTATCACTTGAAATTGAACCTCGCAGTAGCGCTCGTCAGGTTGTCGTTTCAAGTTACACAACGAAATTTACAGTCGTATGCCGTTCTGTTACTTCTTTGCAATCGATGACATATGTTAAACGTTAAAGTACAGACAGTTTTATAGTATTTGATAGTGAAAATAATCATGTCGTTGATATGACATTGTCCTTATGGCCAAATCTAGATTTATTGCACGTATCGGTGTGAGGAAACTTGAGCACTTTCATTCCGAACTTTTCGAAATACTTTAAAAGAAGGTTTTGTTCTCCGAATGTGGCGATTGTGAACCTGCTTTTAAAAATGGCTGTTTTTTTGGCATGAAATATTATCTTCAAATTTTGTTCAATAAAACGGGTGAGCCGTTTTGTCAAACTATCGGAGGTCTCGGGTTAATTCTATTCATTTTCATCTGAGATCAAAAACTTTCCAGTACAAAAATATTGCTAATATCTGTGTGACAATGCAATTTTTGTTTGTACTCAAACCGTGATTCACCAAAAAAACAAACCAATCTTCAGTTAATTAAAAAAAAATCTGTATTAAATATTTCATAATCAACTTATAGACAAATACTATCTACAAATGGAAGGAAGGAAGTCCTCATTAATGCATAATTTCATGATGGGAACGTGGATGCGCCCATGGTACATTGTTATTAATGAATACGCGTTACTGAGTTATATTCCATGGCATGAGTTGGCTAAATTTAGAAACATATCACGTGTTTCTATAGATTTTTGTTATATTTTCATAACGACAGAATGGTCTACTGATTCCTAACTACAAATTTTTTAATAAGATTCAAGATTCGTAAGAATTTCTTTGTTCGATGATAAAAGATGTGAACATACACGATTTGAATCAATGCGATCAGGTTAAACATATTTTATTACTGATATATTTAGGAAATATTAAAATGTTATCAACATAGGGTTGGGAAATTGGTCCTAGTCACAGAAACTTCAATTCACATCTTAGTATATCATGATATCACAGATGAATAGGAAAGCCTACAAATCGTTACACAGCAATAAAGATCAGTTGCCCATGTAATCCACTCAATTGATGAGCCGTTCGATCAAGTGAACATTTTTTGGATATGTGTTTAAAAGATGAACACAAAATTAAGATTCGTAATTGTCAAATCTTAATCTGCAAAACAATCATACGTACTGGTTTGTATAGTGATATATTTTGAATAAAAAAAATCATTACGTCATTGACAATTCACGTGTTCACAGGTCGAACCATACCATCATTTTGCTTACCCATGCGGTTATCCATACCGTCCAAAGTACGTCGTTAATATATCAAATGGGCCAATAGAAAGAAGAATCTGCAGGATTGCAGAACGCCGGGATTCAAATATTGTCATACTGGGCGGTGGACATGTGATTGTTACATAACGTAAAAATCGATGTTAAAACGAAGTAACCTTCGGTGTATGCTGTGTCACGTCCGATAAAGCCATACTACCACTTCTCCGCAACGCGATTATTCATAGATCATAGATAACGTCTTTATTTTTACCACTATTCTCTCTCGAGAGTGAAACAATGAAAACATGTTTTTTTTTCTCGTGATGGCATGCGTGGTGTGCGCAAACACATCAAATAGACGTATCCCAGCAGCAGAAATATACACATACTATAAAATATACCACGAGTGTGTCTGAACATGTAACAGACAAGCTTTGTCATAAAAGCAGACAAACAGTATGATGTGTCTCTACGTTTACTCAGTACGAAATAAGACAAAATAAACTCGTTCTGAAACGGATATAAATAGTGAAACTGATGATTCCCAGCACAGTTGAGAAAGAATTCTTTGAGAATCGGACAGGACTGCATTGTAAATTTGGACGAATGCTTTTTGGTAACCTGGGATAGAAACACTGATAGTAGTTAGGCCAATCGGAAATATAGTTAACAACAACATAGCCTGTTTGAATGTTCAGTCAATAACTAAACTTGGGAACTTGGAACCTAATTTTAGTAACATGAAGCATGAAGTTACCGAAACTATCAAATATATATAATGCTATGAAAGTGTTGGCAGAGGAGGATTTGTATATTGCTTCTGGTCAGGCTTTATTTATCGAAAGTGGGGTATCGTTTAATCAGGATGTTTAAGCATAATCACTAGAATGGGGTCATGGTATAGCAAATCCAATGAGAAATCAGAATTATAATAATATTTAAATGTATGGATCTCCGTTGTATCAAACATGAGTTTATCAATATTTGCGGGACAGCTATCAAATTTGACAACGGGAATCGTCAACTCACGCCGGGTTATGTATGAAAATCTTAATCCAATCCAAAATAAATAAACAGTCCTAATGCTACTTTTCTGAAACTCAGTTGAACTACATATTAGAGTTTGTATTGATATGCGGAGAGGAAGTTATTTAATTTTACTTTCCAAACATCGCACAGTGGTATCGTGTTTGGAAATAAACCAAACAAATATGTGCGAATTTTTACTTTTCCTTTAGTTTTAAAATTATGAGATGAACATATTCCACGGTTACAAATTCCACGAAGTTCAATCTCAGCTCTGAAGTTTTTATCGGAAACTCGCAACTTCAAATGTTTCCGATTCGACGAAGGTGATCGTTATCTCTATTGTTTGCTCACAAGCGGTCGAATGGAAGCAATTGTTTGTCATGGAACGGACACACACGCTTAGCGCGGCCGACGTCGGCTATTGAAAGTCACTTTCAATCTCGTTATCTCAACGGGAAAGATAAGGAAAAAGTTCAATGAAACCGTTCATTGGAAGTCGTGACTGATTCATATAAAGCGTTTGTTACAGCAGATGTCTTCATAATTGCATTCCCATCGACAGCGTGAGAAAGTATTCAGACATGCGCTTGGAGAGGATTAATTGGGTAATAGAATTTTGAGAATTATTATCGACAATACTAGAGATATACTGTTGTTGTTCAAGATCTTGTTGGTGTTTATTGTTTATATATATCGTACAATAGATGGAAAGGAAGTTTAGTATATAAGTATAGAAATTATAGTAATAATATGCTTTAAAACCTAAATATATCAATTACCTTTGGATATTGCAGAAATATTACTTACTTTATATATATATATCATAAAATCAAGATGTCGGATTCAAACAGCAAAGTGTTTATTGACCACAACAATTGCCGCGTGTTACCAGCAAAAGGTGGATGCCAATACAGAGCAACTCAAATTTGGAATGAAGTTGTTCGTTCCTTCCGTACACATATCTGCTGCAAAAAGCATCGTCGACTGATGAGAACTTACAATGATTGCTTCACTGCTACGGCAGCAATTGACGTTCTTTTCGCAATTTTGAAGGCAAACAAACAATTTTTTGGGGAAGTCACAAGAATTCAGGTGGGAATTGTTAAAACATCCTTAATGCTAAAATTATAATAACAATTTATTCTTCGATTTATTTCATCATTATTTTGATTTCCTTCTTTTCAGGCTCTCAAACTTATGCGAAAGTTTCTAAAGAAGCACATCATTGAGGATGTTAACGGAAAATGGGGGACTGAAGATTTCTCGGATGGCGGTCGATTATACAGGTTTTTATTTATTTACTTACACACAATTTCCGCATGAGGGCAATCATCAGATCTACAATTTGCTAACAACTTGTTTACCATTATAACAGATTTCCAAGCGATGACCGAACCAAAGAACATTCCTTGCCGTCTTCAAAAAGAAGATTTACTCTCACTACCAGTGATATAGCTCGAATTAATTTACAGAAAAAACACATAATGCCAGAAAGAAAATCTAGTTCAAGGTAACATTTATTCAAAGAGTTATACAAATAGACGAATTCATAGTTCAGTACATAGTTTGAAATCACTGAAAGAATATAAATAACTTATAATCATTTGCATTTCCAGACTGCCTGAACTATCAAATGAACAACCAGACCGAAAAAGAAGAATGACAATATCTGCAACAGAGAAGCCAAAATGTGCCGCAACTACAAAGTCTTCAAATTCTTGCCAAGATAAGAGATTACCAATCATCAGAGATGTTACATCAAGGTGTGTAGATATTTCTAGAAAATGTTTAAAACTTTATGATTTTATTTTATCTTTCCCACATAAACCTAATAACTATGAATTTTTAATTTGCAGAATACCACAATCTATCCCCTCAGAACAATCAGAACCAAGAAGAAGAATGACAATTTCTTCCGTAGAATCTTCAAGGCTTCAAGCTCTTGCCAGATCTTCAACTTCAAATATCCGCCTCCTAGCTTCAAATACGGATCGTAAGGTAAGATTTCAAAGATGTCGATAATATTATTATCGTACTGGCATATCAGTTAATGAGATATGATTTGTATCTGATCTTGCTGAGATATTTACAAGACTATTTAAAAATAAATTCTGCCGAGCAACCAGTAGGATACACACGGAATTGGAACTAATAACACAGGCATCGGGTCACAAACATTTAATTATGGTACGGTATGTAATTGAATTCTTTGTATTCCAGACAGCAAGGCGTCATTATCCCATCCGAACACCACCGAAAGCAAAAAGGTACTCAGTTCAACAAGTAGCTGAAATTATACCTAAGAAAAAAATTTGTACTGATGGAATTTATATTACCCTCGTTTGAAAAAAAAAACGATGACAGAGAAAATGCGAACAACGATGTCCCGCAATTGCACATGTGACTTTGAAGGAGATATCAAGCGAGTGAAAAGAGTTTGATGATATGGAATCCGAAAATATATAACAATGCGAAAGCGGTCATTATTGAACGCCGGGTAAATTTGAATGCAAGATTTCAAAGAAAATGATCCCTCAATCATATTTTTGAATAAACAACACTACTTTTATAAAACAAACTCGAGTTGAAATCATAATGGGATGTAGAAAAATTGGCCAATTATTGTTATCAATATTATCAACTATTATTAGTTTTTGCAATTCCAAACGACATAATACTTTGTATTACATTACAACAACCTTTTCCATGCAATGAAGAACTTTTGGCGGCCAAATAAAGCATTGCCCAACATTGCACAAGCCATTCAATACGAAGCCATTTTAATATATTGCGTGTTCTGTACTTTTTTTTTACAATATATTTTAATTGATTCATTTAAATTTTTTCGATATTTTATCTAATAAACAAAAATATATACACAATAGCTATACGATTATGTGTCTTCAACTTATGCGGGTTAAGATATTGTTGAATCATAATTTCCGCTATTTCAGGGACAACAGTTCTTACCCATCTAAACTAGGTCAGATGATTTGCGTTAACCAAATATTCTACTTATCTCCTCGGTATATATATATATCAGGTATGGTCGGTTTGAAAAAAACTCAAACTAGAATGTAATTAGTTTTGGAATATCGATCCTTGTTTGAGATATAGGTAAAACTGTTGGACTCTGTTGGGACAGCGGGGTTATTGGTTTGCTCAGCATTCGATTGGGTTTCGCGCTTACATCGCCAGAATTTTCATTTTCAGTCTATAAAGCATGGATTTGTCTCGCATTTCCGCGGCATTCTTGATACGACGACTATTTATAGTGTCGATCCAAAATACATTTTGGACGTCGTTACCTAATGTTCGACTAACCAGGGAAACTGAAATTCTCTAAAAGCGCCATATAACGTTCGGATAAATACCTCCCCTCGATCTGAACTTTTTATAATATATTAAAGGACTAACATTGTTCATCTGCACTCCTCTGGCTCATTCCCATGTTGTTATTATTTTACATTTCTTAGAGATTTCACTGTTTAAATTTTTGTCGCGTTTTTTTTTAATCTAGTGTGATAGCAAAACGATTCCCTTACAAGGCTTACAGACTCTTATATTGAGTCAATCTCTAATTCTAAAAATTAAAACCATTATCACATTTTTGGAATAAAATCGATCACTTTTAATATTTGTTGATTCGGTATTGTAATCCTTTTCATTTGAAAACATCTAAACCATGACTGACATGAAACTGCAATAGCCTGAAAAGCGCTATGTCGGCAACACAAACAGGAGTCATGCTTCAGAAACTGTGTTGCGTAACATGAAGGCGTCACCTTGCAGATATTCATACTGTTCCAATTCATATCTTGCTACAACTAACCCTTCTCCCTTGTTTTAAGGCCACATATTCAGTCGTCTATAAATAATATATTCAGATGATTTCATTTAGAATGCTCATCCTGGAAAATCCTAGTTGGGCATAAAATGTACATATGGATCGTTTTGTTATTATGTTGTTGGTGTAAAAATACTTTTCTTGTAGTCGGTATGGAAATTCTCATTCACGACTGGAGCAATTGTTTGAAATCAGCATTGGCTAAAGATTGTATTTTTCGCTAGAAGGCTATTACTTTTGTGCATTTCAAATTTTCTCTGGGCTTTATGTGTTTCGTTATTGTATGCGATGACGTATTCAAAATTGAAAATTGCGCATCTCGTGACGGTTACTCGTTCGCGTTATTTCGGATAGTGGTTCGAAGTCCTGAAGAATGCGGTACCTGTAATGTACTGTGACAGATTGCATACCCGTACTACGTCGTTTTGGGTTTCGTATTTGAGCATCGCTCTCTTCTTTTCCTATTATTTTCTCGTAAGGTCGGAAATCACTCACCTTGCAATATATTTGAATTACCAATTCCTGACGAACGGTTTTCGCGTGGAATTAAAAAGACTTGAATTTTGAAATAAAAAAGATTCAACAATATTCGATTCCTTTGTGAATGTGAAACGCCGTATGTATATTCCCAGTTTAACATGCGTTATCTAGCACTGTTTTTCTAGTAAATGGGTACTCAAAATACGTACTGCAATAATATTTATTAATTCTTTTAATATTTCCTGACAAAAGCATAAATCGTTCAAAATTGCTGAATTTAAATATAACTTTTATGATAAATTAGAAAATTTCCTGCAATTTACTATTTACTTCCAAATTTCACTGAAATACATTAGGTCTTAAACATAATACAACGTTTTGTTCATTCTCTAATAAAGTCTTCTGATTAGTACATTGCTCCCAGAAATTTTAATTTATGAGGAATTTTACCCAATTGTCCACTTCAAGTGGTATAAATGCATATACATTCGCTCAGAATTGGTGGTTTTACCTTTTTCATTTGAAAATACACAAAAAAGAATGAAAAAAGAAATTAATATAGAAATTAATAAATAATTGTAACGGAAATTGCATGATTTGATTATTTTAATCATTATGAGGTGATTCTTTCGTTTTCTGTCGCCCAAGAGTTGTGAACGTTGCACCAAGAGTTCTGTTACTGATCCGAGATCTTAGTCGTCTTGCTAACGGTGGCGATAGAATACGAATCCCTTGGCACGGACTAAGAGACTGGTTGAAAAATAGAAAGAAATATAATTTATACCCAATGCCTACTAAGGCAATGCAAGTGTTGTCGAAATGTTCTCCGTCAATGAAACCACGCCACTGTACAATCGACAAAGCTATTTCATCTTTGTTAATATGGTATTGATCACGAAATCAACTATGCGATTTATATTGAAATTTGTAAGTTACACTTTTAGCGGAAGGATTAAAGTATTATAAACCCAGATAAAAACTTTACAAATAAGGCCGTGCCTATGATAATTATCTCCCTTGGTTCAAGTCGGCGGTGGAACAAAAGCCAAATAGATAACATACTTACCCAGTCAGTAAGAAAATTATAATCTTATCATAGCGATAATCACAGTGAAAAAAAAAGTGATTAATTAACTATCAGAGCGAATTTTTAATAAGACATGAGAATGTGTATTAGTTAATTGATGATTATATTTTGAAAGTTGTATAATGAAGTTGTGTTGGCGAAGACACGAAATATTTTTTTCATCCATTTCAAATATGTTTTCCACTACAGTTTGCATTCTTACCCGATTTCCAGCAATCATCATAAAAATGGCACTTGATCTTTTTAATGTTTCAGATGACATTTGAGTTTCATTGGGAGTGCGAAGTTCACGCGGAAATCTGTTAATTACAATATAGTTTCATTTTGCGGTTTTGAACACAGCAAATTAACGACTTAATTGATTGTCAAAATCACTCAATTCTAGTCGTTCTCCAACGAAAGTAAATGTTTCGTAAATTGCAACTAAATTGGATTTTGCTGAAATTAAATGAAAAACGAGGTATACCTATGCAGTTCTCAATACAGTTCTAACCGCTTTATCGCAATTTGATATTACCCCGCACTTTTTCGTAGCTATGAAACTCTTCCATATTGACATATATCAAATTCGCAGATTACTTATAAGCCAATGCTATGGCACACTTATGATACTCTTTATTTGCATTTGTGTTGATCAATAATAGCATCCCGTGTTGATAGGAATTATCGGAATGGAATATAAACAATATTTAAATTCGTATAAATAAATATCTGAATACGGCATAAATAAAACTATTTGTTTATTTCAGAAAATCTGTTCAATGGATGAATAATCGAACAGATTAGGTGAAGCAACAGCCAAATTCGGGAAATTCGCTTCAAGTATACCTGCGTAATTCCCGTAATTCGTCTTAAATATGATAGGAAACTTTGAATTACGTTCAATAGTTTATCAATGTAAACTAAAATGATCATCTCATGTTCAGTGAAGATTGCATTCAATAAACGACTTGTATTCAAATTTCCAACTACCAAATTAATAAAGATGAATGAATGGCTACAAAAAGAAATAGAAGAATTTATAAATTACTTACCTAAATAGCCTTTTGTTGTTTGCGAATTTTTCTAATTCCCATCTCCCGTTGATATCTTCTATAATATGCTTATCAAGAAATTTTTGGAGCAGTTTTGCCGCCTGAATCGAAAGCAATTTTACCATGGATATTAGCCTCATCAACACGACCTATATATTTATAGTATCAACAAAGCGCAGCTAAACGAAAGAGGTAGAAATACGTGTGTCAACGTGTGTCAAATGTGTCAACCAAAATTTACAAACTTAATCATTCGTCCAATAAGTTTTGAAGCACTATATCCTACTCTCTAATTCAAACAACGAAAATAGCCCCCGTGGTAGAGTTGTAAATTGATCAACAGCGAAGCAGACCCTTTTTTCATGAGGAATTAAGTGGCAAACTCCACCACAAAACTAAATGCATGCATTTCAAAAATAAACATATGTATTTGAAGTTTCTTTACCTGCTTCCTTGTAACTCTCACAGTGAATGTTTTATTTTCTTTCAAAACTGCGAACATCACATTTACAGCGGCAGTCCCGGTAAAACAATTATGATGAGTTCTGAGATTTCTTCTATGTGTTTTACATTTGATGTGATTACGAAATTCCTGTATTAATTCATTCCATAACATTGTTGCTTTATATTGGCAACATGGGCTTCTCCGTATGACTCCACTGCTTCTCGGCGGTGATTTAACCGTCAATGGCGAAGTATCCATCTTATTAATATTAGTATAAATTTAAATTGTTTGTAGAAAATTTAAACTAAGTAATGGATAGATTGTATAATTAGAGAACCTGATAGTTTAGTACCACTTGTTTTGACACGAATAAGTTATTTTTCAATCTGTAACCACCACACCCTACCCTCCATTACACACAAAAAACATAACATTACCTGCAGTGAAATTCATCGCGAATAATACAAACGGAGATTATTATTTGATTCAGCAATACTTTTGTTCTGCCTGGCACCCCATATCCCATATATCAATTGTTGAAATTGTCCCTTCCCAAATATTTTTGATATTTCATCTCGCATTATCTTTCCAATACAGTGAGATGGTTTCCGTCAATCTAATGCACGTAATTTTATTCTTCTTCTTTTTTTTTTTTCTAATGTGACTGCCTAAATTGAACAAAACAAATAACCTGTCCTCAAATCTGAAGTTCTGGTTCTCTTATAAATTTCTCGAATAAGTTTTAGACCTGATTGGAATTTAAAATAAATTTGCAATTTTGGCCAATTACAATATAAATAGCGAGCCACTTGCCTTCAGATTGTTGCAAACATCAGTGACATACATATCGTTCTCAACTATACTAGTCAACCATTTTAATTGTAGGATTTATCGACAAATGCCATAACAATTACAGAAATAGTTCACCCACAGTCGGATCTCAGCTTGAGGAAGCCATAAACTCTTTTAGTAGACGGGAGCGCAGTGCGACTGTCAATACCCCATGAGCAACGACTTATATGGTATTTAAATCATATCCTTTTGTATCACAATTTTATTCAGAGAAACCGACTGCAGAAAGATAAGAATTACTTAGTGTAACACCCTTTGTTCCGTCATATTTATAATACCAATTCCATTTGGCAAAAAAATATCCGACGAAATTAATCTGTCCACGCGCGTACGATTATGACAAATATTAGCCTATAAGAGGCTTACATTCGGGACAAATCAAAAGAGAGCGAGACAACTAAACAAATGCAAGCATGCAAACAAATGGACGTTCGGAAAATCAAACTTCGAAAAATTCGACGAAGTCCACATTTCTAAAAATGATCTGGCGCGTTCATAAATTTAATATCTTGAGTTATTGTGCCGTTAGCTGATTTTCGCCCTAAGTCAAAACGCATCGTAGTCGGAAAAATTTTGAAAAAATCAATTAGGCGTTTATCACACATTCACTGCAAAAGGGGAGTTATGTAGAAGCATTCTAAGAAGCTAGAAAATACCGGGATTTTGCTTGCTTGGCGTCGCCTACTCAATTTATTGCATCTTGGGTGTGATGGAGGGAATGAAGTTTGAATCCGATATCTTTATTAACCAGGGACTCTAACATAGTTGGGTTCAACGCTCTAACCACGAAGAATATGCGTTTTGAATGCTTCTCTCAAATTGTCGTAGATCAATCAAGAGACAATCTTATGTAACGCTATACTGTACGTGATCATGTTTGTTTTTCGTAGTCTAAAACATATTGCTGGCCATATGTGAAAGGTGAATAAATTTGTTTAACGTTGCAGCATTTCAATTGGAAACGCTTTGCATTGACAGATAAGATAGTTACATAGAAGTACATTACAGACTTATACTTGGATAAGATTTGACTACACTTGAGAACAAAACACTCACCAGATGTCTACTTGAGTGCCATCAATATGTCGTATAAAGTTGGTATTCTCTAATTGTTTATTGGGTCGTATTTCATGAATAGTACAAGATAATGTTTGTAACTTATATGGTGCTTTCGCAGATATCGTGACAGGAGATACACTATATATAATTGTATTTTTGAATAATCCGGACTATATCTGCCCTGGTGATAACTGCCGAACAGTTAGGTGTCCCCATTTATTTTCGTAAACCAAAAATAATACCATCGGTATTATCGTAGACGTAAAACCCCGACGAGTTTCGCATAACCCGAATCTTATGTGACGCTTAAAATGCTATTGTAATTGATAATCGAATAATTACAAAATAGCTTCCAGCCCCCAGCCGCGCCCACATTATTTCCCGTAATAATTATTTATAGAGCTCTGCGGAAATGAAATCCATTCCTAAAATGCTTCATTGTCATTGGACCAAGTTCAAATTCACGACTGGGCAGAATTTGTCCCCCTTAATCTTGGCAAAGTAAATATTTAAACATGTCTCAATTTCAATTCCAAATCGAAATTCCTTGGACGCCAGCTTCCTGTGCTACGTATTAACATTGATCATGATATTCAAATAAATACAGGCTTCATCGTCTACTAAATTTTACTGATACTGACGTTTGACTTGATGCTAGTAACTTAATCCTTGAATTCAGGTATGCCAAGCTTCCGGTTGTGTACTTAATTTAGCCTTGAGAAAAACAGACCTACGGAAAATTAGAAGGCGATCGCTTGTTGGTGAGTGGTGACTCTCATTAATACGAACCCTTTCCTCGTTTTGGATAATTTTGTTCTGTGTGTAAGATAAACTTAACTTCAGTATATATAAGCAAAATAGAATCCAACAATATTCGATCACCTAAAAATCGCGAGGGAATATGACAAGTTAGACATAAGAATTGATACATGATCGCAATCGACATTGGATTAATGTCTCTCTATGGCTATGATATAAGTCAGGTTGGTCCAAGGTTGCGAGGTTGGCGGGCCGAAAAAACTTTTGAGGATGTCTCGCGGGCCGCAGTCGAAGAAAATCATAGAGCGATCGAAAACATCGCGAGTATACTCACTTTACATATATTTAAGAATGAGAGTTTACCGTTTTAATTAGTTTAAAAAGGAACATATGAAGCTTTTAGTTATTTTGAAATTGTTTCCCGAGAAATACCGTGCTATTTTCGGTTTCTTTCCTCTTGTTTGGTTTTGTAATGGCGCTTCAAATTATATTCTTTCGTGACAGATATTATACTTGAAAACACACCAGACACTGTGTTTTAACGTTGTAGTGTAGGGGTTCTCAACCTGGGGTTCGCGAACCCCCAGGGGTTCACGAGAAGATTTCCAGGGGTACTTGGATAACAGTAGAGTTTTCGTGTGTTGCTTTTTTTAATATCCTTTAACAAAGAAAGTAACTATATAAGAGGAAAATAAGTGCCAATTGAAACGGCTTGAAATGCACGGCTTGGCAGTCGTTACAGCAAATTGTTAGTCACTATATATATCACAATTTAGTTTGGTGTCTGATTACTGGGGATTCGCGTTGATTGTTTCGTGACTCGGAGGGTACTTAACAGAGAAAAGGTTGAGAACCCCTGTGTAGTGCATGAGTCAGGAAATACGTTTCCTCACAGTTTAGCTCGGGCATCTTTTTTTACACTCATTGTATGATGAATGATCATATTTAACTAATTTTATTACTTGTAGCGTGAGCAGGTCTGGTGATATCGTCAAAGGACAACCAAGTCCGACTAAGTTGGGACTCCGGACCCAGCTGAAAAAAAAACTGGATCGCGCGGCGCTAAGTCAGCTCTGCGGTTCGTCACAGCTATCTACATGGCCAATGCTTGAAAATAAAGAAGTAGTTTTACTAAAAAAAGGATGTCGTTCACAAATTGGCACCGTCTTGAGGTATCCATTATTATAGATACAACATGGAAATTCCAATTGAAATAGTTCAAAAAAAAATCAAAAATGTTCTGACAATAATTACAAATATCTGCCAATGGTTTATTACACGCTAAAATTGTTCCGCGTGCCGCACGGAATGTGTCGGCGGTTTGGACCATCCTGATATAAGTAGTGGCTTCATTTTACATTCATTTTGACATTTGGTCAGTATATTTTGCAAATATTATTAGGGATCCAGGGGCGTAGCCATAAATTTTCAAATGGGGGGGGGGGGGGGGGGGTGAAATTTTTATTTGCCAAGTTAGATTGAAACAGCTACGGTAGTGGGTCACATCGAACGCTTGAATACGCGTGTTTTTATTGTTCTTGAGGGTGTGAAAAGCATTTCAAGCTACGGAAAATTGCTGGGTATGATACAGAAAAATGATTTTATTTTTTTTACATTTGAAAAGGGGGGGTTTCGACCGCAAACCACCCCCCTGGCTACGCCCCTGTTGGGATCTACTTATTTTCTTGTGTCCTTGCTCGGAATCCGTTTATTGAATATTAAAACCTTTTCGTTTAGCCTCTGGGAAATTTGATAAAACTTCGAAATTTAGAAAATCTCCGGCCATTGTCATTCAGTTCAACCAGTCGTAGACACGAATATAAAATGAAATTGGATATCATTCAAGTGTGTTTGAAGCAGAAATTTATTTCAAATCTTAATGGCACTGCTTCATACAATATAACACAAAATGCGAATAACAGAAAAACATCCTCAAAGTTCGGTACATTTTTTAATAGCCGTCGCTATAGATTTGCAATAGAATATTAATTGCAATCTGTATTTTATGAAAATGTCAAAATATCCACACACGACATTATTATATGAGGTCACATTTGGATCATTGACAGTTCCTAATCTCAACAAGACCGTATGTGTGCTGTTCATATGTGTTATGAGGAAAACATTTGTAAAATCCCATTTCATTTTATGAATTTTTCAAAATATTTGCGAGACTAACACATGCTATTCAATTATACTTCCTCATCCGGTATCTAATATCCCTTTTCAAACATCGAATATGCATGAACAGTACATGACTTACTAATATAGGTGATGCGAGATTGGTTGAATTATCACCGTCTATTCTGTCTGCAGTTGAAGAGGATAATCACAGAATTTTTGAAGTTGAATAAATAACTTATCATTTGTAATATGATTACTTACAAATAACTAGCTATACGTATACAGACTAAATACAACATGACATTCGGGAGTATGTCATTCATTGGACACTGATAAACTTTGTCTCACCATCGTTTTATGACTGGCCGCCCGCGAACACGCTAAAATTGCAATTGGTCATGATCGCTCGATTCTTACGCGTGCTATATATGGTATACGTACACTCGATGAATAAAGTTGATGAGGGTCGTGTAGGACTAACTTCCCCGTGTCGTTGATTCAACATATTGTTAAAAATACTAATGTTTAGCGTTTCAACGGAAAATGCGCTGACTAACTGATTGGGAAATAACTAGTCATTCCTATGTTTGTGATATTTTACCGCCACCCTGCCACTTTTTGCAACTATTTGGCGATAAATGGATCAAAATAATGCTCGAACTGCGGTAGTGCTATTTACAGGTAAGGGAGATTTGATGTTTCAATTATTCTTTAATTATATGTATAGGGAGGCATAACATGTTTCTGATATCCGTAAGAAAATATTCGGCAAATGTTTATTTCATTTCAAATCCCAATCCACAGTTAGTATAATTTGTCCAAAGTAGGAAAGAGTGACCTACATAACGTGTGCTCAAGGTTATTGGGAATTTATCCAGGAAAAAAGCATTGTAACTTTGCTAATGTCGTCTTAGAACTGCGTTATTATCATCATTATGTAGTGCAAATTCAAAATTCCCAAAATATGGTTGAATATCGAGCGCTGTATTTCAATCAAGTAAATATCAAAAAACATCGAAGTTTTTTGGCAATAAAAGCAAAGTCATTTTGAACTGCACAAATTCAGATCAGAGGCTGTTAATGACGTCATGTTTTTGCCAAGTGATCTCCATCATCAATCGTCGTGTAGCTTTATATTATGTTTTCGATTGCCCGTTTCAAAACATATTAGGACACTTTTCCAATTCGAACATTTTCGGTTTTACAGTACTCATAAACGTGAAAGAATGCCAAGCATTGGGCGAATGCGGCTGCGCTGCGACCATAGTGTTGGGAATTTTGCTTACTATTGTCTCCACAGTTCTCGCCATGGTGTTATGCCGGTAAGACAATCGTTTATTTTTATTATCCTATTAACATCATCCAAGAAGTGTGCATGCTTTTAATAACGTTGTCACTAGTTACACCACGCAGCCTTTTGCCAAAATTTCAGCGGACAACACCGTTGCGCGTACAATTCTCTTTACACGATCGCAATTTACCTTTTAAGTATACTCCTTCTGGCAATTTTTATTTCATGTCCCAATCAAAACTTTAAAGTGATTTCAAATCAACAAAATTTGATGGGGTTCTCGAAAGGTCGATTTTGAGTATGTTTGGAAAACGAAAGCGCCACCGGCGTTGCAGATAGGCTCCCCGTGCCAACCCACCTGAAGTAGCCTACGTCTCCCCGTATTTTTGAAGAGACTTTGCTCAAAGCAAGAACACGCGCACTGACTCTGTGAAAGATACTCATCTCTGAGCAAAGCCGTTGAAATATCAGGAGCTAACGTGGTATATTGCACGCCAGTAAATACCGATTGGCGCGCCACACCGACGCCTTCATGAGAACAATTATGGAGCAGATAATTCCGCATGACTGAGCTTCTTGTCGGCAAACTATGCAAAAAGCACTGAACTCTTTTTGTATGTTGCCTAATTCTAATTTTAGGTGATTCACTTTGTGGTACCATTTCCTGTTGGGGTAACGGCAATGGCAAAGGGGTTGATGGTCATCTCCCAATGACATAATTCATCAATAGTTCACTTCTTTTAATTTTCATTGTATTCGAAACACAAAATCCTGCTGCTAGTGATTCACGCTTTCTCTGGAATTTGTTGTTTGGTCATTTCAATAACAACGATAAACTTTTTATTCCCAATATTATTCCACCCATTCACATAGTTCAGTTATTATTGGAATAATAAATTACATACCATTCATTTACTAATTTCGACATTAAAGTAAATATTTCCAAACCTCAGCCAAACTTTAATATATTTTCAGAATATATGGAAGGAATTTCAACATCTTTGGAACGTGTTGCAAAGAACCCGAATCAAGACAAGAAGTCAGTAGAGAAGAAGGGTCGCCGTATTTCACAACTCGCGGGATGAATCGAGGACCTGAAAGCAATGAGCATCGCCGACAGGAGGCGCCACGAGGTACACAACAAGGTCCTCGAGGTGGGAATGTTAACGTATGTTTAGATGTACAAGGGGATCTGGCTTCGCGATCAGAGAGTAATTTTCTCCGGGAAGCTGTTTATGGCAATGAAGAGTTTGCTCGAAGAAATATGTCTGGATCAAAATCCTTGAGCAGCGATTTCAGCCAAGCATATGCCTATCCACACCAACAAAGCGGACCAGAATTGCGTCCCCCAAATCCTATTTCAAATTCTCGTAATAGACATCATGGAGAAAAGTTCACCCAACCATCCACATCCGGAATACCTAGAAAACCGCCTCGACAACGTTCAGATATATCACCAAAATATACTGATATAAAAGAAAATGCATCTTCACATGGAGAAAATAGTCGCAATTACCAGGCTGATTACGTTTCTCCGGTGGAAGTTACACAAGAGTTACCGCCAAGGGATCCGCACTATGTCGAGCAGGAACAACAAAATGAATCAGAAGATGTGTATACAATGGCTGGAGAATATCCTGGGGGTCTGTCAAGTATCTATAGTCAAGTTCAAAGGAAGTAGCGTGATCAGGAATCTGGGTCACAGCCCTATACGAAATCAAAGCTTTCGTTAAGATTCTAACACCATTTTCAAGTTGAAATTTATTTTTATTGTGGACATTTTTGTGAACTTTTCAAACGTTGTTTGTCATGGTCAAAGAGGAAAATTACGAGATAAACTCTCCATTAACTGGCGCCGCTGTACTATTGTCTCCCCAACTTTACATCGCGTCACGTCACGTATTTTTTAAATTTTAACGTATTGCAATAAAGGAAGTTCATTGGCGTATGTAGTAAAGTAGTTATACAGGGATCACCTCAAAAAGCGCACCGAAAGCAGTTGACGGTTTACAAAATAATGAAATACGCTTGACAAATTTGTGAAGATTTAAAACTTTTTTAAATATGCCACATCGAATCAGTACGGCTTTCAAACATAGGAATTGTGAAATTATAATTGCACCTGCATTCGAGCACCAATAAACACAGAGTTAACGCGCTGTGATTTCGAGGGAAATATACAATCGATTCTCGAAATTTCGATTTTGACTCCATCTCTGAACTCCCGAGAATATCGAAGTTTGATAATAAAAACTTTTGCATATGCAAAGATATTGTGTAGGAATAAACCTGTTATTTAAGGAGTCGAATCGGAACATTACCGATTTGAGGAAGATATTTTGATTCAAATTGCAATGTGATCCTTTTGTATTTTCTATTATGCTTTCACTGAATTTTTAAATGACGTCTGATTATATTTAAAATTGATACCATGTATAACCCAGGCACGAAAAGCAAATTTATAGAAAATGTTTGATAAAAGGAATCTACACCTTGGTCTGATTAAGTTGCCTAAAAAAAAGAAATGACCGCAAGCCCAGAAATACAGTATATATATATGATGAGCTTGTTCATGTCAAAATCGTGTTTTTTTTTTCAGAGGAAATATAAATCTGCTCAACAGATTTGTGTTGGAACGATATCTTTTTTTTGGACCTCCTGAAGTATGCGCACCAAGATGGCGCACAACCTGAACTCAGGTTGTGTACCAGATTGGGGTTCAGGTTATGCGACATCTTGGTGCGCATACTTCGGGAGCACCATTAATTGTATACTGCCGTGTGGAAGATTTTTAAATAAAATGTAAACATCTATTAGAAAGGCTCCAACCTTCATCATCCCACGGCACTGTGCGCATTTTATTTTTTATTTTGATGACAGCTTCGCGCACAAAAAAATGAATCCCATAGAACAGCGTTTTCTTTTTCGGCCACGGAACACTTACACTTTTTATCTCGCCTCGCGGAACACCAAAAAATGAAAAGGTAAAATTGATAAAGGAAAACGGTGTAATGTAGCGGTTCTGAATGGGTTCGGAAATTAACAGAATTGTGTTAAACATACCTAAAATATGTTTGAATATTTTACATATATATTTCATTTATTATGAATATTTTATTGTTTCCTAATTTGAATGCTGTGTATATGAATCAACAAATTCATTTTACCTTCCTATATCGTTTACTTTCCATTACGTAGTGTTTGCCTCTAATGTTACGTCTAATGAAGATAGAAGTACTTGCTGCAACTTCGCGAGCTGCAGTTCATTTATCTGCTGAATCGAGTTTAGCGAACATGAGTAATTTTTTCAGCATTTTAAAGTAAAACCAGGCAGAGATGGCAAATGGAGAGTTGACCATTTGCCTTCATTCTTTAGACGTACTTGTTTGCCTATAGCAAAACTAAAAGGATTGCTGCAAACTTGATAATGAACTTAACTGTCAACAAGCTAGGCCGACGGTTAACGAAAATGCCACTACCCTACTTTAGTTGGTCCGCTTTAAGCCGACGGTGACGCGATATTGAACGGTCAGTTGGTGCGAATCGCCATGGCGACCCATTTTGACGTATTTTTGATTTATTTTCCACGGAACACTCGGAAGACGCTCGCGGAACACAGTTTGGTAAACGTTGTCATAGAATTTAGGATCTGGAAATTTTTTTGAAATAAATAAAACAAATTTAACGAAAAATACGATCTTTAACCACTGAAAATTTCAAAGCAATTGGTCCAATAGTTGATGAAAAAAAAAAAAAAAATTTATAATGATGAAAAGAAGTATACCAACAACAACATAACAACAAAACGATTCATATTTACCTTTCGTGTTCAAAAAGTAATAAAACGAACATATAGATATATTAGTTTGGACATTCTCGAGCCTACATTGTCATCAAAATCGAACTACCGTGTTTCCCCGAAAATAAAACCTAGCATGAATTTCTTAAAATGATTTTAATAGAAGCACCCCCCTTAAAATAAGACCTAGTCGATAGAGCAGTTTTTTTTATCTGGTCGATAGCAAGAAATCTTTCTACTCGTTTTAAAGGATTGATAATCTATGTTCAGCTGTTATTTTAAATAAAAACTTGTTATTTATAAGTAAATGGATATCATTTTTAATAGTTTGTATATTTGAAATCTCGTAATTCTCCAAATAAAAAATAAAAGACATCCGCTAAAAATAAGCCCTAGTGTTATTTTTCGGAAGAAAATCGAAATATGACACTGTCTTATTAATCAATTATGGCGTCATAACTTTAACAATGATATGTTGATACATTATTATAGGGCATAAGCATAAGCCATGAACAAAATTTTAAATTATGAAATTATTGAACAAGCCTTTAAAATTTGTAAACCAATTAAAATTAATTTTCACTCAAGGAGATTTGCACCCATGCATTTCCATTCACAGATTTTAGCACCCGCTTATAGATTGCACCCGCGGAGATTTGCACCCATGTACATTTGGACTGATTGACGTTTGCAACTTTGCACCCATGTACATTTGCACCCACGGACATTTGCACTCATGAACATTTGCACCCAATGACATTTGTACCTACGTACATTTGCTCCTTCGTAAATTTGCAATCACGGACATTTGAATGCTGAATCATTGCACCCACGTACATTTGCAGTTTGCATCTATGGACATTTGGATCATAGACATTTGCACCGTCTTTCAATTATGTCTGATGCTTCTGCCAAGTGAAAAACACAGTGGCGGCGCGTCAATAGCGCCAACCGGGGAAATGCCCCGGTTGTTTATTCGGTATAATAAAAAATATTCGGAAAATACCTCAATATCGGTTGCACAGACTGTCTACACTAGCCATATTCTCCCGACATGGTTCATTTTTCGCTCGCGAAGCCTTCGCCGAACGTCGACGGGGCGACGCCGATTTTGCCCCGGTTGCTCATTGTATATCGTATTCTCTCTTTTATCTTCCACTCGCCGCGTTTGTCTCGTTTGTTTTCTGTTTCTTTTACTAAATCATCGGGGCCGATCGGGGCTAGCCCCGAAATTATGACGACACAATGCCGACGTTTCTTACAACAACGTGTTGACATATTCACGCATTCCTTCTCGTTCGTTGGTTGCTTGAGGAGTTGATAGTTTCCTCGCCTTCGTTTTTGTCGCTTGTTTCGCTATTTGAATCAGTTAGAGACCTTTAGTCCATTTGCTTTCGATTTTCCACATTCCTTTTGAGCTCCTCACTTCTTTCCGGCTTCGCATTTCTTAGCCTTAGACCTCATAATGAATAAGGTTGATGCACTACTTCGCACTCCGTTTTCGCAGCTGCCGCTGGAACAAAAATTAGAGGTACAACGTCTTGGGCCTTATCAACCAAAAAATTGTTCACTGGAACAATCCCATGACGGAGGAAAGCGTCGGCGTACATTCTGCGCAGAAACTTGGTATAAAAAACACGAATGGTTGTGTTACAGCGAGGACAAAAATGCACTTTTTTGTTTTTATTGCCTACTTTTTGCTACCGCCCGTGACTCACGTTGGTGTAAATTTGGTTTTAGAGATCTTAAACATCTTTCCGAGCGTGCCAGGGATCATCTATCTTCTATGGAGCATCTGGACAATGCAGTAAAATACCGAACATTCGGAAATGTTAATATTGCAGCACAGTTGGATGAAGGACGCGCGGTTTCTATTCGTCGGCACAACCAAAACGTCGAGAAAAACCGCCATGTTCTCGGTCGATTGATAGATGTTTTGAAGTTTATTGGTTGTCACGAGCTGTCCCTCCGTGGGCACGATGAACGGGCTGGCTCTTCTAATAGAGGGGTATTTTTGGATATGGTGGAATACACCGCATCCCTAGATACAGTATTGAGAGATCATCTTGATGCCGCAACTGTTTCGAAAGGGACATCTAAGGATATACAAAATGATTTGCTCGACTACTGAAAGAAGTGTTACAGCCTTACAACGCGAAGTCAAAATTGATAGCTCAAACTTATGACGGCGCGGCAGTCATGAGTGGGTCGAAACATGGTGTTCAAGTTTATATAAAAGAAGATTTTCCTCATGCGCATTTTTTACATTGTTATGCACACCAATTTAACCTCGTTATTAAAAATATGTGTCTTAATACCCCTCTCGCCCGTATATTTTTTGCAAATGTTTCGGGGTTTTCTTCATTTTTTTCCGTTTCGCCGAAGCGCTCTGACCTCCTTCTCCAGATATGTAGCCGCCGTCTCCCAGCTTGTGCACCAACACGTTGGAACTTCCAATCACGCGTGGTGCAGGGCGTGTCCGAAATTAGGTCTGAGCTCATTGAGTGTTTCAATGGCATTCAGAGCTCTCCGGTTTGGGACGAACGCTCTGTGAGGGAGGCGGTAGGTCTAAAGCGTCTGCTAGAAGATGGTGAGTTTTCATTTTTTCTCCACAATATTCTATCACGTGGATGTATTATACGGCGCATTGCAGTCAAGGCTAATGGATGGAGCGTCTGTGCAGTCGTGTATTTCAGACTTCTGCGATGCTGTATCTCGTATCCGGGAAACAATAAAATACGAGGACACATGGAGTGCTTCTTTACGCCGCGGGCAAACAACGCAGCGTTTGATTTTGTCTGCAAAGGAATGCTGTGACATTCTGGTGAATCAAATAGGCGATCGTCTGCGCACTGAACACCTTGCCGCGTTCTCTTTGATGAACCCCAAAAATTTTTCAAAATTTGCACGTCAATTTCCCATCCATTTGTTGGCTACTGTCTCCAAATTTTACCCCATAATAAACGTGGGTAAATTGGAAAATGAATTGCGATGTATATACACCAATCAAACTTTTTTGAACATCACATCAACTTGCGCGCTCTATGGGTTCCTCATGGATAACACTCTAGTAACTACCTTTGCGGCGTCTGCAAAATTTCTGGACATCATTTTGACGACGCCTATTTCTTCCGCCGACGCAGAGCGAACATTCAGCACGCTGAGGCGTATTAAAACGTATCTCAGAAACACAATGAAGCAAGATAGATTAAATTCCTTGGCTGTTTTATCCATTCACAGAGACGTTATTTCTGGGATGCATGACTTTAATCAGCGCGTTATTGAGCATTTTGCTTCCAAGAAACCGCGGCGTGTTGCATATATGTTCAAGCAGTAGAAGTCTAGCAGCATATATAACTATGAGTGAGCGACGCATGTCCTTATCTTTGCATTACCTTTCCTTTCTTCATAGTAACGTTTTAAACCTTATTTTAGGTTTTGTCTGCTTTCCCGAAGTTTCTGTTAATATGTCATTGTATTTATCTGGGTAAATATTGCCTTTCCTTTTGAAAGAGGTTTCAAAATAAACTATGTCTATATTTATTAATCCCTTGACTTGGACCGGTTTTAAAGACACTTTCTTATCGTTAAAAATTGTCGCTTTTGCCGATTGGTTGTTACCGATGGAATGGTTTTTATACTCATAAAATGATGGGAGAACTTACAGCGCTCATCCTGTCCCCGTAGATGGGGGTGACTTGGTCCCGCAGTAGCTTGCCCCGGTTGTCAAAATGACCACGCGCCGCCACTGGAAAAACACATCACGACAATCATACTAAAAACAAGAGAGCTATGCTCAAATATATGGACACGTAGAGTCACATAATTTTGATGACGTCATAGCGAGAAAAAAAAGTAATAGCCTTCTGGAGAAAATCTATCTATATTTATCTTTAACCACTGAAAATTTCAAAGCAATTGGTCCAGTATTCGAAGAGAAAAGTCATTTCTTGAAAACGTGTTGATGGAGACAAATAAAAACAATAACAACAAAATTTTGAAACGATCGTTATGTCCACTACGTGTCCAATAATAAATTGAGCAACAGCATACATGAACATGAAAAAAAAAAATTTACGGGCAAACTTATTCGTGAAGTCATAAATAATTTTGACGAGTGAAAGTGGTGAAAAATACAAAACAATTAAAGTTATGTGACTTTGCCTGTGCCGAAATGCATTGTATTGAACTTGAGCATCGGACTTGTACTGGTGTACCAATATGAAGATCTATTATCACTCTATGATGACATTAGTTTTAACTATATCAGGGGTGCGCAAAGTGCGGCCCGCGGGCCAAATGCGGCCCGCAAGGGAAAATTGTGCGGCCCGCGGAGGCAACTGGAGAGCAGTTTAAAAAAAATAATATCAAAAGATACAAAAGCTAACTGAGTTTTGGTTACAGCCTATCGGTTGATTTTGTCTTAATCTAACCTAGAATAAGATTTGACAGCAAATTATTTAAAATGAATCTTGGCGTATTTTACTGAAAACATCTCAACCAAGATACCTTTCCACATTTGAAAAAAGTCATGGCTTCAAATATGGCACTTTTCGGTAACATATTTTTTTTTCTAAAATGGGCGTCATTTCGAATTGCTAGCACTTCCATTTAAGCAAATTTGGATATAAAAGTAGTCGGGAAAAAAATCCAGCAGCAAATTTCTCACTGAATTCGTTTAAATTGGCTGTGACAGTATATTTGAATTACAGTTTTAAGGAATTTATGCATTTCAACTCATCATTTCTGCAAGGACCCTCAATCATGACATGAGATCAATAACAAAAAGACATCATTTTGTGCCTGCAACTAATAGAAAGCCTGTGTTAAATGTAGGTGCGGCCCGCGGTTTCACCCGGTTATTGATAATTGGCCCGCGTGCGAAAAAGGTTGCACACCCCTGACCTATATCATTGGGCTGCCATTACATCTTACGCCAAACTTGAGCAGACAGCAAAAATAGTACGAATTCCAAAAAAGAATCGATATAGCTGCAGGGTCGATTTGAGCCACAGAATTTCATATCCTGCAAACACACGGGATATGAATGCAAGAAAGCTGCCAAAACTTCAAATGATGTTTATAGGTTTATTTCGACTCTAAACTGATTATGAAATCATGTTTAAAACATGAGACATAAGCGTACTGAATAGGCAATCTTAACTTGTAACATAGAATATGAGTGTAAATACACGATCAGGTACTGTACTCTCCCGTCGGGTAGGAAGATTCATATGTCTGAACGAAACAAATTTATTGGACACGAAATATACACTCTACTAGAAAGTAGGAATATATATGTTAGTTTTCAACGATTTTATTCGGCAAACGTTGCATTGTTGTAACATCGCCGCTACGCCACCGCTCATTGATTTACGGTCGCCTGCTCTGCGGTATGTTAGCTGTCGGTGGCGTTCTACACGTTTGCTACCATTGTTAGGATAGGATAGGATTTACATATTTATCCCGTTGAAGTGCTGAAGTTTGTATAACAGAGCAATAAAATGTCTACGTTGGCTGCCAGTTTATTCCGTAAGTTATCTTTTAATACAATTTTGTGCAGAGGGACATGGAATCCCCGAAGGCATGTAAATAAGCTTGTCCCCAATTGTCGAAAATTTTCAACTGCCAGGGTCTTTCATGCAGAGTTTTTTGACAATGCCGCAGACGCGATTAGTGACATTGATGATGGGTCTAAGCTTTTGGTCGGTGGTTTTGGACTGTGTGGTATCCCAGAGAATCTTATTAATGGATTACTGGAAACAAAAGCTAAAAATTTGACAGTTGTCAGCAATAATGCAGGAGTGGATGATTTTGGATTGGGTTTACTTCTTCAGAATAGACAAATAAAACGGATGATTTCATCATATGTGGGAGAAAATGCCGAATTTGAAAGACAGTATTTATCTGGAGAGTTAGAAGTTGAATTGACACCACAAGGTACATTGGCAGAACGAATCAGAGCCGGAGGAGCTGGTGTTCCTGCATTTTTTACCCCTACTGGTTTTGGAACTTTAGTTCATATTGGCGGAGCTCCTATAAAATACTGTGCTGATGGATCGATTGCTGTAGCGAGCCAACCAAGGGAGAGCCGAGAGTTTAATGGAAAAGATTATGTCATGGAAGAGGCAATAACTGGTGATTTTGCTTTAGTAAAAGCATGGAAAGCAGATAAAGCAGGAAACCTGATCTTCAGAAAGACTGCTAGAAACTTCAATCCCCCGATGTGCAAAGCAGCTCGTACAACCATTGTAGAAGTAGAAGAAATCGTAGATATTGGCTCAATACCACCTGAAGATGTACATGTTCCAGGATTATTTGTACACAGAGTAATCAAAGGTGAAAAATATGAAAAGCGAATTGAACGTCTCACAACTCAAGTTGAAAAAGGAAAAGGTCAAGGAAAAGCTCCCAGTGCTTCTGCACAAATAAGGGAAAGAATAATTCGTAGAGCAGCATTGGAATTTAAAGATGGAATGTATGCTAACTTGGGCATCGGTATGCCAATGCTTGCTAGTAATTATGTCCCTGATGGTGTCAGTATTAAACTTCAAAGTGAAAATGGGGTTCTGGGCTTGGGACCTTTTCCTAAAATGGGTGAACAGGACCCAGATTTGATCAATGCAGGAAAAGAGACTGTTACCGTTTTACCTGGTGCATCTTATTTTTCTAGCGATGAAAGTTTTGCCATGATTCGAGGTGGTCATATTGACCTCACGGTCCTTGGTGCCATGCAAGTTTCACAGTATGGTGATCTTGCAAATTGGATGATTCCTGGAAAAATGGTCAAAGGAATGGGGGGTGCTATGGACCTTGTTGGTAGCACGAGAACAAAAGTAGTTGTTACAATGGAACACAATGCTAAGAATGGATCTGCAAAAATATTGCCTGAATGTGCATTACCATTGACAGGGGTCAAATGTGTTGATGCAATCATCACAGAGAAATGTGTATTCGATGTTGATAAAACTAAAGGCCTTACACTAATTGAAATTGCAAATGGTCTCACTGTGAAAGATATTGAAGAATGTACTGGGTGTCCTTTCGAAGTCAGTAAAAATTTGAATCCAATGGGACAAGTGTAACCTACACTAACTCTTTGAAATTGCGGTATGAAGCTTGGTAATAATGTTTATTGGAATTTTGTATCAGCTTGATAATTAGTTTTCAACATATTGCCTATTATGAGCATAGTCGTTTAAACAAATAATGTTTCACACTGAATCATGTTCATATCAGCGTGTTCATCTATTTTCAATTGCTAAATATATTTACAAATATACATTATCACATGGGTACCCTACATACAGTAAAGTCAGTTAATTGGTTACCTTTTGAAACTCTCATACTAGTTTAGATTTCAATATTTTACTCATATTGTATTTACAGAAGTACTTATAGTTATAGTTTTCAAAATATGATTCAATATTGCAATAGTTTAGAATTGAAATTATAATTTGGTCATTTTTGTTTTGATATTCATAAATTATTTTATCATGTCGAAATCTGTGATGAATATGACATTTTCAAAAGTATGACACCAATGACTCTTATTTGGTAAAGGCAAAAAGTAATCTATTACATTTTCATTCGAGATAGTATTCTTGATGGTAATATTTTTTTCAGTCACATAGTTTCTTGTTTTGAACAAACTTTTTGATTAAATTTAGCACAATATAATTTTTTTATTTGCTCAGTAATAGGCTAAATCTATCATCACATGTAATGTTAAAAAAAAGCAAAGATGTGTCTGACTGATCTCAATTAAATTTGATGTTACTTCTGTGTTAATTTGCACTTCATAATATCCAATGACCTGTGATTTATTCAAACACAGCAGTAAGGTTTCTGTACTTTCCAAAATGTTTCAGTTAATGCAATTTGTTGAAATTTTTTAAAATTGATCGAGATGCATCCTTATTTTGTTCAATGATTTTTATTTACGTTGTTATTGATTGAGAACCAACAAAATCACATGGTATGTTTTAATGATCAATAGTGAATTAAATATCCAATTGATGATTATAATTCCTGTCAAAAATTGTGGTTTGGAGATTAAGATTCATTGATCAACAGCACATATGTATTTCTCTACACTTGGCTTGTGATCTAATTGAAGTAAATTGGCAAATGTATTTTGATATTGAGATAAAGTTATAGCTCATTACATAGGATTGCAATTACCAGTACTGTGTGCTTCTTGTTGATGTAGTGCCTTAAATTTTGTGTTTTCTTGGTGTGAAGAATCGTTATTGATTTATATTGCATGACAAGACCCGATTTTCGCCTTTGAAAGTAGTGTCTGGCAAATGATTTGTATTAGCAATATTTGAAAGGGTGGATGAGCATGCTATATAGAAAGTTTAAAATGTTTTTCTGTTTTCTGAATATCATCTTTTTTAGTTTATTTCTTCCAGGAATGCCTTTTTTGCAATTTTGTTTGAAAAGAATCGCGAACGAACGTTCTTGACAGCCTTTCCTAATTCAAATTCAGATTTTTGTAAATCATGGCATTGTACTATATTTTCACTCAGTTTATGACAGTTGTTCCCATTTAAATTTTGATCATAATATCATGATAACATAGTAAATTTTTTTTTTTGAATTTTTTTTAATCTCACGAACATGTCAGAGGATTCATTATTTCAATTCAATTTATTCAATTTTTCCCTTCTTTTAGCTAATACCTTATAAGACTTAGTTCAAACTTGAATATAAAATGCCTTCATTAACCATAACCACCAATGTTCCTAAAGATGAATTCCCTAAAGACTTTCTGGCGGGAATGACAGAAATTTTGGCTAAAAGTTTGGGAAAACCAGAAAAATACATTTGTGTTGTAGTTCATCCAGGAACATGGATGTCATTTGCTGGAACAGAAGAAGCTTGTGCAAATTGCAAACTTGAAAGTATCGGGAAATTATCTCAACCTGAAAATATTGAACATACTAAGGCAATCATGAGTTACCTGAGTGAAAAGTTGGGAATTACAAAAGATCGAATGTACATAGCATTCAGGGATTCTTCCAAGGCAGATATGGGATACAATGGAACAACATTTGCAGCCTAATGCAGTCCTGATCACCTTAAAAAAGTTGTAGGAACAATGTAGTACAATGGAAATTTATTTGAACCTTGGAATGCATTTAGATTGCAAAGGATTATATACTACTTTGTGTAGTTTTAGCTGATATTGTAGTTTTGTTTATTAACATTGATCAATGTTACCATATTTAAAACTATATACCGGTACTCTTGATTGTTTTATAAAAACTTCCTTTTGAATATAGTGCATTAAATTTTGTCTGAATTAACATCTTCGTATGATAGAAGCGATATACCGATAAAATCTATTGTAAACAATAACATCAACTTATAATTCAAGCCCTATGCAGTGTTTACAGTACATAAACATTCATTTTCAACTTCATAATTGCCAATTGTTTTTGTTTATTATTATTATTGTGCGAGTCCTCGTTGCAGTAAATTAACCAATCGTCCCATGATAGCATATTCAAAAGTTCAATAAAGAGTAAGTCTAATTTTATTTGCACTGTGTTGCATGTTGCTTGATGAAATTATTGTTACCGTACGTATGTTTGAATACTTTCACATTCCAGATTTTTTTTCACAATTTATTTAAAATATAATTGTTATCAAAAATTGTTTGAATTCAAACTAGTTGGGAGCAAATATATGTGTTCGTGTGCTGTTTACATTATCATTGTTGCTTAAAACAAACTTTGAACCTCACTTTTTACTTTGAAATACTTTTTTTATTTTCCTCAATATTATTCAAAATAAGTTGTTCTTATTTTTTTTAACTATTTTAGATAAATTCATAATGACTGCGAATAGTTATGGACTTTTGTTTTGTTTGCTTTGAAATGAATTACTGTTTCAAATTGTTTTGCTATTGAATATTCTTTCCCGTGCCAAATTTTTTGCAAAGAACTAATAATTTTGCCATGAATGATGTGTGGTCACATATTAGATTTACCTAGTAATTTATCTTATCCTAGACTTTCAGAAATTGCTGACAGTTTAAGTACATTTCCCATATCAGCTCTGCCTATCTATCAACAATGTGTTTATTCCAGCATTAAATGTGCCAATGATATAATCCTAATTGTAGAATTTAGTGTATTGTAGTTAATATACAATTCAGCTGTTTTTATTGTATACCATATACATTGCAAATCATGCTTACTTGGAATTGTTTTGTGTATCTGGATTCAGTTAACCTTATCCATATATATCACATACTTTAACAATAACTTATAATGATTCGAAAATCAATCTTGTGAACACAAAGGAGTGTGAGGGAAACAATTAAAAGACAGAATGAACTGCAATTCATATCAAATTATGTATTCTATCAGAATATTAATATTATGGATTATATTTCAAATTACAGCAGCAAGTGATGGTAAGTAAGTTCGTATACACAGCAGGGTGAGTTAACAGTGACCAATAATATTGATAAATGCATGAATGTAATTTTGACAAACAGATTATGTTCAAATAATCTGCATAAAATTTGAAAATAATCTGCATAAAATTTGAAAATAATGATAAAAAGTAATATGTAAATACTTACAAAGCACTTCTTTTTTGCAATCTAATTATTGCATCATATTTCAAACTGTAAATCTTATATGACTATTCTGTTGAAGACGGGCCACTAAGATTATGGTATTCTTCTAGTGGGCTAAATTTTTGTGATACAGAATTAATCATCACGGAATCTATCTTTTTGCAAAGTTGTCAAGAAAAGAAGTTTCTTGATTCCCTTCTCACTATTATATTGTCAAAGTTAATTGAGCATTGTATGAAATAACTGATATACAGACATCAGCAATTGTTTTGAATGGTCTTCTTCAGTTGATTTGTTTTGAATAGCAGTTAGAATAAGAATAAATGTACAGTAACATATGAAAGAAGATTGTTGTAAGAATTTGATTCATTGTCAAATCTTTAGCCTTGCAGGGTTATTGATTCATGTATTGTTTACATAAACCTAAGTAGCAGAAGCATTTCATTCAACTGCATTTTGTGTTCAATTAGCATCTAAAGATCTTGTGATTTATTTAGTTATTTTTATTTCCTTTTCAGGTATTTGCAACTATGAACTTTTGCGCGACACTACAATAAAACCAGATAATATTTCACAAGATGCGACTAAAAGTCTTTTCAAAATAGATGATGCTGATGCATGTGGTCAAAAATGCTGTGATATCGATGGTTGCATGGCTGGAATGTTTCGAATTGAAGTATGTATTAGGTTTATCATAAATATGATAAGTATTAGTATTAAAAGATTTGGAGAAAAATCAAATTTCGTTTTTTTAAATTACCTTTACACTTGATAGTATTTCCAAAAATTAAATGTCCCAATTAGGAATTGAAGCATTAAAAATGTTTACAATTCTCTAATTGTTTTTAAATGTGTATTTGGGAATAAAACCTATTTATAAGCTATAAACCCTTTGCTACTGTATCAATAAATCTTTAAAAAAATTGCAGGTCATTTATGCAAATTTTGAAGAATGTCAGGCTTGTAGCTATTGATAGATAATCTTGAATTTGGATTGATTTTGTTTTCCCTTGATCATGTAAAAATTATTTCGCCAATATTATTGTATTTTAAGTTATGTTAAAGCCCTCTGGCTATTGGCCAATTCATGTTTATTTAATAAGGTTTCCTGGAGAGATCACAATCACCTTGTGTGAGTAGCACTAGATTGAACCAAGGTCCTTTATTTAAATAAGTTCTCTAGTTCAAAATAGGAAAATAGGTTTAAAATTGGATTTGAAAATTTGAAATAACATCAGTATAAATTGATAATTCTTCAAGTTAGCTATACACAGTACACAGCATTTTCCCTATTTGATATGATTTTGTAATGTATTTTGCACATTTGTTGTGCATTTAACACCAAGTGTTTGTGCCCCAAAAAAATGCTTCATTTTTCTGTACAATTAAATTTAATATTTCTTGGTCGGAAAATCTCATTGGAATCGGTCATTTCTTAATTGTCGAAATCTTCTTAGTTTCCTCGTGATAGGATGGGATAGGGTTGTTCAATGAATGAGAAAACCCTTTTTGTGAAATTCACCATATTTTTCTCATAAAAATTCATTAGCCTATTTAATTTTATTTCAAAAAATATGCTGTAGAAAATGAATTCAATTAGAATTGGAGCAAATTCATAATTGATTGCAAATCAGTTGTTCACTGACAAACACTAACTTTTTATGTGAGCATTCAAATTTTTTGTGGCAACATTTTGAATCTCAACCATATTATCTTCTTCTCTAGGATCAAATTTGTCTACTTATAAACTGTGATGAAGTTCCTGGAGGATGCGTATTTCAAGATGATAATTTGCCAATCGTCACAATACGAGTCAAGAGAGAAAGTAAAAAAGGTAGGCCTAGTTGTTTTCACTCATTTTTCTCATTCTATTATTATAATGAGGCTTGGACAATGAAATGCTAGCTTGTGCTTATGTGATCAAAAATAATATTTTTGATTTGCTAATTTCACAAATACTACAAAATAATTCATAAATTTGAAATAATTGTAAATTGTAATTCCAAATTTCACTAGTGTCTCTGGCTTTACAATTTTATTTTTATCAGTGGAAGAGATTTAACAGTAGTAGAATATGCATATTATGAAGTAAAATTTGACTTACCTATTTCATAATTTCTTCAGCACTCTCTACTTTCAATTACAGTATTAGTGTATTAAACTTTTTTTTTTTTTGAATTTATTTCACTTTGTGCATTTCACATTCATAAGTTAACATTCGTAAAAACATGTTGTTATTAGTTGTGCAATGTTCCTACCTGTTGCAAGGTATTAATTGATTGACTATTGATCTGTTGCATCCCACAGTAACTTATCCTCTTGGAGATAGCAATTACTAACTTATCAGGAAATCAATTTCCTGCTGAAGTTTTTTAAGCCATTTACATAAGAACCAGAAAGTAAATCTATTTATCGAGCAGCTATAATGTAAATAAAATGAATGAATGTGAATGTTTTTCTGAATTAACTCTACAAGCATAAGGCATTATTAATTAAGAGAATTCAACTAAATGCAGATATCTGTATTAATATCAAATAAAATTCAATGCTACATTATGACTCGTACCGGTATATGTAAAATATGAGAGTTACATCTATTGTTTTATGTCCTGAAATATAGTAAATTAAATACCCATACTGGTTTCATCATCATTTATTAAAATTATAATTGGTGAAATTAGGCATGAATTGTACTTTTGCTTGATAATCTCCAAACATGAATTAAAAATGAATTAAAAAAGATCGATGTATACAAATGTTAAGGGATTATTAAATTTCTGCCAAGAAATATCGTAATCTTCTTTTTATAAAATAGCAAGTATATTTGTAAGCTTTCATTAGATCTTGGTCTAACTCCTTCAAACAAAACAAGATATAACTGTGAAGTGTGAATTTTTATTATTTCTTCTCTTGTTGTTGCTGCTGGAAAAAGTAAAAAAAGGATTGGATAAAATTTGAAACTTTAGAGAATTTTTTTTTTTAAAAGATAATGAGTACGAAACAAAAATACTGTCGAGTGTTGAATGCCTGCCTTGTTGACCAGTTCAACAATCAATTTATTGATTCTTTTCTCCCTGCTCTTCCGAAATACCAACAAATCTATATCATTGTCATTTACTTGATTCGCAGGAGATGACGCCATCAAAGTTGAAGAATCAAATAATAATTTGGATGCAAGTACAAATGAAGAAAATATAGTATCAGTTGGTACAAACAATAAAGATAATAATGACATTATACAAACAAGCGCAATACCCACTGTACATGTTAGTAATTCAAAAAACAATATATCGGATACTGGTTCTGGTATGGAGTCGCCACTTTCTTCCACTGTTGGAATTGGAAATTCACCACATGAAGAAACATCGAAATCATTAAACACTATGGCACCTTCAGTTGAAGGTGAGTTGATTTTTACTTAAAATTCCACTGTTTTTGGGAGTCCTCACTTCTGAGCTTATAGGACTAGCCCAGAGCCTTCAGAGGACTTTCAGAGTAATACTCTGAAATGCACTTAAAAAATTTTGGCCATTTGCTCTTTCAAACATTTTTGAATGGTTTTACATATATTGGTAAAAAACGATTTATACCATGTAACATTTTAGTTTCATATATTATACAGAATTTAGTTTTTGAACTTCAATGACTTTATTACTTCAGTTTTATATTACTTATGAATACCGTCATCTGGAGTATTGAAACAACATTACAATGATAGTTGTCTAATTCAGTTACAACTATACTTTAATCTTCCATTGAACCCACTATGGTCATTTGACAAGAAAATTGGAAATACAACAAAGCTATGAAGCATTAGCATTGCAGTAGAACGACCCAACACCAAAAGGGAGGCACTGATAAAGAACTATTCTTAAAGCATGATATGACTTGATAAATATATCTGAAAGTCACACACTGGCACTTCCTGTCTTATTGTTCATGCATTCCATGTTTCGATAACATCTTACAAGTATAAAGCTAGAACAATAAATTTCATATTCTCACATTATCTTTCATTGTGGTGAAGCAACATGTAATAGAAAGGTAGCAAAACGTACAAAATTTTGTGAATTTATTATCAAATCAACAAATTTTTTAAATTTTAATATTGTAATTAAATATCGGCATTTCTGTAAACTGCTTGGTTCATAGTCTTGATTTCAAAAACATTATATTCTATTTCAAGTGACAACTTCGAAACCGCCATCTTCAAGCACTGTCTCTACATCAACCGTCCCTAATACTTCACCTGCACCGTCTGCTACCACAATTACATCTACATCGACTAGTTCAACTTTAGCTACAACAACAAAATCAACTACAGTAGAAAGAATCAAATTAACAGTGTCTACAGGCGGTAATCAAGAAATAAGATTGCCAGTTGACTCTGTTGCAATTCATGCTGATGTCTCTCCATTATCAGGTTTGTGGAAACATTATTATTATTTCAAAATATTCATTACTGCTTGCTTGAATTGCATACCTAAATACAATTTAATGAAACTGGTAAAATTGTAACTGGTACATACTTTATTATTGAATGCAAACTAATATTTTTGATAATGCATTTGTATATGTTTTATTAAATTTGCTTTATGCATGGTATTAGCCATAAATAAGATTCTATTACTGAGATTGAAAAATAATTTGCAAAGTTGGCTTTAACATTGAACCTTATTTTGGAATTTTAATAATATACTTTAATAACTATTTGTTTTGTGTGCAATTATATGTGAATAAATCATTGGTTAATAAAATTTAAACTGTTCTTTAAGCTCCTGTTCAGACAAAGCTAATAACCATATAAACCTGAAGTTTTATTCACTGATTCGCTGTTGCCTAGCTTTATTTTTCTGCTTGGTTGCTTTTTGAAAGTACTTTCGTTTTAAAACCCATCGTCTCTGAATCAGTTGAAAAGTGTTTGAATGATTTGAAGTCCCAAGACTTTTTCGACATCCTTACTCACGAATGACATTGTGTTTCATTCATGTATTTCGACTGGGTTTTACAATACAGCAGTTTGTCCTTTGTTACGCGATCTTTGATTTAATAGGCTATATATCACTGGCATACCTGTTTACATCATACTTAGTTTTTTAATTGGCAAATCAGGAATTTTATATTAACTTATTATCTGCAAAAAACATATTATATTCCCCTGTTTCTGACACTTTTTACTTTTGATTTTGGAGTTGAAAGAATAAGTTTTTCGCTTTTGCTAACTATCTATATATTTTGCTATGTCATCGATTGTTTGCTTGTACTAACAGATCATCCATATGACTATCTATGGAAGTTGATAAAACATCCTGAAGATTTCCAAGGAACACAGTCTGGTATTGAGACAGAAACATTGAAACTGGCAACGCTTACACAAGGAGAATATGAATTCAAGGTTTGTTTTCATTGGTTATATTTTGTTTGAAAATAAAATGGGGAAAATGATTAAGCAAGTCATTTAGTAAGATGATTTTTCTGTTTAATTGAAATTGAAAGTTTCAGGAGTTGCCAAATCAAATAACTTGTTTTGACAAATACATTCTGGAACTATTTTTTTATTGTCTAACAGCAGATTCTAAAGTAAGTGCTAATAAGTATGTTTTATTAACAAATAAATTATCACAAATCAGGTTGATTTATATAAATTAAGTTTGGTAGCTTTTTCTCAGAAAGTTAGGAAAAAACTCTAAACATATTTCTATTTTTACATTATCAGTAGCTAACTAAGTGAAGTCTAATTTGTTTTTATTGAACTTCAGGTATTAATAAATGCTCAAAATACCAAACCTACAAATGAAACTATTCTAAAGTATCCCTAAAATCAAGAATTCAGAATATAGCCTACATATCAAAAATATTCAATTTTCAAAAATTTGGTCATTTGATTCGTTTCGGATTTCTCTAGTTTTTATATTAAGTAATTTGTGTTTTATTAATAAAATAGCATATTTTGTATTTATCTGTTCTTAATCAACTTTTTTTATTGAGTTTCTAGTTTGACGGACCTGCATACTTATACTCTGTTTAGTGTTTACATGTTTTTATTTGTTATATTCATAATTACCAATGTTTATTATTGAATCTTGGGTGTTGTTCTCACACCAATGTTTTATTGCTTCTTCATATCCGTTATTGTCAAATTTTATGACACACAGATTGGTATTGCCTGCTATTTACAGTTTTTTATAAGTCAAAGAGATGCCAGTCTGAAAAATATTTAAAACTGCCAAGCCTAATAAATGGGAATATTAATAAAATGTACATATTAGGTGGCATGACTTTGTGACATGCAATCAATGGCATATGATATATTTTAGACAGTGCTCCATAACCAAGTATTTTTCTTGCGGTTGTGAGAGTATTACCAACAATAAAAAATATTTGAAATCTTAAAAGGGTAAAAACATTGGTTCCAGGTTAACTGAAAAAAAAAGATGTTTGAATTCAATTAGCCTTGAAATTAGATTAAAATTCTATTAAATTCTATTAAAAGAGGAACTGCTTCCTCTTTTTCTCAAGTTTTAAAATCAATTTTAGAGAGGTATATTTTAATAATGCAGTTTTGCGACCAAAATTGTAGATGCACATAAATTATAGCTTATTTTAGATTTTTGATATTGGCATGTTATCTCTTATTAAGTAATATTGCACATTTTTTCAGGTTGAAGTAAGTGGGGAAAATTCATATGGAGAAGCGTCAGTAAACATTACCGTTCTACCAAAACTCCGAGTCAATAAACCACCTGTTGCTGTTATATCACCAACTTTCCAAGAACTCACTTTACCGACTGATTCTACTCTTTTAGATGGATCACGTAAGTTTATTATGACTCTATGTTCTGTTTATTTCAATTGGGAAGCTCATCAGGCTGATGGCTTCACTTTATATACATATTTCAATCACTTGAAATTTCCGGAACAACTATTATATAATGAAATCTTTAGTAACTTGTAGGCGAGTATATTTGTATATTATTATACTCATTTAGAATCTTGTTTAAAAAATTTTCCCTCCACCTCTTCACCAGTGTCAAATTAAGAATTAATCTATGTGTAAATCTTCAAAGATGTGGATGGTATGAATGCTACCTATCTAGCAGAACATATCTCTTGTGAAATTTTTCCTTTTTACACCTTATTCAAGTTTATGATAAGTGTTTGATCATATAAGGCGCAAAGAATTCAACAAGATAGAGAGTTTGTGAAATAATGTATGACTTTGATAAATTTTTACAGAATCTCATTTCTTTTTTATATATAAGGTATAATAAACACTAGTATTTCTTCAAAACTTTTGTTAATTTTGTTTTCTCGACAGAGAGCCATGATGATGACGGTATTGAGACGTATGAATGGGAAGAAGTAGAAGGACCTTTACAAGCCAATATTAATAAAGATAAGAACGGGAATCTTCCAAATGAAAAAGTATGTTCTGTGTTGGTTTCTATGTATCCTTGAATATAATTTTTTGACTATCTCAATTACACAATACCATACTTTTAATCTTAATTTTTTCATCTGATTATATATATATACACTTACTTTATAAATTAAAATAAAGTTTGCTAGTTGCTATATACATTGCAACATTTCACTGATGCATTCATTACCCATATGCGTTGTTATAACTAATGAATGAAGAAAAGTGCTCTCTTGAATCTTGAATTTCATCTAAAATTGCTAATTAATCACTATGAAAAAATTCTCACATGTAGTCACATTATGTTAAATTTGGTTGAAATAGAAAATTCCATCACCTGATAATTATAAGCTCAAATGTATAATCACAAATTAAACAAAAAAGGCTTAATTTTGCACTGTCTCCGTAGATACTATATAATATATTTGTGATATAAAGCATGTTCTTTCACATGGTTCATTTTATAGTACAATTGAAGCTTTCAATTGGAAGTTTATATCTACTGTAAATTAGAATTAACGATAAATAGTTCTGAGTAGCTGCTTACCAATATTTTTGATGAAAGAGTTATAGCCTATCTACCATAACTTTGCTGTTCAATTAGGTAATTCCTAGTGTTTCATATTTAAATGAAATACCACAAAATTCTTTAGATTTATAGTATTTTTATTAAACCATCCGAATTTTCAAATCCTTATTTTTCTGTAATATTCTCCTATGTCAATTCAAATTAGGAATGTCAAAATGATAAGGTCAAGTTCAAAGACAAGAACTCTTGTAAATGAGCCAATGTATATTCTTGTCATAACATTGACACGTGGAGTAGCATATTTTTGTTTGTTTTGAGAACATTTTTGTGGATTGTCTATCCTATTTGTAGGTTGCGAATGTCTAAATTTATATAAAATTAAACATGAAAGAGGGTTATATCGTATCTTTTATGCAATATTCATGCTTGTTTAACTATAGTACTATTGCAATGGTGCAATTCTGTCTAGTATCGATTTTTTCTGCATTCTATAACATAACACCATAATTGACAAGCTTGAGTACAATGCTATGTGTTTCAAGTGTATTTAAACATGTCATTTATTGTCATATTCTAAGTGATATTGAGAGCTGAGTGGACTATTGTAAACATTTTTTGCTCATGATTATCGATCTGTTTGGATGTTTGATTGTTTGAGGGGGATTATGTTGAGACTTGTCTGTTTTTGAATAAGTGGTCGTTGGACTAGAGTTATTTATTGAAGCCTTCTGGTATTTTTAATCAACTAGCTTTTACATATAATGACTTGCAACGATTTGAAATGTTTGGATTGATCATTGGAATTACTGTAATTGTATTCTATACTTTGAATTCTTGATTTTGGAATAGTTTAAGAAAAATAGTCTAGTCTAATGGTATAACCGAGAACGCTTAATAATAACACGTTCATTCCATTTCTGAAAACTGTAGAAAATGTAGAACCAATCAAATCACCTCACTTTCTTGCATTTTTAAATGCTCATCAAATATATATCAACTTTTGTTCTTTGTTTTAAACATGGCCAAAATTTAAAATAAATTTCATGTTCGAAAATATTATTTTAAATTGTATTCATAATAGTAAAATTTTTAGTTCAGCTATTTCAATCACATACCCTGCATCTAATGGATGCCTGATTCATCAGCAAAAGTATATTATTTGGTTAAAACTTGTTGCCATAAAATATATTGTAAAAATTTAAAACAGATTCCAAAATGCAAACTATTATAACCCTATTATAAATTTCTTGTTAACAATTTTTAAATGATTATATCAGTTAGAAATATGAATAATTTTCATTCCTTCTTGATTTCATAAATAGCCACAATATGCTATAAATCATTTCAAACCCCAAATTCAGTTTGTTTACAATTTGAAAATGTCATTAATGATAATAAAAAGTTTATGACTTAAAATGTTATGAACCGTAATTTTAAATAGGCATTTTTTTGAACTACTTACTGGACAACTATTCGTTAGTGAACTAAACATTACTATTTGAACTGCGTCCAATAGCTGGTTATTCACACTTGCGCAATAATTGTCTCTTGTAATATGATATTATGATATGATTGAGATCAGCGACAAAACCTTTTGTTACTTCATAAAGATTGATTACATTGCCACATTCTGGAATTCTACTCTATTGTCACATGGCTTGTCACATGTGTATGAAGCCCAAAGCACATCATTGATCAAAATAAGGTTAAACTAAGGATTGAATCCATTTGTGTATTGAATTAAGGCAGGAATGGTTGATTGGTAGATTAACCACTTTGGATACGAATTGATTGTACTGATGTTCATTGACTTGTACCATTTTTTTTTTCAAATCAATGCTTTGTTTATTTGATGTCGGAAAAAATTCAGAAAATCTATGTCAATGGCATGTAATTTAAGGAAAACTGAAATAACTGGTCAATTCATCAAAAAAAAATTCAAAGAAACTCAAACTGCTTCTGTATGGTATTGACTTAGAGATATAAATTTACTTTTAATGCTGATTCTCCTGGTTAAATACAAAAAAGGAAATTTAGCATTATGGCAAGGGTTGTCCCAAACGAATCAAGTAGTCAAAAACCTTCAAACTTTGATATATTTGGAATGTTAAATTTTTTAGTTTGGAATTGATATAAAATGTTTTAATAATATTAAAATTTATCGTTTTAATATATTGAAAACTAATGAACTTATCAAAAAAGGCTTCATTTACCTCCTGATGGAGATAATAAATATAAAAACCAATTAAACAATGTTTATTTTTAATCATATTTACTTCACCATACTATAAAATTTTAATCCCAGGAATATATAATAATTTATGTATAAATTTTCATCGGAATATATTCGAAATAGCACATACTTTAGTTTTTGCCATCATTGATTATGTATCATGCCTTGTTTCATATAATGAGCCTAATGATATGAAAAAATTTGAAAATACAAAATATTATTTTGTGAATATAACATTAATAATTCTATAGCATCATTCATATTCATTAATTCATGTTATAATTCACAAGATCCTATACTAGATTAGTCATATCGTAATACCCGACTACATGTGTTTATTCAAACAACCCTTAGGGTATAAATATTGGACTTTGGCATGAGTTGTCTCTATGTAAATAAATCATTATTGGTAATATATGAATGTATATATATAATCACTAAACACAATATGGAATAAGTGCTTAATTAAAATGATGTTTTTGGTGGATTACCAATCGTGGGATTCAATTCAATAGCCTATTGCAGGCCTGGGCAAGTTGCGGCCCGCGGGCCACATCCGGCCCGCTGCAACGTTTCATCCGGCCCGCGAGCAGGTTTCTAGATTTAGACACTTTCTTTTTTATTTACATATAAAATATACTTTAACTGTGAACAAACGAAATTTTTAACAAACGAAATTTTTAACTAATGTTTTTTAAATTGCCGATTGTTATATATATCTGTCTTGTATACGGGACTGTGGAACCATTTAGAAAAACGAGTTTTTATATAAGCATCGGCGACGAGATGCTAGAAGATAAATAAATTTAAATAAGCATTGACGACGAGATGCTAAAGATAAATAAAGGAGCAAGCAACCTAAATCTAGATTTTAGAGTGCCAAAAAAATACTAAAAATTGAACACAAACAAGTTTCGATTTAGAACGCCCGTGACAGATTAAAACCGCTGTTGTAGAAATTGGAAACTAAAAAATTTCTGGTGCCCTCGACACATATTTTAATTGGATGGCTTTCGTGCGGGCGAGGTACCTTTAGAACAATTCTAAAACTACCGACGGGTCCTAATATATAAGATAATTAATGTAAAGTTAATTTAATTGATTTTCATGGTACTAATTTTACTCGGTGTGATTTTATCGCGGATTTTAAAAATGGTAAAATTTCTAAAACAGAGCTAAGTCAGTGTTGCAAGAATATATCAGATTTCACAAAACACGAATAAAAATAATCTGACACTTTATCTCACATTTTTATATCCGCGGAATGCGGTGGTATTTTAGAGGAATAATGCTTATATTTTGTCAAGGCAACCGCGGGTTAGGTTGATAACAATAAAGCACGACATTTTAATGTGCCCGTACCAATACATTTTAAATATACTCGTATCGAAAATAGGGATCAGATGTAAGTATATTCCGGCAGTTGATCTGACATTTTCATATCCGCAGATAGCCGTGGTATTTTAGAGCAGTGAATCCCGATTTATGCTCACAATGCCTTCCAATGCATCAAAATTTTCCGCGACCCCTGTTCACGTTAAAAATGCTATGATGACAGCAAAGGTATATGAATCACGATGTTTTGCCACCGAAGGCATGGTCCTAATTCCGCATTGTTACTCACTCTTCAGCATTAATGATAAAATTCGGCATTGTTATTTGTTATGCAAGCGTGGAATATTTTACCTAATGCCATTAGATCGCTATCGTATGGTATGTTTAAAAAAAATTTGAAAAATAAATACATTAGTAACTATCTCTCTTCCTGTAACCATTGAAGTACCGTACCGGTACTCGATAATGTCGCCTACCAAATTGCTCGCTGTCAAGCAAGTCGGGCAAACAACAATAAGTGCAAGGAGTCTAATTCTAGAATACCCGCCGCATCAAATCTGGTAACTCCTAATGACTCAGTGAAAGTATGTTTACTGTTATTTACAAATACTATGACCGTTTTTTTTTTCTCGTCATATTCTATCCTCCTTATTGCAAGTTTTATACACGTATAATAGGATACCGTACCGGTATTGTTTGCAATATATTATTCGCTGTAACTTAATCAGAGTGGTAATTTTCACTCTTTTCATTTGTATATAAGTTTTCAAAATTGTACTTGTTAGAAATATTTTGTGCAATTTGCATTCTCTCTAAGTTTTTCTTTATTTTTTCTTGTTGTCCTCTCATTTTCTCTCTTCAGTGCATTCTCTCGTGATAGTTATACATTTATTTTGATAAATAATCTGCACAGTAGCCTCAATTATGTATACTGCCGCAACTACTGGTATTCAGTAGTTGTGTCTTATTTAGTTACTTTTTTATACTAACCTGCATCAGCTAGGTGTCGCTGCTTGAAGACCTTTATAGGTCCCTCGCGACTCCAGTCACACAATTAACATGATCAGTATATTTCATTTATTGTAACAGTTTTCTATATGCTTGTTTTTTGTGTTGACAAATAAAAGATTGATTGATTGATTGATTGACGTTTCTCTGATCCTATGTATTATCTCAAAATCTCGAGATTTATGTTTTAAACTAGTTTTAATAATTGTGCTTTGAATAAAAGTTTTAACGGAGTAAAATAAATATAGTACTTGTTTTATTTAAATGTGTAATAAAATACAATAAAAACGCGCGATTGACTTTACTTAGTCCGGCCCGCCACTGCATTTTGAATATTCAATGTGGCCCGATACCAAAAAATAATTGCCCAGCCCTGGCCTATTGCAATGCTTTTTTGATTTTAATTTGTGTACATTTCGAAATCACATGTATGTAAGAAATTCCATAAGCTGTTAGGATTTACACTGCTCTGAATTCTTACTATCTTACAAATATTTTCCACAAACTTTTCAATAAGTTCATAAAGTTTTTGATATTTTTAAATTGCAAAGGTAATTTATCAATACCATATTATATTTTGTATATCTCTACAGGAGTATCGAATGAAGTAAAAACTTCAATAAACATTGATTATAATTTAAAGAAAACCTGGTTAAGATATATTGAGAACTGACACACAACAAAATTGAAATTGTAACCAGACTTTATGTATATTTTTACAGACCGGTGTGAATTTTTTTTCTGATGTCTGGTAGATAGTATAAAAATTAGGAATGTTTATGGATAGTATCCCTAGTGTTTATTTTAAATCTAAATATTTGCTAATCAGGTATATCAATTTGTCACAAATTTTATAATAGAGAAAGGACAGTATTTCCAACCATCTAAATTCATTTCATGAATCAATTTTAATTGGCCATTATTTTTTATTTTTTCAAACTGAATTTTTAAGACACTTATTCTACATGAGCTATTTCACCAGAACTGTACTTAAGTTAATGCTTCATATATTTTAAAAAGAGTGAGGACCAACTTTCATAGACTGTCATGAATTATTTGTGAATGTACCAATTTAAACCCTTTGTATATATTTACATATCCATTTGTATTTTTAGGTGTTGAAAATTACTGGTCTCATTGTCGGAAACTACACATTCAAATTAACAGTTACAGATACTGATAAAGTAACAGATTACACAGAGGCAATAATCATTGTTAAAAACAGTAAGTGATTGATTGAGATACTGTTGCGTCACATTTCAAATTATAATGGATATAATTTAGCTAGTGTCAAATGTGTTTTCTACTTATGTTTTTATAGGAAAATGTTGTTTTCCCATTTTAAAAAGATTCATTTCGAACACTCAGGAATTTTATAACTATCCATTCTTATTTTAGTAACACTTATAGTAGTATTGTAAGAGTCATATTCTACACATATTTCAGTGCAATGTTACAAGTGCTGCATTACTCAAAATGTGCAAAATACTACAATATGTTAACCCATGACCAATTCTAAAATATTTTGTCACAATATCTCCATCTTTAACCCGTGACAGGGTTAAAACATCTGGACTCCAGATTGTTTACACATTACTATTGCTAATCTGTTTGCCGAAAAGATAATACTTGTTTCAACTTTTCAATGGGGATGATGTATAGAATATAGACTACTTGTTTTATAGTATTTTAATTCCTTTCTTTTATCACCCTGTTATTACTACAGTAATTTTACACACGCCCATTTGATGGGGGCGCGTTCAGGTTATCATTATAGTATATTATGCTGGGAGTAGATAACCTAATCCACTTTCTACATATAACTAGGGATGACCAAAACCAACTGGTCTAGTCTACTATTTTTTGTCTTGTTTAGTTGAGAACACATCGAATTCAATGAGTTTGAATTTTGTGATGCAGAAAAGTTAACAAAAAATAATGATTTCATTGGTTTTCTATTTTTACAGATTTCAAACACTAATGAATGATATTGGGTATACTGTTAGACCTCAGTTTCTCATAATAATAATTTTTCAAATAAAACTATTCCAAAATCATGAATATAATGAATTAAGTTGCATATTCGATACATTTTGGGCATCCTTCCCCCTCTTTCGTTCAGATAGTGATTGTATTAAAATATATTTAAGAATAGATACCCAATGGCGAATCAATGTATTATCTCCAAACCATATCTGTACTCTGCTTTTCCTTCAGAAATCGACAATCCACCAATCGCCAATGCTGGATCAAATCAGGTGATTCACTTACCACAAACATCAGCTGTATTATGTGGGAATGACAGCACAGATGATTGGGGAATTGTCAATTACAAATGGTCACTCAGTCCTGACAGCAAGAAGGATGTGGTTGATATGCAGGTATAGTAAATTATAAACACATTTCACTTTGGTTAGCAATTTTGAAAGCGCAACAGTTGGTGCTTTGTTCCAAGCAGAATGCGTTTGCCATAGCATGTCTGATTATCCCACAGTCTTTGCAAGTTTAAATTCTGTGGGGGATAACCTCATGCGTTGGTAACCAGACGAGCAGTCGTGGTATGCAATATTACTAATTCATTGTATCGGCTTTCCTCTCTCTGGGATAAATACAAAAATTATATCCCAACAGTTTAAAAATGTGTTATCCAGCAGAATCACAATGATAGATCTCTTCACACTTTATGGGATTTTGATTTTTTTTCGTCCGAATTCCCAGAAGGTCATCGCATCATGTTAATTCTAATAATGTTTATTCTATTTATTATGTTCAATGTTTTAGTGTTCAATTAATAAATTAGCAATGATATTTTCGGCATCACAGCCTCACAGAAATAGCCCGTGAATATATATATATATCATCAACTACATTCTATGTGATGCTTGGTGTTTGAATATTTAAAATGGATCTACATTTCCCAATTCTGAAGTTTTATTTACGGTCATATTATTTGTGAAGACTAGTATAATTGGCGTCAAAATTGTCTCCAACATTTGTTTGCTAATGTCACGAAAATCAAACAAGATATTGCTTTTTTGTAAATATTATAAACTATATAGTTTGTTTGAGTAAATTATTAAGTAAATTACAGGCTTCGAGTGTTCGAGTCAGGTTTTTTCAAATCTAAGTTATAAGTATGGTTGGTTTGCTTTGTTTTAATTTTACACATTGCTTCAAATGGTGTAATATTTTAAAGTGGTATTTATACGCCGGCATGGGATTTGAACCCAAGATTTCAAACTGAGATGCCACCATAATAATTGGGTCTAGGCTTTAAATACTAGGTCAGTGGATCCCACCCTTTTTTGAACTCTTTTATTCCTCCCTCATAATGCATAAAAACTCTGTTTTTGTTCTTTGTTCAATATGTCTTGCGTTATGTGCAGGTCGCACTCTAGCTTTTGTGCGATTCAAATAGTTTATTATGTGCCCGTAAATATGTATAAAATAATGTTAATTAACTCAGCAATATTAGTGAAATTAGCTAAATAAAAAGTTATAATTATTTCCCCACAGAAACAAGTAAATTTTTCCATCATGAAAAGATGACATATGTCAGCGGTTCATTCACGCACATTATCTTTATGTTCACAAAAATCTCATTGATTTTATGTACATATATTAAAACTTTTTCTTAAGCCAAATTTTCTTTCCATTGTAATATGATTTGCATTACAGAAAGTAATTGCGACATGATTTATAAAAGCTTGGAAATCTCTGACATATGTAAATTCCACAAAGATTTCACCCTGTTGTCTTTTTTTTGTAAAACTTCTATACCAATGTAATCTCATTCAAATTTTGTTTAGCTCAGATCTTTCTTTGAATTTTATGATCTATGAATGCTGTAAATGTAATACAGATATACAGTATTTCACTTTTATTTTGCTGGGCTTTTAATTTCCATCGATTATTTCCTTCCTGCTAACCAGATGGACATTGCTTTTATTGATAGCTTAAATACAGTTGGAAATTACCTAAAGAGTGAATATTCTCTCAATACATTGTTTCTACATAATTCAAATAAGCGTTCTGATTCCATTAATATTTATAACGCTTGTCACCTCCCAAATGTAAAGCAGTTTTTGTATTTTGCATGTTTTTCAAAAAATTATTTTGAAATAATTTATCATAAACCTAGAATTCTGTAGTGTTGTTCAGCAATCAACAGGTTGGATATTTTAAAAGTATATTTTCTCCAAAACTTGTTTTTTTCGGAGAATATTAATAATTGACTTAAAGTGCAGTAAAATCACAGTGAATACCTTCAAATACAAACATTGTTCCAGTGGTTGCCAACTTTTCCTGTTTAGGCCTCCTTTCGCCTTTGTTTTCTCGTCACTATGCATGAAAGGTATTTTATGTTTTAAATCTTTGATGGATCCACAGCTAGTTTTTTTTAGACAATGCATGTTGCATCGCCACTTTTCTACAGTTTGAGCAGTCTGTAATGTGTGTGTAAATAGGTATTACAATGGTGGGTGAGAATTAAAAGATATTAGTACTATTACAGCAAATGAAAGTGAAATTCCCTTTGGTAGGAATTCTTACATGGCTAAAAAACGTGGTATTTTTCACACAACCAATAACACTATGCAAAGGAAAATAATACTAATAGTGGAATTAAAACAATGATAAGTTAATTCAAAAGATCATGCTATTATTATTCTGATATGTCTAAATAACATTTTGTCATCAAATTTTTTGAAAGTTTTTTCCACATCCTTTATGTTTGAGTTGATCACAACACTTCAATGTCAATTTTTTATGGTATAATAATAATGGTATAAAAATATAAAGCTGTAATAGTTTATATTTAAATAGCGCAAATGATATTACCGAATGTCTGTTATTAAACCAACGGTCTTATGTTATCAGGAAATACATATATATCTGTTTACAACCGACAACCTGATAATTTCAACGTGTGAATAATGGCTTCCTTCCCACAGTCGCAACTGACGTTACTTGCAAAAATAATATTCAATCATAGTTTTGCAAAATTTAGCTCATTCTTGTTTTAATTATAATATATTTATGTTACATTTATTACAATTTAATATGTATGGTTACCCACATATGGTGTATCCACTCCGAGCGAGACCCTAAGTAAGCAGTCAGTCACAATTTGGGGCCTAAACATGTTTTTTTTTTGGAGACAGGCTTCTGGGATAAGATTATTATCTTTTTTATTTTAGTTTAATTTCAATTACAGTTTATATTTTAGACCATAGTGCGCCAATGAGGAGCACTGTTAATTGCTTACATTGTGTTTTTATCCGTACATTTGGTTCACCGAGCTATAAGACCGAACCTGTACTGGTACTGGTTTTGAGTGTATGCAATAAAGCGTAAAGCATTACCTGATCCATACATTCGATGCACCGGCTTATAAGGAGCACAATCAATTTTTGAGGAAAAAGAATTAAAAATCCGCATTATGGTCCATAAAATACGACAATTTCAGTAATAAGTGGTTTTCTTATGTTATGTTTTTCCTTGTGGAGTTCATGGCATTATCATCTATTTTTCTATACAGAAAGTTGATTAGGTTATATATATATTTAACATCTATCAGTGCTGTATCTGTTACACACAGAAACAATTCACAATATGCGATATCGAAAATATATGTCTAATTTAGATTATTTCGTTATAAATATACCAAACTCAACTTCCTCATTTATGTTTTCATCGCAGGGAGCAAGAAAGAAATGCATTGAATTATCAAACTTGGAAGTTGGCGATTATACTTTTCAACTAACAGTAACTGATGAAGCAGGACAAGAAGATACAGCTAAAGTTACAATCATAGTACAACCTGTAAGTTGAGTCGTTTACTAGCCACTACAGAACCACTGCACTAGCCGATTTATAGTCTGTATATTAGTGTTTTTCATCACTACTCACTTGGCACGGCCAAATATTTTCATGATCCTCTGGAACAGTGGCGTAGCCAGGGGGGTGGTTTTGTGGGTCGAAATGCCCCCTTTTGAAATGTTAAAAAAAAAATAAAATCATTGTTCTGTATCATAGATAGCAATTTTCCGTAGCTTGAAATGCTTTTTAGACCCCCAAGACTACTATAAACACGCATATTCCAGCGTTCGATCGGACCCGCTAGCTGTTTTGATCTAACTTTTTCAGAACCCCGCCCTTTGAAAATTTCTGGCTACGCCCCTGCTCTGGAACTAAAATAAGAATAAGCTAGAATTTTATAACACAAGAGAATAATAAAACTGACAATACATTGAATGAGACAGATGTGTATATTTTTGCACAAAAGATCAAATCTTGGCGCTATTTCGGCGATGGTGGTTTTCAATACTGGTTCCAATTTGATCTACATTGATTGATTTGTTTTAACATGACCCACAGTTTGAAGAGGCCTGTCTATAATATTATTATATATTAGTATTTCAATGTAATCCCCTTAGGCTTATTTCTAGCCGAATTGTGTCTGCTTATAATGTTTTGTGGTGGAAATACAATCCACATGTTATCATATTTCTGAACCTGTGGCTAGTTTTCATTGCTTATTATTGGTCTATATCCGAGTACAGCAGTTTATTCTTTCTGTCTTGGTCATTTTTATTGTTATTAGTAAATGGTAATAAAGCCAAATTATTTTAAAAATCGAAAAGTGCAATTTTTTAATAGTCAAAAATATTTGTTGACTCAATTCCACTCAAATAAAAAAAATCCAATTTCCACTAAAACAAGTTTCCTCCAGTGATCACGCTATAATATAATTGCAAAAGGTTGTTAGTCTTTTTTCTTCCATTTTAGGAATCCAATCATCCACCATTAGCAAATGCTGGAACGGATCAACAACTTCTATTACCTTTAGAGAATGGTGTCGTTACTGGTAATTTAGATGGTTCTGCAAGTAAAGATGATAAGTCAATAACTACTAGACTATGGAAAATGACCAGGTACAGTTAATGTATCAACATTCTTTAACTTGAGTTAAGTCTATTATTAAGCGATGTAATTATGGGATTCGGATATTAGCACTGTTTTAGAATTGTCTTGATTGAGTTGAGTTTTTTAAAAGTTTCGCTCACAATTTTAATTTTGGTAAAATTTGACATCAAAGCAAATAGGAAGGTTCAATAAAATTATATGATTTACCAATCAAATGAAATTTGAAAGGTAATCGTCTAAAATGTTTCATCTGTTTGAAAAGTTGAAAATGTAATAGGAATTCTTTATACCAGTGGTCAAATTGTGATGATTTGAAGTATGCAGAGAACTAACGATTCACTTTCTATTTCATAACTTAAGAATTATCATTGATACATTCATTCATAGTATGTCCATTATGTGCACAAAAACAAGCTCATGTGAAGCATTGTTTCAATTTGCATATGTTGATTACCACTTTAATTACCACTTTTATTCAGTGGCCCGCAACCAGTCACCATTGTCAAGCCTGATGATTTAGTAACATCAGTTACAGGGATTACGAAACCAGGAAAATATGTGATGACATTAACTGTTACTGATGCTGATGGAGCTTCTAGTTCTGATGATGTTGTCATTACAGTGAAAGAAGGTAAAATATCGTTTTTAAAGTTTCGTTCATTGTCAATGATTTGATGTTGATTGGATTGAAAATGCTGACATATTTTAATGAAATCTGCTCAAATCAAGCTCACATGCACTCACTTAGACACAAAGGAGGCTTGTCTCTGAGCAAAGTTACAAATGACAATCATAATTTAGAAGCGCTTGTATCTCGACTTGACGGGTCAAGTGTGGAATTGTACATTGGTAGATACTGATTCATGAGAGACTTAAAGCAGTTCATGTCTATAGAACAGGAAAGCAGCTATGAGGTAGTGAATTCCTTATAACGGAAGTTCGAAAAAAAATTTTGTTGGACAGCTAGGGGCCAAATTGCAAACTAATTTCTATCAAATGTTGCTTTGTCATGTCTGTCATGGTATTGACTAGGAACTACTTTTAGTTTTGAGTCCTTTCAAGTTTACTGGTGTGGTGCGTTGTGAATAACCCCATATAATATCAGTAGCTGTTGCATTTCAGTGGTCCGCCAGTAACTCTGTCTAGTGATGAGTCTCCTTTACTTCTGAGTGAGTGAATGTGGCCATCGAGCATATTTTATTAAAAAAATAGATATCTTCGTTTGTATCTTATTGCCTGAATTTACATGCTGTTTTTCATTTTTATAGAGCAACCGCCCATAGCATTAGCAGGTTCGGACATCATTTTAACTCTCCCTGACAACGTAGCAATGTTAGATGGAAGTAAATCAACTGATGATTATGGAATCACAGAATACGAATGGATAAGATCAGACAAAAGTCCTGCTGCTGGTGTAAGTTGTTTTTCTTTATCCCTCATCCAGAGGCTTTTACACTCGTGTCCACCTGTTTATCAATACCAGTGTTATTTATAGTATATTATTAGGAGATCCCAAATCCTATTATGTTCAAACAATTCATGCTCAAAAAGTGAATTCCCCCCTCCCCCCTCCGTAAAATAGCCTTGTCAAGCAATGGAACTAGGAAGAATGAGGGGTTTTCTTGGGAAAGGAAAAGTAAAATTCTTCAACCGCTCTGTATCCCCTGGTTGGGAACTGCTTACGAAGGAAAATCAATTGTGCCTTCTTTTGTAGTAGTTTTTCTCACGGTAGATTCATTTATAAGCTAATCGAGGATTTTTGAACAAAAGAGCAATGCTCAAATATATACACATGAAGTGACATATCAGTTCCAATATGTCATGAGAAAGTGAGTTTGGTGAAATTGATTGACCAATCAATTGTGTAATAAAGCAATTTTTTCATAAATTTTGGAACAACAATTTAGTAAAACAATTCACGTATACACTTACTGACCAAAAACTCACTGTTGTTTATTATCATTTCACACGTGATTCCGTGTTTTTTTCATGTTTACTTTATTTAAACATAACTATATACACACTAGGCTATACTATCATATTAATAATAATTCCATATTTCTGCAATGATTTCAGTATTTTCTGAACGAGTCAAATCACCAAGCTGTTCTTCATGTTGCTGGTTTGGTACAAGGATCATTTACTTTTATATTAAAAGTTACGAATATTCGTGGAAAATCATCACAAGATGAAGCAAGAGTTACCGTGGTTTCTGATCCTCTCACCGATAATTTGGTAGGTTTTAAAGATTTCTATTTTTATGCTGCAGGCTAGAGGTTAGAGCATCGGAGGCAAATTGAATTTGTGAGTCATGGTGAATTTGAATTATGGCAGTATCGTGAAAGTCACTTGTAACAATCTGTGAAGAAACCTAAACATTAACAATGATAGGCAAGATCAATGATCAGTGGATTCCAACCGTTTATGGCTTTGTGATTTCCAATCGGGGGTACACATCACCTTAGAGCTCCGCAAGCACAATGCAGTCCAAGGGTCAATATTAATATATGTGTATTGTGTAAATATAATCAAATACCTATCGAGTTTGCCAATATTGTTGAACTGCTACACCTTTTAGGCAATTTGTTCTGCCAGTATTACGTTTGCTTTCATACATAATTTTATAGTTCGTATTATTCCGGCAATAAAATAAATTAATTCACTATTTCACAATGATTCCTTGAGCCTTTGGAATGTTTCATTGGGGTGCGCTTCATCAAGAAGGTGGTTGAGAACCACCGACTTTAATTGAAGGAGGATACATTCATTCAAAAAGTTCCAATGTCAATCTGAATGATGTCATTTTTATTTCCTGATAAAGAGGAAATAAATTTTTTATTTCCCGCACCTATATCCTGTTATGACTTCACTTAGGGCTTCCTGTACCTACATACATATAAAATAGCAAGCGCAACACTTTTCTTTGAGGTTGCAAAATGTAATAGGAAAGTAATATTCAGCAAGATACTAAATAGATTCCAGAACTTTTCCAATTACCTATAAAAAATTTTGATGATTGATACCCTAACACAGGGATGGCGAACCTTTTCCGATGAATGGGTCAAAAATTACATTTTTATTGCGGAACAGAAGAGAGTGGGTCACAGATATTTAATCAATGTTTGTATCTATAAGAAACTTCTGAATCAAATCTTGTAAGCTTCTGTTGGTGTTGGTGTAGTTTTGGGATTATGCAGCATTTCCGATAAGGACTTTTTATGGCACTCGATTATATGAAATGAGAGTACGAAAACACGCATATTAATTAACAAAAACGTTTAGGATGATGGGGAAAACTAATTTACGGTACCAAATAGTTTAAGAGGGAATTCCACTCTGATAGTGTTATATTTTTCGATCTGCTTCCAACCACATTAAGGCACTTTTACACTGCCCCATTGGTATTTCGGATTTCTAGGTTTTTTTTTCAAATCTGGAATATTTTGTTTTTACAGCGGCATTGTAGATGAGAAACTAATTAAATGCAAAGTAGCATCTAGTTCTCGTATTACCCCTAAAAAAACATGCAGGTGCACTTCCAAAAGAAACGAGGCCTAAAAAAACATGCAGGTGCACTTCCAAAAGAAACGAGGCGTTGCGAAAAATTACCAGATCAATTGCATTGTTATATCATAAACGATGCCAGAGCCAATAGCAGAATATCGGTACACAGCGGTGCAGACATGCGTCCAAGATTAAGGCCGGTTTTATCAATTTTTAGCACTGATATGTTAGCATTTTTTCATTTCATCCGTGCCTTGGTGGGTCACGAATAAAACGACGTGGGTCACTTTGTGACCCGCGGGTCAGTGGTTCGCCATCCCTGCCCTAACATAATATATTCACTATGAAATGTTCATGAATTTGCTGGATTTTTTAATCCATTCAGATTTTTATTTGTTTGCCTATTCTTTAATGATCTTTTTCAAATGATTTATTGCCCACATCTAATTTGCTCAAGGATGAAGATATATGTTCTTATGGGATATTTTCCTCGAATTATAATATTGTTAATACAATGTTTCAACTTCTTAGTAATGATTATCTTGTGCAGTTATTACTTTAAGATCGTCATCATTTTTCAATATCTTATTGTGCCATGAATTTTCTATGCCATCGAATGAATTTTCTGATATTTTCATGTAGGTTGAACTTCATCTTGATGCAAACATACTAAGATTTGATGAAGCACAGAAACAAACAGTTATTAAACAATTGGAAGTTCTACTTTCTTTACAACCTGATGATAAAATCATTGTTACAGATGTATTTGCTGAACATGGAACTGGACAGTAAGTAATGCCTATCGTAAATATTACAGTTTGTAACTCTATAATTTTTGCTGCAAATGGGGACAATAACAGTTCTATTTAACATCTGATCTAATCAGAAAACTGTCTTAAATTGAAAAATATTCTAATCCTAATTCTGTATTTGTGACTTGTTAATTAGGTTGTAATGTTATGATAAAATAAAATGTATTGGATGTTCTCTACTTTTTTAGTATGATTGTCTTATTCTACGTCAAATCAAAAGATGGTCAAATACTTCCTGCAATGACAGTAACAGACTCTTTGAATTCAAAATTAAAATATGATGTTGATTTTCTGGAGTTCAAGTTTTTGAGAGCGGATACATATGGTAAGTTCTGCAACTAATAGGGCTTATGTAAGTGTTTGTGTATTATAATAAGCATTTTGCTGTTAGTCATTCATTTCTGAATATTGTTGTGCACTTTAGAAGTGTTAAAAGTATTCAGATATTGAACTCCAATTGGAAATTGGAATACATTCAAAAGTTGTCCCTTTAGGCATTTGATAATCAAATAAACAAAAGAGCAAAGCTCAAATCTATGGACACGAAAGCCAAAACAAAATATTCTTCCCACAATTTCCAACCTGAACGAAGCTAAAACTATGGAACGGCTACTTCCAACTGTAAAAAAATTTTTTTTTGTCAAGTTCAAATCGATAACTACCAGTAATTTAGTGTTCATATCATTTGACTCATTGTTTTCAGTTTCTCAAAATTAAACATTCTGCTTTTCAGTTTGCGAAAACACTTGTTCTGGTCATGGCAGATGTCACTCCGGAACTCATGATTGCGAATGTGATTTATTTTGGATGGAAAACTTTTTCAGAGTTTATATGGGCGATGGAAAGAGAAATTGTGGTATGCTAATTTTAATTTTAGTAGTAGTATATTTCCGAAGGATTTTTTTCCCTTCTTGTTTGTATAGCAAAAAAAGCTATGGTAAAACCTTACTCTTGTCTAACTTTTTCATTGATTTTTTAAATTTCATAATGTACCTCAAAATTATGGTATGAATTGGATTTTTAGGATTTATTTGATTCCTGTTTCTTCTTCCAGCAAATTTCCTTATCAGGATTGAGCTTGTCTGTGAAGTTTTCAAGTATATTAAACGCAAATTATAATTTTTTTTTTCATGTTTTTTTTGTCTTAAATTAACGCAAATTGATATTGACTAAAAGCGGTTTGATATTAAATACCATACCATAAGAATATGTAATATTATAGAAATACTCATTATTATATACACTGACAAAAACTTGATATTTTATCAATTTTTTAGATTGGAGTGTCCTGTATGTTGGCATCGTTACTTTCATCATCATCACATTATTCAGCTGTGCAATGTGGTTCTTTGCCTGTTTTTGTTTGAAGTAAGAAACTCTTTTATCCATCTTTTATTTGTATTCTTAATTGATGTACACACATTTTGTCCAATAAATGGAGTTTCATTATGCCAACAAAGTAAGTTACAAAAGTTAAAAGCAAGTCTTTTAAGCTTGCCACCCGTTTAGCTATTTGTATTTTTGCTATTACATTGTGCGGGTCAGACTTCACACCTCTCCATATGAGTTGATGTCAATTATCAAGCATCAGATTAGGCCGAGTTATACAATAATTGTATCTTATATACCAGTGGTTCCCAACCTTTTTCCACCCAAATAATAAAAAAAAATTGGAAAATCTTGGACCCAAGGATATACTCTCATGCTAAACCGTATGTAGTACTTTTATGACCACAGAATTAAACGATTAATACAAAACAGTCATTTTTACATAATATTTATTTCAACAAAATATAATCAAAAGTTCGCACCTATGAGGAAGCTGCCCTTTTTTATCCATCGGCGAGTTTTTTAAAATTGGAGCGTGGGCAATGGGCATATTCAGGCAAAATAGCTACATCCATGATTTTTCACTGTGATACTCCCCACATATAAATTACTATTGGGCAACACTACAATACCGAAGGCTGGGAAACGCTGCTATATACGGTACTACTAAGCCTCAGGTGATGTTAGCTGACCATAAACAAATGTTGTCCTTGCTTCAGTACTTGAACGCTATACCTAGTTCGCTAAATGACTCTTTTCTATTTTGTAGAAAGCGAAATAAAAGATCACCAAACAGAAGACGCAAAAATTACACAACTCATGACAAAGCAAGATATGAAAAGTTACCAATGAAACCACACAGAAATGGACATGTTCGAAAAAGTAAGTGTATTCCCCTGTTGTTTTCCTCTGAATAAACGTTTCACATCGCAGCAACAACATACTGCTTTTGAATTTTATAAAACACTCTATTGAGATTCTTTTGAGAGAATGCTTCATTCTATCTGTTTGTATGCTTTTTGCAAAACGTGTTTTCTGGATAAATGTATTTTCATTCAGACTTCACCCAGCATTAGGCAATTGGAAAATCTTATGTTTGAATATGAATCATATATGGTGAACATTTAATGTATTCATATACTATATACTCATATGTTACATTCATAAGCGTAATGATTTTATTCTAGTTTTTACTATTCTACTGTTGTATTCGAGCAGATTTTGAACACAGAACTGTAATACCGATTCAGATTGAATTCATGTAAGTGATAATAATTCAACTTTTGTCTAATTTAGATGGATATGTACGACCGGGAGTAACAGCCTACAAATCAAGTAGTATAATGAGGAGCATTTCATCCTCAACTTCAAGTTTATCTGACTCAGACGCAGCAAAAGAACATACTTTATTCGAGAGAAAAAGACTCTTGCTTTCTTCAAATGGCGGAGGAAGACCAAATGGTGCTTTTGATCCTATCGAAGCCGATTTTGCTAAAGTAAAAGTCCGTAAATCTTCATCTTCTTCATTTAGTAAAAACTCTAATAATTCAGCGCAAAGAGGAGAAAATTATAATCCGTCATTCGGACATCAAAGTACTTTATTGAGGGTCAGAAACAGTGACGAAGAAGATATTTTATAAATAGTATTTTGTGTTTTCTTTCATCTATCTTCAAAGTGCAATTGACTGATATAAACTTTTATTAATATATGATTTTTTTGTTGCTCATGATATCCTCCGATCAACATGCCTATTGGGTAGTTTTGCTGGAATGATTGGGACTGTATGATCCTAACTTGAATTACATTATCTGAAAATGTATAAAGAATCAATGCTGCCCAATAGCTATTCACAGAGTATGTCATCAATCAACGATTTAGATTATATGTCCATCTTTATTTCTTATTTAGACTTAGAAAATTGAGGGTGAATTCCCATATGATCATTTGAAGAAAACATGATCGGATAATTTTATATATTGAGGTGTACAAAAAATTCCTGGGATGATAAATTTTAGGCAACTATGACAAAAGCAATAACTGACAAAAATATTTTTGCTTACTTCTCATGTCTATGAGTGGTCAACAATTAAAAAATTATGTTATCTGAAATTGAAAGATCATTGTATCTAAAAATATTAGGATTGGCATAATTTAATATCTTTTACAATCATTCAACTGGTTGTCGTTAATTATGGCTCAACAGGGAAAATTTTATTATATAATTATACAATTATACATAATTGTAATTATAATTATACCTTGCATTGGGACATTGTCTATTTCTTCCAGATAAAATTAGTATATATGTATATAACACCATACTTGGAAATTTGTCACATGCTTAGCTGCCTGTACTAGCTTCAGATACATAATCTTTTTTTGTTGGAGTGGTTATAACAATATTGATTGTATTAGTTTGAAACTAATATGTACGGCTGCACTTTTATTTTATTACTAAAAGACTTGTTGAAAAAAGGACCCTTTTTATGCAAAATTCTTAGTTATCTTAAATTTATAGCTACTTATAAATGCTTGTGCCTTGTGTTTTTGCTTTTAATATCGGTGCTATGTTGCTTTTTGTGTGTTTTTTTCATGGACGCTAGTAACTCTTCAAATAGATTTAATACAACAATTAGATGTTTTATGAAATGATAAAATACTTCTATCAACACCCAATTCCAAGCAGATAAGACATCTGATAATTAGATCACTATTTGTCATAATTTTTTTTTAGTTTTATTAGTAAGTGGTAGAGAAGTTTTGATAATATTATGTTAGCTAAATGAATTGATTTTGATAAGAATCTGTGACAAGAGAGCTGTTCTTTTTTTTTGAAAATTTATTAGAAGAACTTAATTTGTCTAGTGATTGGTTTTTAATTTATTGGTTCGTAAACTACTTGTCATTATCTCAAGTGAATCACAAAATATCAATTCCATTTTACCAAAGATTTACTTCATATCTTTCCGAGTGTAGAACTTGAAAATAAAATGTTTGAATTCGTTTAGAGAGAAATTCAGCTAGTTATATCAGATTTTTAACTAGCCTTTTCAGTTGTCTTAATTTTATGTTAGTAAAGTCACACTTTGCGATTTGTATACAGTAGGTAAATAAATCTATTGTGAGTCATAAAATTTAGAATCCACTGATTCAATACAATGATACTATCCAAATTCTTCTCTCTGGATAATTTACTTAGCAGATAATTGGAAGTTGAAATAAAGATTCTAATTAGCAATTACACCCTTTTATAAAACTTGCTTTCTCTTGCCGAATAATATATACGTTGATTCTTGTTTTTAATTTTTTCTGTGAATCTTTTATTCTATAATAAGCTTTGATTTTTATTACCTACATGCTCGCACAAATACATTGAAGATAATTTTTATGTTTGAAATTTGTGCAATTCTGTTCAAATTTTAAGTCCCACTTTTACTTAAATAACCTATTTTATTTTTTTCCCCGAGTAATATTGAAACTATATCTAAATACACTTGTTGTCATTATTATCACCAAGTATGAAATATGCTCAGTTGTCTCATATGTTATTCATAAAGATCTGCTAAGCCTGTGAAGCCATGTTGATTAGTAAAAAATGATATATTGCTACTACGTGGGAGTAAAACCAACACAATTTTCCTAAATCAGGATTAGGGGCTGGGTTATAAATAACAATGGCCCCAGCACCGGATCCTTTTTTGAAATTTATCAAAGTTTTAGATACACAAATTCAACTCGGAACTTATAAATCGATATTACAAATTGAATTTATATGAAAAAGTATTAGCTGAGAAGGTTATTTATATAGCGTATTACAAAATTGTAAATGAGGAAAAATAAGATGGTTAGGAGCTGAAGCCACTAAAAGTTCTTGTAGCCCCGATTTTAGCTCTTATGGTAAGCTTGGCTCTAGCTCAAATTGTCGCACCTCTGGTTCTCCAGCCCTGTTAATACAGGTGAAATGGAAATTCAACAGGCATAAAGTAGGAAATTTGCTTTTTCATATCACAAGCGTACATAAATATAATAGTCCATTCCAAAATATGGGACAAATAAACTGTGATATGGGCATAAGGCAATAATGTATATTGTATTGACAGATTTCAAATTGTCTTTATTTCTCTAATGTATCGAGTGCATATATATATATATTGCTGTTTTATCCTATATGACCTGTGCTATGTACAGAATACTATTGGCTTTTTATTCGCTGTATAGAATGCCATAAATGCTGAGTTTAGCTCTATATAATTGTGTTAATATTTTACTAATGTTCCGTGTTATCAAATTGTTTTAGTCAGTGTGGTTATTTGTTTTTAGACTTATGAATACGTCATAGTAACTTTTGTAGACTAGACCCAGAAAGAGGTTGCATATTTTTAAACCATCTCTTACTCTTTTATTCAAGTTTTGGTAGTAAAGTTAGTTTGTCCTGATCAAGTTGATGTCTTTATAGATTACATGTCACAGTTAAAAATAACTTGCCATTACCATGTTTTGACTTTCTAAGGTATGGTCCACATGATTTATAATGTTTGCTTGGCAATGATGTAAAGTCCATTTACTAAAGATTATAATATCGCATTGTTAAAAAGTCACAACAGGCTCAGAATCTAGTCTGAGTTGTACCAAAAAAAATAAATTTCCGTCTTAAGGTTTTGCTAATTTTGAATGATTCATGATTGTGTGGTCACTACCCCTGTCCTGGTCAATCATAGGTAACTTGACCCCCAGGCCGCTTCAATGAATTGGAGACTATTCGAGAAAACGCCCTTCTGACCCCACCATTAAGTGATTTAATATTAAGTGTTGTTAACATTTACCAGATACAGTTCCAGTTAAAAGTGTTAATTTTTAATGAACAATAGAGATTCATTTATGCCTCTATAAATCAAAATTTCACTGCCGAATTATTCTGTAGCAACAGTAGGAATTAATTTTATTTATCCAGTTTCACGATTGTTGTCATGGGTATTCATAATTAAGCCATAAAATTTTTTTTTTTACTCATGAAAATGATTACATGTGAAAATTTATTAAAAATTGTTTTGCATCAATAGGACAAAATGAAAAATGTGTTTACTGTTGGTTTGCGTTTTTTTTGCATTATAGATTTCTTTATAATTTGTTTTCCCTTAATAGTCATCAGTTGCATGAACCTAACTTGAAGATTATCATTGTTCACAAAAAACAAAGCATTCCGATTCCATGAAACCAGAATTGAAGCAATATTTCATTCTTTAAACGTAGACAATCGTCAGTCAGCCTTTTCCACCATGCATGGGTAAAGGAAAGTTCATGCTATGATCCCAGGTCTCTTTACGTACACTGTATGGTACAGATATACATTTGTTAAATTAATTTCATGTCAGTTCATTTCTGCACATGTTTCAAAATTAATTCTTTATCCTGCTAAATCTTGCTTAACTGTGCTCAGTTGAAGATCTGATATTTTATTAATAAAATATGTTTATCTATATCTTATTTAGTTAGTTTTGTCTCCTACTATTATTACTTTTGTTGTTTTACCAAATAATAAATTATGCCTGTTTGAAGTTTGTTGAAATTATATTGGTGTTTGGGGTATAGAAAAGTGATGGTGCTGAGTGCTGTATATCACGACGTTACTTAATGTGGCGCTTGGATGCATTGGGATTTACCGTAAGCAACGAATATTTTTGGAAAGGATAACCATTTTATTATTTCAATGACTGCCTTTTGTACTTTTAATAGTCCTGTGTGCACTAAAACAACAAACGCATATCAATTTTCATGGGACAAAAAATTTGAAATGAACTTGACTATGAGGATGTATGTGACATTGGACTACAGTAGTGTGAAAGATGGCTTTCCATGAAACGATGTTGTTTTGATTATGACAAAGGCGCCTAGCTTAATAATATCAATCTTCCAGAAAAATGCATGGATATACGGTTTCAAGTGCGAAGTACTTATAGGAATTATTAGTCTATTCGAGGCTGTATGAAACTGAGAAAATAGCCCTAAAATTAAATGAGTTGTCGTCGTTTTGTTGGAGAATATCTTTATTTGATTGAATCTTAATTTCCACAATGCTGCACTTCATGTATTTCAATAAATATACGTGTGACCCCCAGAAACAGGACCCAGATCATTGGAACATGATTTTTGTGCAAAGCGTCCAAGGTTATTATAGAAACATTTGGATACAATCACGCACAAACAGGTTGAGAAATTTATGGGTTCTGTTTTTGGCACCCTGCATATTATATATATGCAAGCATTTTTTTCTAGCTCAAAGTAGAAATATACTGCCTGATATCTGATATCTCACTTGAATATTGCAGCACATGTGGACGTTTTTTAGGTTAAATTTTAAAAATTTAAGCCTTAGTTTTCGAACATCTGTTCGCACCCATGCATATCTTGCTTGTGCGGTTAGGGGAATTCCCACTTTCTCAAAGAAATAGGATACGAGAAATTCACAACATATTTCACGGACGTCGTTTCGTTGTATTTTTCATTATTTAAATGTACGTTGTCCGTGTAGAAAAGTAAACAAACCAGATGATATGCTCCAATAACTTTAATTTGCGACGGGTTTATTGTGAAGGCTACCGGTACTTTATTATTTCCATATTTTGCTACAGATTTTATATTTTGGGGTTATCTTCCTAGACTAGAGGTTTCGTAAATTGTTATTTAGTATAGACAAAATCATGGAGGGCAACGAAGAAACCCAGCAACTAAAACTTATGGTTGAACAGCTCAAAGGATTGATTCGTAGCAAAGATGAAGAAGTTCAAGAAAAAAACAACTCAATCAAGGTCTGTACACAATTTTTAAACAATTTCCTATAGCCTATGTTTTTCCTAATCCTGTAATCCAATCATTGTAAAATTAAATTCATGTAGATCTGTAGATACTAATTTTTTGTTGATTTTTATTCTTTTCTTGTTGATTTTATTCCTGTCTGTTTTTTTCTGTAGCCATTTTGTCATTATGGATTACTGGATTATGGTATTAGAAACTTTCAATTTTTTATGCATCTATGTCTGAGAACAAGAGGTCGGGAATATGTTTTTATATTTAGTTCACATTTCAAGATTTTTAGAAATTCCCATTTTAGTGATCTTCGGATCTGTGCAGTCAAACTCAAAATTAAACATAGGGCACAGACTTACTAAAATAGACACTGCTTTAAAATCCAGACCCCGGTCCATTATGACAGAAAATAAAATAAAAAGTCTATTTTTTGTTAATTGAACATAAGCTAGTTTGGTTTTTCTGCAACATAAAATAATCAGGTCAAAACTCTTCTTTTGAACAATGACTGAATGATGCAGAAATAGCAGCATCATATAATTTACCCATAATACTCCAACGATTCCCTGTATGGCTTTATATAGAATTTGAAGAGGATGCAACTAGTATTTTCTGGCCCCAAGATAAATATGAATTCTTCTACAGTTTGAAGATCTTAGTTAGCTATGGAAAAGTTGATAAGACAGCATTGCTATATTAACTCCGTTCAATGCAAAAGCACATTGTCTTCTAACAATTTAACTTGTTTAATATTTATTGCTTGCATTGAGAAGTTTGGTTCAAGAAGAATTGGTTTTTTTTCTCATTTTGTTATACGATAGATAATATTCGCAATTATCATTTTTTACTAATTTGTGAATCTTTGCTTTTTTTCAGGATACAGAGACAAAGCTTTCAAAATTCAAGATCCAAATGAAGGCAAAAGAAGCAAAAATTTCATCATTAAATAAACAGCTGAAAGAAATTCAACGAAAAAATGAATCTTCTGCATCAGGAGATGTAATTTTAGTTTTCTCATTTAATATAATCCATTTGAACACATCACATTTTTAAAGAAATTTGATATTTGTCATAGCCGAATCTATTGATTTTTCCATTGCACATGAAAATAATATGTATTATTTTTATTCACTGATTTTTTATTCTTACTTCTGCTAAGGATCTGAAAATGTTATCATATATATTATGCCCCCTTCAGAACATAGAAAACATTGACAATTGAATACAAGACCAATCTTATTTTATTTGGAATTAAAAATAATTTCAGGGTGCTGGAGAAGCAGAGTCATTGCAGAAAATTATAGAGCAAAAAGAAAATACAATCAGGCAACAGTTGAAAACAATGAAAGAACATGTAAGATTGAATGAAATTTAAGCTTTTTTTTCAACACTATTCTAGTGTTTAAAGTAGGGGTGTGCAACATTTTTTGTCAGTAGGCCATATAATCAACTTCAGACATCTAGCTGGCCCACACAAAAAATTTAGTTTTTTCATGTACACAACGAATTTAAAATTTCTCACAATGCAAAATGTTAATATTAGTCATTTAATATTTTGTTAACATCAGCTTTGACAGAAGTTGTAGCAACAATTGTATTGTTGTACAAAATAAAATTATAAGATTAATATATTTGCATCATTTTAGAGTGCAGAGTTTTTGAAGTTTGAAGACTGCTGACTTTCATTACAATATTGTAGATTTGAACTGAGTTATTTATCTAACATCTAGTTCTGCTGCTATATATAGTGATGACTATTATTTTCAGGAGCAAAGGTTTGCAAAATTGAAGAAGGAATATGAAGAGAAATGCTCAGCAGATGAAAAAAATGTGAAAAGAATTTTTAGTTTCTAAATTTCTCCGGATTCGGTCAACTTTGATTGAGTTGCAATTCAAATTCAGATTTGCATTCAGAAAATAGGAAACTTTGGAAGTTCATGCTTATTGCTTACTCGTCACCCCCTTATAAGCAGGGAGCAAATATTTATGCGAGATGCTATATGACAACGAAAAAGTATATTTTGGGTGGGAAAACGACACGTTTTGGCCATTATATCATTCTTTTCAGTGCCTACTCATTTAAAGCGCTACTCATAAACATTTGTAATGGCAGATTAGATTTACAGCATGTAAAAAAATATGGGAGATAAATTATAGTAAGGTGTGTATTGCAGATAGAATTGTTTATTGAAGAATACACAAGATATAAATAAATCTTGTTATAATATCCTTGATAGTAGATTTATAAAGTGCATATTGGGTATGTGATTTTGTTTTGAGAAACCTAATTAGTCATTCAAATATAAAGGATCAAAGAAGAATAGAGGAACTAATACAAGCGATTGAAAACAAAGATGAGCTGATAAATTCATTCTCTGCACAAATTGAAGAATTTAAAAAGTCAACAGGAGAGAAAGATAAAGAATTGAATGTAACCCAATTTTTTCTGCATTCTTCATATTACTATTCTTATGGAAGATAATGATTTCAATTCTGTAATGGACTAGTTGTGTTATTTGTGCTATGATAACAATCAGATCTGTACAATGAAAATTAAAGGAAAGCTGTGCAATATTTTGACTTCCAGCCAAGTCGAATGAATGTACACATTTTACCTTATAACTAGTTTTATTTTTATAGAATACTGATTCTTTTAAGCAATCTTTTCACTCAATGTTTTTTAATTTAATTTTCAATTTTAGGTGTTATTATTGTTATTATTGAATCTTGCTCTATGGCAGCTAGAATTATACTTTTTTAATGGATCTGTCTAATGTTATTACCGTAGATATTGAAGACCAAACTATTTGAGAACGAGACTTTGTCACAGCAACAAAAACTTCTTCTTGACAAGCTGAGCACTCAAGTTGGTGAACAAGAAGAGAAGGTTGCCATGGTTACTGAAGAAAGAAGTACTGGTATCAGTCATATGCAAGAGGATATGGTGAAATTAACAGAGGAGGTATACAATAAAAGCATAAAAATTGCATTTTATTTCTGGAAAAAATTTGAATTTTCTGTCTAGATTGCTACTGTCTGTATGTATCTGTCTAAAATTGGTATGTTATACCAGCAATTACAGTATACTTGATACACGGTTTAGTTTGGAAGCAGAAATGAATGAAACGTACATGCTTAAATTTTTCTTTTACATTCATAATTTGACAGATTAGGAATGGCAAAAATTAAATAATTCACTATTCCAACTATATTTTGAAATAATATTTTTTAATATGAAATATCGAATATTTTTTAAATTATATCATGCTCCATAGAGAAATTTGCTTGAGAATATCATATTTGACTGTCAGATGTCAACTGGACAAAATGACTGTTTCCTCAATTAAAAATTTTAAAATACCATTAAAATTAATTTCAAAAAGAAATTTGGATACTCGATTCATTTCAGATAATCCCTGGACTAGATACAATAAATTGATTAAACTTATGCCAACCATATTAAATATTTACATATTGTTTATCATGTATACCATGTTAATATTTATTTCCAAGGTTGCATCTCTTTCGTCTAAACTTCATGATAAAGAAGGAACAATAGGAATACTTGAAGATCATATTCTACAATTGAAACGGGAACATGAAGCTCAAACTGCTGACCTGACTGAATCTAGTCAAGAACAAGATGAGGTTTGAGTTTTATTCATGACAATTGTAACCTCAATTTATTCGGAATGTGAGAATTTATGCGCTTCAAAGAAAAATTATGGTTTTTTTTTCAAAAAAATTTGTATGTAAAATAATAAGTGAATCAATTTTCATGAAAGAATTTTAATACCAGTTATTTTTGTCAGAATTGAATTATTCATATAACCTTTTTTTGTGGCAATCTCTGATAATATTTTGTTATCATTTTTCTGTTATGATCAGCCCAGTCGTATTCCACTTTTATCAACTCAAGACATAACAAGCTTAATTCATGTATAAATACTTTGAAACACCGTTTCAGTTTGTATTGTGGTAAACCATCAAGCATCTAATATAACTTTGGTTGCGGTATATTGAGTATATTTTATCTGTATACTCAACAAATGTTGCTTTTACCAACCTTAACAATGGCAGATAATTCGTCCAAAGTGGCACTCGAACCCACTACCGTCAGGTTGAAATAACACAGAATTATGACAATATGGTTAAATTAAAGCGCCAGTTCAATTTAGTATTAGTCCTTGTGAATTTGTGCAAGGTTTAATGCTGATGATATTGTTCCGTTACATAATATGGAGGTTATTGTTCAAATTATGGTATACAGCGAAATATAACACTAAATCGCAATGCAATTTTTTTCTTGTTCATGTGACTAATTGCATTCCCACAGCTATGGCTATAAATATTAGTCAGTAGTAATTTTCTATTGTTGAGGTAACTGTAAAATTTTATTTATTTTATTAATCATTTTTGTAAGTTTTCAATCAAGGTACTCATTCTTTGTAACAAAACTGATTCCTTTGATACTCTGCTGTTATGTATCATTGAATTTTTTTTTTTTCACTTGCGTGTTTCAGCTTCTTCGTACACTGAAAAGAAGAATGCATGAACAAGAGGAAGTTTTATCTGGAAAAGAAAAAGTTCTTCAATTACTGCAAGATGAGGCAACTGACAGAGCACAAGAACATCAGGTCGAATATATATTACTTTTTATGTTATGTTCTATAATGCTTGAGTCTGGTTCAGTTTTTTACAGGAGTTGTATGGTGATTATTAGCATGCTACATCGCAAAATATTAAATGTATGATCTCAAGAAACAAAACCCAGGTCATTTGAAACATATTCTAGAGAGAACATACCTCTTGTGCAAAGTGTCCTAGATCACTGCTTTTAGGTACAATCATATACAAATAGGAGTTCAAGTTTTAAAATATATTCTTAGTTTTTGTAAAAGTACTTTGAAGTTGAAGCGAAAATTTTTTTAATTCTAGGCTTTTTAAATGCCTCCCACAAAATTCCTTTTTTCCTCTTTTATTGCACCCAGCTTAAAATGACAGTTCTTTGTCAAGTATAAACCCCATGAAGACCGGGCATAAAAGCATTAAATTATTTCTCAAAATAATCAATACTAATATGCTCGAAAGGTATAATCTGTCCATACCTTATATTAATACCTTTTCAATCTTTTCACCTCATGTAATCTTCTGCATGCTCAAATCAATACCTTTTGTACTTATTCACACAGGAACTACAAAAAACCATTAGCATATTACAACAAAATCTCAGAGAAACTGTAGAGAGTAAGGAGTTGCTGCAGGAAGAATTAAAAACTAGAGAAAGAGCAACCAGTCCAGTACAAAAGCAGGAGGTTTGTGATTTATTTGTGATTTTTATTCCACGTGAAGAATGATTTCTTGCACAGCTTATTTCATTTTTTAAATATTAAAGTCTATCTCACACTGAGTCCCTTCTGCGGCTCGTCTTCAACCAAGGATAACCAAAATATTATATTAGTTGTAATTAGGATTATATATTCTAGATTTTAATAAGTAATTTACTATCTGTTAAACTCAACTCAAATTGGAACTCAATTTGAAACATATTATATATTAGAAATAATAATTTCAGAATTTTATCAGGAAAAGTAGTTATTGTGTTTTAAACATCCCTTTCTCAGAGTAAACCAAAGACCTGTGACTAGGTTTTTAATTTTTTTTTTATATTTTTGGGTGTTTGAATTGTACACTAAAAAAAATTAAACAAAAATACCTCATTGCTTTTGTTCACTATTAGTTAATGAGGTTCACCTTCCCTCATTTTTTTTATTTTTTCAAGTCGAAGCCAATTTCCTCATCAGAGGAGATAGACAAACTTTTGATTGAAAAAGACAGCATAATTACACAATTGTCATCAGCATTACAACAATATGAAACTGTTCATAAACAAGCTACTGATCAGAATAATTTTTTGAGACAAGAAAGCTTGACTTTGAAGGTTGGTAAATGTGGAAAGAGTTAGATCTTACTTATGGTTTTTAGTTCTTTCTCAACAACTTGATAATAAACATTCTTTCGATTTTTGATCTGATTTCTATAAATATGATGAGGTTTTTGAGTAAAAATATTTTTTAATTTGGTATTTTGACTTCCAACAATCAAATTTTATCCATTATGCAACAAGAAAGAGATATGTGCCAACTTTCAATTAAAAAAATGAATGAATGATTGTATTGAATTTTATTTATACCCTATCGTTGAAATTTGAATTACAGTACTTTAGGGTTACAATTATCCTAGTCATGCTTAGTCATTATGTTGAATGTTCAACTAGTTTTGTCTTACTCCATGAGAAGGTCTCAAGGGATTGACTTATACTACTGTTCGGTCATAAGTATTGCATTGGGAATTCCTGGTAATTATTGTGATTTCATGACAGTTTTATGAAAGCTAAGTAGTAACCAAGTAGAATTAAACAGTTAAATAATGAGATGAATTAGCATGTAAACAAGACAATTTCTCTGGATTTCCAGCTAAAATTTTGGATATTGCCTTCAAATTCAATTCAAAATATCTTTCAGTGATGTTTAAGGCTACTGTACATTATTTCATATATTTATGTTTGCTCTTGGATCTGATATTTATTTTAAAAAAATGGTTTCTATTGCAAAATGTTTGAAACAGGATTTTAGGATTTTTGTGGGATTTTATAAAAAACAGTTAGTATTCTAGACTCTCTTTGAAACAACATCATAGAATCATACATAAAAATGTGTTTAGTATAATAACCTAGAAGGAATGACTTCATGTGTAAAAAGTTATCTAGAACATACCAAATTACAGTTTACAAATTTAGATACTCTTTTAGTTATAGAAAACATTCATGGCAGATTTTCTTTTTAAATTCATAGCATCTCTGTGTTATGAATATAGTGCTGTACATGAATATAGAGAAAATTTGAAACTATTTTTCACTAAATACTGCAGTTTAATATTTCGTTACATCTTTTAATTGTTTCAGGAAAACATTCAGAGTTTACAAGAAAGTGTAGAGAAGTGGCAACTTTTGGCTGAAGATTCTTCTAAAGTTCTTGAAATAAGAGAACAGGAGTATAACATCACTGTGAATAATATGGAAGGTTTGGCAATTTTATGGAGATATATTTTGAAATCCTTTAATTTATCATAAACAGAAATAAACATATGAATTGGTTTTCATTATTTAATCCTTTTTCTGAATTTGAACTGAAACCTTCTGTGCTTTGGGGTCTAATATTGATTGTTTACATATAGGAAATTGAAGAACTGAATACGAATGCTACAACAACCTTATCCAAAATTGTTGAAATGCTCTAAACTTATCAAGCATAGGACTCAGCCCTTTCATGTATATCTTAATAAAATTTCCCTACTTATCATTGGCGGCTGGCGCAAATAGTTCAAAAAATGGGTCAGCCGTGACTCAACACTATATTGCCTCTTCGATTATATACTATTTTGTTATACTTTTAAGGGTTTTATATAGATGACCAAAGATGGGAATGAACAATAGAGATGAATTTTAGGAAACCATTTCATATATATTTATCACTAGTTTCTGTACACTCGGAGGTTTTATATAATATAAACCGGTATATATATATCATGTATAGAAACTATGAAAAATCTCAGTCATGAATTAAATGAAGCTAAGAAAATAAATGAAGAGCAAACAGAAGATGCAGAAAAGAGAATGAAAACTGTTCTTATTGAACTTGATTCACAAACTAAGGTAATTGGTAATTACAGTAATTAAAGAAAACTTCTTTTTAACTTTTCTAGCAATATTTTTAGCTATATACTTTGTTAATAGTACTTCTAGCCTCGCTTCAATTGCATTTCTTATCATGGCTTGTTGTTGTATCATTTAGTAATTTGTGTTCCTGCTTGATGACCAGGTTGATTTTTCAATGTCTATCTCCACCTTGATGTACTATTCTTGACCTAATATATTCATTATTGGTACATGAAAAATTCCACTCATGACAATTCGATCCATGAAAATTCTAACCAAAATTCATCTGGAAGTTACACCCAGATGGAATGCTCTAACCTCCATTGGGGTTTTCTTCATTGATATTTTTGAAATTGTATCAGAATTTTCTGGGTGTCATTTTCAAGACATCGTTTATGTGCAATTTCAGTTTGCTGATATAGTGAAGTACCAGTCAGTTCGCTTCACCAGGATTATGTGTTTTTTATGATAATCTTTTTATTTTAAAATGATTAGGTTCTCGAGGACCAAACCAGAGAACTCAGTTATGCTAAGGAGGAAAACTTGAAATTGGTACAAAATTTGGAAGATTCGTCGACAAATGTACAAAATTCAGAAGATTCCTCTGGCAAAAATGAAGAAATAGTTAATGAACTGAAAAAGAGATTGGAGGAAAGAGAAGAGCAGATTGAAAGCTTAACTTCAAAGCTGATCGATGTGTCATCTGAAGCAGAAGAATTGCTTCTGAAGCTTGATAATAAAGATGCTGCTTATAAAATTATTGAAGATGAAAAGGAAGCTGTTTTCCAGGTTCGACGTTTAATACAAAGTGTAAAAACTGCTTAACGCATGTTTCAATGTTGTCACAGTTTTTGTCATTTGTTAGTACATTTTCTCTGTATCTGTTATATATATTTCATCTGTAGTGTTCTGCCTTCACACCTAATGCTTTATTTTTTGTGTTGTGATACTTTTTTGGAAAATGAATTTCCGGTACTTTAATTTTTTTAACTTCATGTGACAAAAGTGACAACTAGTGTAAGTAAACTAAAATTATCATTTCATTTAAACTTGTTGGTGTCGACTTTTTAGATCATTGTTTTTTTACCAGGAGAAAGAATCTTTGTTGTCTGCGAAGACTGAATTACAAAAGGAATTGAATTCTTCAACGATTGAAAACGGGAAGTTGCAAGTTAAGATAGAGGAACTAGAAGAACAGAATGAAAGTGTTTTGAGTAGTATGAATGAAGAACAGAAAAAGAATAAAGAATTCCAGAATATGCAACAAGAATTTGAACAGAAATCTTCATCCTGGAAACACGAAAGAGATAATCTCTTGCTAGAATTACAACGAGTCGAGTCTCGGTGTAGGAGTGAGTATACTGGTAGAATAATGGAACTTGAGTCGATAATCAGAGAACAAGACGCCAACCTGGAAAAATCTACTCAAAACAAAAGTAGCTCGGAAGAAAAAATTCAATCATTGACAGAAGAGAATACTGAATTTTCATCTAAAATTGATGAATTACAGAAAATAAATGAAGAAAACAAGAAATTGTTGGATGAAAACAAAATATTGTTTGATGAATATGCTGGAAAGTCTGAACTTTATGAATCACAGATTAATGATGGTAAACAACAGAATCAAAACTTACAAAATAAAGTTGAGGAATTAGAAGTAATTTCACAAAAATATGAAGCTGAAATGATTGTTTTACATAAAGAAATAGAAGAAAAACAAAATAAAAATATCCTGATGGATAAAGAAATAGTTGAGATGAAAAACGCTTTTGAAGTTCAGAAACAAGAAGATGAAAATCAAGTTTCATTATTGAACGAAAAATGCAAAAATTTAGAGTCAAAATCTGAAGAGGTGTTGAGATTACGCCAACAAGAAATCACATCTTTGCAACATTCTTTTGATTCATTGAAGCAAGAAAAACAAACTGCTGAAAATGAGTACTCCACTGTAAAATCTCAATTAGAAGATAAAATCAATATGCTAAGCACTGTAAATCACGAGCAAAAGGAAAAATTTGATGATTTGGAAAGGAATTTTATCACTCTTAAAAATGAACTAGATAAATCAGAGACAGAGAATAAAAAACTTGCTTCCAAATTACATGGAACGCAAAGCGAAGTAGAGCAACTTAATGAAACCCTGGTAAAGGCTGCTGTAGAAAAAGGAAACACTGAAAAACAATTAGATGATATTAGTTCTGAACATGAAGAATTATTGCAAATATGCAAAAGCTCACAGCAAGAAAAATCAGATTTAGAATCTCAACTGAGAGCTGCCACATCATCAAATGAAGACGCACAAAAGAGAATCGAAGAATTATCCATTCTTCAAGATATGTTGAGAGATGTTACATCAAAAGCAGCAAATCTGGAGAAAGAACTGGAAAATTCTAAATCGGATCTTATGCAGTTGGAGGAGGTAAAAAATGGTGCTTTATCTAATCTAGAGACCAAGGAAGGCTTATTGCAGGAATCTTCGTTAGCTCGTCAAAGTCTAGAAGAGCACTTGGAAAATATAAAACAGAATTTGAGTGATAAAATTGAAGAAAATGCCAGACTAGTATCTGATCTTGTTGAAGTTAAAACACTCAACCAAAATTTGGATGAGGAAAATGGATCTCTCAAGTTGAGGATGGAAAAAGACTCTCATTCCCATGAAGAGGAGATTTCTTTGCTCAAATCATCTCTTGGCGTTCTTGAAAATGATAATAAATTACTTACTGAAGAAAATCTCACTGTAAAATCTCTTCTCAAAGATAAAGAAGAACTCGAAATTACTGTGAAAAAACAACATGAATCTACTGTGAATGATTTAACTGAGACAGTTGAAAAACTAAAGAATGACTTACAACATGTAGAAAATAATAGAGACGATTTACAAAAGAATTTAGAAGACAAGGAAGCAGATGTTATGAAAAAGACTGAACTTCTTGAACAGGTGTGTTGAAACTAATACATATTTTTCTATTCAACATCATTAATTTGGTTTTCATATGTTTGCAATGCTAGTTTTATATTTATTCAGATGTCTACGCAGTACACAAGCCTTCAATCTGAACTTGAAGCTATCCACACCGAATACAAGCGATTGATGACTGAGGTTGGGAAACCTGAAATATCTGAACAAGCAGATGCTTCTGAAGTACAACAAGAACAGGTTAGGCATTACTTTTCTTAGCATGATGTAGTGGGTTTGGTACTACAACCAACAAATAATGGTTAAAAAGTTCAATCTTCTCTTGTATGTTTCATTTGATTAATATAGAAAACTACTTTAATATTTTTTTATTCATTATGAATAATGCTATAGTAGTCCATTTCCTGTCCTTTCGGTACTCCCATAGTATGTGTATTAGATTAGGGTTATGCCATAATTTTATTCTGATTTACCTTGTTTAGTTCTATTACGAGTTTGGGGACTGTTTGTGTTAGCCAAGTGAATATACCTCTGCCCACAGGTTTTCCCCCCTTTTCACAACTTGAGGTAAAGTAGGCGAACAAAATTAGTTACCTCCATATTGGTACACATACCAATGGAATAAATATTTTTAAACTATTCAATAAAATCCTCATATTAATGGTAAAATTTACATAGTGAATTTCTATACTAAAATTTTGTCTCTAGCTTTTACAAAATATCTTCCATCAAATGTCAAGCCAGGATGCTTATGTAGGCCATGGAGAAAATTTACATGAAACAATTTCCAGTTTTATGGAGGTAGATCTGTTGTGGTGTCGCACTGCATGTTTCCTAGTATCATGATTACACACCTGATACTTCTATGCTGAATGTTCATTGTAAATGTTAACACTCTTTTATTCGAATATGTTGTCTTTTTACTAATCGGTGATTGTAAAATCGACTATCTATTGCAGATGCTTTTTTAACTTAATCAGTTTGGTGGAAAAGTGTTCGATTCATTTGTTCTTGGCCTTTTTCTTTGACAGAAAGTATACAAACAATGGCATTTTTCATGAGCTTGCCATTTCATGATTCATACCAAATGTGGTCTGTGGTCACTTATTCTCTTCTTTGTAAATGAATTGCTGATTCCTTCTTTCAAATCATTTTGGTATTTAACATTCTGAGCGATGCAATCACACTCATGAAGAAGCAATTTGAAACGGTGAAGTTGAAGTTGTTTTTTCAGCATACTAACATCAGATTCAGTACCGTAATTAAAATAAATAATCAACTTATATTCCCCAATATTTTGTACTTGATTTTCAACATCATATTCCTGTGTCTAGTACTATCGACAACGAATTGTTGTTATATTCAGGCTTATCCAATCCTTGATTAACAGTCAGGACTTGTTACTGATGAGAAAATCTGTGAACATCTTAAATGAACATCAATATTCAACTAGTGGCTTCCAGAAAATACTTGAATATACTTTATCATGATGCTTTCCTGAGAACATATCAAACATGAAACTCTTTGTGTTTTAGCGCCATGAAGCTATGGAGGAAAAATTGCAGAAAGTTGAAAATGAAAGAGATGATGCTGTGAATGAGGCTACTCTATTAAAGAGACTCAAAAGAGGTAATAGATCGTTTCAGACAATCTAAGGCTGGCGGAACATGTTAGAGTTGTGAGATCAATTTGAAAATGAGAAGACTTGTATGTTTTTTTGATCCAATTTTTAATCCCTTTCATTTTTAAGAACATTCTAAAGACTTTGAAAACGGAGATTCATTTCAGTTTGTGGAAGAACCGTCTGGTGATGCCCACAAAGGAGTAAGATTTTCATTTTTTCATTCCCATTGAATGTTTAATCAGTAAATGTTTAAGAACGTTATCAAAGACATATTGTATGAGGTGTATACCGTCATATGCATTAATGTATGTGTATTACAAAATCACAAGTCAAAAGTTTCATTTTTTTTCTCATACTTAAGTTTAAAGATTGAATACTATTGGATCGATCAATCCTGTAATTGGATTCAACATGTTTATTTTTCTTCATCATTAACGTATATCTTTCAACACTTTCTTTAAGGGTCTTGAATATCTTCAATTACAATTGGAAGAATTAGCAAATGAACAAGAACAACAAACAGCAGAACACCAGAAAACAACCACTTCACTGAATGAAAAAATTGAAAGGTACAATTATTTACAATATATATATATATATATATCACTGAATTAGACCAACATTTTTATGGTATTTTTTTACGAGCAATATAATTTTTTTTCTGGTCGATTCTTATTGTTGGAGAATGGATGTTTTTATATAATAACCAATACTATTCCACCTATCCTATCTATTCTACGAATTAGAGCAACATTATTATGGTAGTTTTTTATGAGCAATATCATTTTTTTTTTCTGGTAGATTTTTATTGTTTGAGAATGGATGTTTTTATATAATAACCAATACTATTCTACCTCGGTAATGTAACAAGCAGACAGTAGATTGAGTAGTCTGCGATCAATAAGATAGGCAAGTAGAAATTAGTTATGGAATAGTTAAGAACTGAAACTCTTGATCATAGTAAAACAAGAACTAAGTAACAAACAATGCAAGATTTGTCAAATAATAAACATATCTGGGTATAGATGAATTATGATCTTAGTTAATTTTATTGATGTGATGAAATATATCTGTATAGACATTCAGAATGTCTTGCCAAATGTCTAGGAATGATATAATGAATGAGCCACCTTATAGATTTTACTCTTCCCCTAGATAGGTATTCATCTCCTAACCTATCCGCCTACATCAAACCAGGTAGGCAAACCAGGGACGTAGCCAGGGAAATGAAGGTCGGAACTGCCCCGCTCCCTGGTGGAAATTTTTGGGAGACTGAACGAGTCGCTAATAACGCGCCCGATTGCATTTTCTTAAAATCGCCACAAATTTCTTGTTCCTAGAGGACGATAATAACTTTTTGTTTCTAAGCAAGGAATTGTAGGTTTGTTGTGAAAAACGAGTTATTATATTATATTCATTGGCCATGAAATGCTAAAGATAAAAAAGGAGGAAATCCACAATCTAAATTTTTTGATTGAAAATCATTATTGTAAAATACTTAGAATAAAACGAAGGGAAACACCATAAGTGCTTTTTATTTTACCGCAAGTCGGGCGAGTTACGGTGAACACAGTTAAATTATAAATTGATATGGAAAGACATTTTAATTGCTCGCATCGGCCATGGATTGAATATGAATACTGAAAAGTCGACTATTTAAACGAGTAATCGCGGCGACTGTTTTAGAAGCAAATTTTGTTGTTGTGCCATCTTTGCACAGTTGCGTGATGGACATTGCCGCCATTTCCATGCAAGGCTTCCACTCACTTTACGCATCCATTTCCATGACGTCAGAAATTAAGATTAATGTAAAGCCGCAATTAATACCCAATCGCATCCATCCATTTTAGAAAGTCGCCAGTCGCTCTGCGACGAGTTCACTCCTGCCAATTCAGTACCACAATATCGGTCTTGCACTTCGCGAACGAAAGTGAAATCGAAAAATATTGTAAACTTTTTAATGGAGCATGTTAGACATCTCATTGAAACTAATACTATACTTATTGAAAACGATTGGTCAAATTAAGGGGGAGTAATATCGAACACGGTGGCGGTTCAAGTGTCTGGCATAGTTTCGGTCATATATTAAATTTGTGTTCATGCACTTTGTTACAATAAATTGTCCTAAGTCCTAAGTCGGAAAAAAACAAGTTGATTTTAAGGAAGGTTAGGAGGAACTAATTTATACCTTTTACCGGCTTTTAATTTTGATGATAATAGTTGAAAGAATCGACTTAATCTTTCTGTTACGCAAATGGTACATAGCGAGCACAGTCGACTGTTTCAACTTCAATGACTTTCAAATATATTTCAAAATTTTTCAACATAGCACAATGTGTGCTGTATTGTATACACACGACATTTTGGCGGTTTACGATGTCTAAAATATCTTTTTATTTATGGCGGTGCTACAAAAAAATTATAGTGTTTTTCGTTAAACGATTTTACAGCATTGGATCTTGCTTGCAATTGAAACAAATTCATTCAGGCATCATTTTCTTTTCATACTCTTAACAGTTTCGAGGTTTTATGTGAAGCATCTATTTGGAAAGGAATAAATTTTTAAAAAAGCCTGTGGATTTTAATAGCCAGGTTAGATATAACATATATTCGGTTATGTGTGCAAATTCCTTCATACACGAAGAAAAGCTTCTATCACTTTATTTTACTTAAGAATATACTTCATATTTTTCATATTCAAAAATAATAATTTCAAATGTATTACAAAGTGTGAATCCTCGATCAGGCAGTTTACCATACATTTTATGTCCGCAGAACTAGTATGCTTGGTTATGAACCAAGTAAATTATCCTACACAGGTAGTCAGATAAGAGTAGTTTTTAACACTGGGTCATAAAATATCTAGAATTTGTCATGTTTATTCAGGGGGAGGTAAGTCGGCAAATATACGGCTGACCACGGCCATGATCAATCAATAGCATCTATTATCACTCACTATGGATTTAGACTTACAAACAGTTTGGGATTAAACAATATCTAGGCTTAAATTGACTGCTGGGGGCACCCGTATCTTTTCGAAAATCTAAATATTGATGATCTATAATATATATGTATTGATTGCTTTTATTCTATAATGTAAACATTTATCTGTTTATTAAATTTCAATGAATATATCATCATTGAATTTTTCACTTTGTTCGCCACTTATGTTATTCATAGTTTACCTGAATTTTTGCTTTTAATTTGACACCGAAAAAACGTGTTTTTTGACCATTTTTCTCCTCGGTCAATCTGCACTTAATTTACGCGTTTCATACTGTGTTTCATTATCAATGTGATACCCTTTACCTCGGGCTAGAATGCACGGTAATTCTATCGCTAACACTTACGGAAGCTTCCAACAACTAAAATTTTGACGAAATGATCGTTTCATTGCATATATTGTGTGTTGTTATTATAACTAACGCTAGTGTCATACCATTATATTTAGTAAATGATGGTTGCACATTTTCAAGTTTATCCTGTCGATAATATCCGATGCCCAATACAGCTTGCATCAGCACTTATACAATATTTTCAATAGCCATTAAACTATTTATAAAGATTGGTGCCATGTGATTGGGGCACTCCTTTACGTCGTAGGTTGGTGAACGTAACCGCCGGTGGGTTACGGCGTCCCCCGCCACCAAGTCCATGCATCTGAAACAACTGACTTTAAACTATCCCCGTACGCGTCATAAACTGGCAACTAGGTGGAGAGTGGCCGTGGTTTTCTATATGATTTTGTTGTCGTATTGACATTCCTCTCCCCTGGTAATATATTAAATTTGTATATTATCCTAAAGGAATTATTGAAAGCCACAAACTTGCGTAGAAAATAAAGAAGCGATATTCTGGAACCGGATGTACTGGTATGTTTTGAACGTCATATCGGTGTTGTTATGTGGCTGTAATTTCGCAGAATGGTACAGTGACATACGGTTTGTGTATATTCTATTACCATATCGATAAGACGTTATTTGTTTCTTTAACACTGACCGGCATTATCGGTTTTATTATGTAACCAGTGTGTTTAAATATTGCTTCAGACGTAGTATTTTGCGGATATGCAAATTTGCTAAAAGTGCCGCTTATCTGAAACTTGAAAGAATGCAACATGTATTGCCACAGGGGCGGAAAAGTTATGGAATTGACAAATTTGACTTTATAAATTTCAGTTAGGTGCGGTGAAATTTTTTTAGCGGAGTTTCGGACTGGGATGGTGAAAAGCGCGTTAAAATTATTGCAATTAAAAATGTACTTGACTGGCAGCACACACCTTGCGTAGACTCCCCAAAAAATAGCAGCCGTCGTCTATATGCATCACAATATCCTTCGAGGATAAATATGGTAGATTGATATATTTTATTTCAATTCGTCCCCAAATCAAAACAATACGCAAAAAAGAAAAAACGAAGAATCCGGGAAGTGAGCAAAACCTAAAAATAAGTTTGAAAAGTATTAAACGAGTTCGAATTGCGATTGCGCCTATACAGCCACCCCCACTCTAAGATGTATTGCTGCGATGACGGCGAAATTTATTGTATTTTTAATCAAAGTTGCGCTCAGAAAGTTTTTGGCGTTTTGGTCGAGAACTGTGATAATTTTATTATATTAATTAAACACACGTACCGATAAATACGCTTGGCCGTGCTTGATCGTGGGTATGTATTCCCAAATATTCTGTTCAGCAGTGTTGCCTTGGGCCATGCCTGGTAAATAGGAAGCGAGTGTAACTTTAATGACATGAATAAACTATTCTGAATAACATCTTAAACGATAACGAACCTGAAAAAGGCGTCATCGCCCGAGGGTTATATTGTGGAATATTCCATATTCCGTCAAGTTTCAATACCGCTGCAGCAATTCTCTCACATGTGTAGACGTAGACACGTCATTCGCTTCGTTTTATCCGGCTTTGCGGTCCAGTGGAAAAGTAGTTGGGCTTGTTTTTCTTAGTTAATATCGATCTTTTAAAGTGAATTTATAGATCAGCTGTGTGCAAACAGACATGACAAATTTACGCATGGGTGAAAAGTGTTTGTATTCTACTGGAGGAAGGAAACCCAACTTAGCGAGCGTTGTGGTACAAAACTATTGGAATAACATTGCTTTAGAAAAGGAAAAGAATATCAAATTAGGTCTTCTAAATCTAAATTTATGATCATGCATATCCAAATAGACTGAGATTTAGGAGGCTTAGTTTTGAGAAGACCTTCTTGTGCTATACTTCACCAGATTTTTAGCTACAGTTAGGCATCTGTTTAGGCTCATTTTACTGTTTTATTATCAAAGTTGTGGGTATAAACAATAACTGGCTGTTACCGGTGTGTGATCATAAAATACCGGTAATACTAGAATAAATATCGTTTTGTAACTTTGTAAGCATTGTTTATAATGAGGCCCTATATTGCATTTAGATAGATTTTTTTTTCAGTTTTTAAAGTACAGACAGAGTGGATAGCTTAAGGAATTAGATAAGATACTGTAGATATATATGGTAATTCAGTAATTAGGTACCGGTAACAATTTATAGTAAAACAGATAAAAATATTTGAGGTGCAAAATTTTTTGATAGAAACTGGGTATTTTTTGTATGTTGATGGATATACACTGTTTAACTAAGTTTTCCCCCGTTTTGTCACTTTCCAAGCACAATATATTATATTGTGTATTTAAATTATATTGTGTATCTGAGAGCTTCACATTTGTGACTTCATTTATAGTGAGCATAGCTTATAAATAGGATAGGTTTTACATATTTAGTGCAGGGGAGGAAAAAGCTGATAAGACAGCTTAGTCATTCATTATGCTGAATCATGGCCTCTCATTCGGTTACCATTTAATGTTGGATATGGGATTAGTTATTAGCTATGAGATGCATGGGCTTGATGGAGGTGTGAGCCCTAACAGACCACCAGTTACGTGAACCACTCTTCGGTATCGAGGAGTCCAGCAATTAACTTGCAATGAATTTTTTCCCACAAGATTCAAGCCTGTGAATTCAAGCAGGTTGATCAGAGGTGCTGTGGCAAGTGTATTCCTGACGCTTAGCACGATGTGCCACACCACCGAGCCTGTTTGCAATGTTCTATTCATTCAATACTGTAACAGTGACCCAAACAAACAACTGTCAATTGATTTGCATATCATATTTATTACAGTCACGTTCGTATTATTTTTTATATAAATTTCCCCAATATTCACATGAACTTCTTATTTATGTCATTAAAAATTCATGGTGTTAAATGTGCCCTTTTAGCTCGACCACTCTTAACCTGCCTGCGAATGAGTCAAAGACAATTATTTTACCAATCATTCTCTCCTTATTGCCATAAACAGGAGCATATTTAGAGTTGCCGTAATTGTTTTTCTTATTCTCAAATTAGCTTTATTTGAATGGTGATGCACTGATGTTACATATTGAGTCAGAAAATTTAGTTCTACTTTTAAAGATGTAATTTATTTCAACTTCAAAACTAATTTGAGTAACTCCAACTCTAAATGTATTTATTTTATCAAAGGTTTTTCTTTGTTTTATAATCTTGTAGAATTACATCAGAAAAAGACCAGTTATTAGAGGCTTATGAAAAGCAGTCTGTTGAATTGGAAGAAGTCATAAAAAGGTAAGATCATTCAAGAATCAAAATATTTATTATTTCAGCATTTTCTGCCTTTTCAAACACAATTGTATTGTGCACAATTTTTCATATTAATTTAAGAACTTTTTGTATTTGTTGCCCATAATATAATTTTAATTTATTTACTCAATTTTATTAGGGTTAATGCATCTTCAATATAGAACCATGCTTGACTTTAACTTTAAACTAGGCTTTAAACAAACATGCTTCAATATATGAGAAGTTACTACTTTTTTAGAATGAACAATTTGGCATTACATATCCAATTTAGTTAAACACTAGATGAGTCTGTAGGCATGTGGTTTGAATCTAGTATTTTCAACCTGTGGCGCCAATGCAAAGATCAAATATATTTGTCATTTCCACAGTTTTGATGATAAATCAATTGAATGTCAACAACTTGACTCGGTTATCACTGAACAACAAAAAGAAATAACAAAAATTCGAGAAGATTTGAGTAAGATTAGCAAAACTTCTGAACATCAACTCAAGTCATTACACGACGTGGAAAACAAGTTTCTTCAACTTCAAGATAAACACAAGGTAAGGCAATCAACTGACCCTAAAAATATCATTGAAAATAATGATGGTTGCGAACGAAAACAAATTTAGCTATTTATTTGTATAGTTAGTGAGTGTTTTAATTATTGGAGAATTTTACTATTACATTTATTTTCTTATTACTTAATTATTTAATATTATTTTATTATTACTTTTTTTCCAACTTGCCGTTGTATGGTAATATTTAGTGTTAAGGTGAAAGTTTATTATTATTTTGGCATACAAATACAATCTTATTTGATTTAGTTTAGCCGGGTATTTCAGCATGATTTTTTTTACCTCACATAGGGTTATTTTGAGCATTGTGCTGTTTTACCATTCAAAACCTGTAATTCTAATTCAGGAAGGAAAATTTTTAATTGCTCATTCATTTAAAGTTTAAACAATTGAGTTTTAAATATCATATAAACCAAATTATTGAAAGTTGAATTATTATTATTTATATTCTATCTGTGTGTTTGAATATCCAGGCTGCCACAGAACAACTTGAAGAAGCAGAACATAACAACCAATCATTGCAGTTTGAAATCAATGAAGTGAAAACAACATTGAAATTAACACAAGAACAGAATTTGAACTTGAATGAGCAGGTATAAAAGTTTTGGGTGTGGTTCTTATATTATAACTGATGACGCGTTTTAGTATTCTGCAATGTAGTTCACTCGGTACTCCTGAAGTATTCGTACCAAGTTGGCGGACACCTGAACATAGTATGTGTACCAGGTTAGGGTTAACAATGAATGTTGGTGCTGTTTTTGCTGCTGAGTGGTAATTCTAATTTTAATTATTAAAGCAGAAATGCTTATTTTTACAAAAAAAACTTTGTTTTTTGTAGTTTTTTTCTTGCATGAAAAAGTTGATAAGCCACAGGATTTTTTGTGCCCCGAAAGTGGGTCACGAAAGAAAAATGTTGACAACCACTGGTCTAAAAGGAACTATAACTATATTGCATTTTACTGCTATTATTCGTCTTCCAATATCTGTTTTATGTGTCTATGGGAGATGACAGCGAGTTAGCATTTGACTTTCCATCGTTTGTCTATTGTGTGAGATATCCATGGAAGGGCTGGCATTCCATCAATCATTTTGTAAATGCATGCGCCAATGAAAAAAGTAAACCACTGTTAGTGTGGTGTGAAATATTAATAAAAAGAATATAAGGAGGTACATTATTGCATCAAGTATTTAGACCATTTTAAAAAAGCATTTAAAGCTGAAGCACTCAATTTTTACCATGTTTGTTGCATTTCTATTTCACACTAGGTTGAGAAACATTCCTTTACAATTGGTAATCTTCAACAAGATCTAGATCAAGCCATGGAACAAGTCGACGTTCTAAGTTCTCAATATAATGAAGATACAACTAAATTGAAATCATTACTCCGAGAGAAAGACAAGGTTTGCTCATAAAGTGGAATTTCTATTTCTTTTTATCGATGTGTTATTAATGCCATATACTCAACAACAGATAATATATTTTTTACCATATTTTTCCACATTCTCACCTTGAACATGGCTCTGCATTATAAGCCACGGTCTATGTAAAAAAGCTATTTTTTAAATGGTCAAAATTTTAAGGGTTTCTGCCTAATTTTTGACAGTCTGAGTGAGGTGGTAGGCATAGGGTTGAACCTGAAATTTTTACTCTTCAATGCCAGCATAAGATTTCGTTTAAGATGGTTGATGATATAAGGTTGAATCTTAAGTTCACCACTTCCCCCCTTTCAAGATGCTACCTACATATTATCGCAGTTTTCATCTTGGGCACCATAAAATTCTCGAAATGGAAAATTAATAGAGATAAGAGGACTTTTGAGCTTATTGAAATTAATATGTGTTATTTTGAAATGAATGCCCCATTAATATGCATGTAACAACATAATCATCAATTCCAATTGCATTTAGGAAATTTCCTCATTACATGATGAATTAGCTGAAAAAAATCAGGAAGTAACAACGCTGACTCAATCTTTGAAAGAAAGAAATACAGAATGTGTGAACCTGAATGACCTTCTCACTCAACAAAGTGAAAAGGTAGCCTATGTACATTGTACATGATATTTTATTGTATAAACTTTTATTGATGTTAACACTGACTTTATCTATGGTCACAATATTCTATAGATATTTATATTTAGGTATATACAGATGTTGTATTGCAGGAAATAAGGATCAGTCATAAATTTATAGAGTGCTGTCATTTGTTGAGCACGAAGTAGATCAATGGAGTCTAGGACTTTCACCAAAAATTTTACTGTTTTATTGTGATTCATAAAACACTTCTTATGACATATGGGAACACTTTATTCTGTCATGCTTGTCCGTTAATTTCCAGCAAACTCAGTTCTGAGCTAAGGTTGCCGTACCAGTAGCAATGCACCTCATTCGTGTCCAGCACTGCACTCTTTTTTAATTATGTTTCTGTCTAATTCAACTGCCTCTATCATGCTGGTCTGCCGTTCAACAAACTCTGCGCTCAACTAAGGCCATGGTGATACTGTCTAAATCACACTTAATTTTTTTCAAATTGGCGTTTTTGCATTATCTTTATTCTGCTTCATACTTCAGGTGTCACAGCTTGAAACATTGATTCGTCAACATGAAGCAGAACTTGCTCTCATATCTGAACTGCAAGGAGAGAAAGAAAAGGCTGCAGAGAAAGCTCGGGAAATGACAGAATATATTTCAAAGCTGGAACAGAAGAATACTGATTCCGATAATAATATGCAAGATTTAATGAAAAAGGTATAAAAATATATTGATTCTAAGGTACAGGACTATTTAATTCACATATCTTTAGAATTCAGCTTAAATAATATTTTAAATTAATTGTATTTTATTGGAAATGAGATTAAAGGAGGTATCTATAAATAACTAAGAATAAATAACTAAGAAACTCTTTTTTTTAACTTATATTAAATCATTTTCAAGGAGAAGGTCATGCGTCATGCAGAGAAATATTTGATATGCTCTGATTGCGCTAAAAACTTCCATACGATAAACATCTGAGCGATTTTTATGTCTCTAATTTGTGGATTAGATTGCATTTATATTTGAAGTTTGCTCTGATTAAAAGATAATTTAGGTATCAGAATTGACTGAAATTTTGATTAAAATATTTGATAATTTTCAAGTCTGAAGTACTTGAAGTTTGTCATTTTCTTCTCCAGATTGACTCCCTCCAATCTCAACTAATGGAGCGTGAGGGAGCTTTAGAAAGATTATCCAGAGAATCATCCAGGATTCAAGAGAGTCATCAGAAAAAAGAGGATGAGAAAGAAAGTAGATTGACTGATACTGAAAATCAGATTGTCACTTTGCAACAGCAAATTACTCAGGCTGAGAAAATTATTTCTTCTCTTTCGAGTGAAGTCGAAAAGAAAGATGAGAAGGTTTGAAGAGGAATTATTTTAGGATTTTTTTATCTCCTATGACTTTACAGTAAACAGATCTATTATATAATGAGGGCTTTCAAGGAAAACGTTTCAAGGAGATACGAACTCCTTAATTTATTACGAAATACTTTGGTGAATATCGCTAACAATCATCTATATCTTTATGATTTTTTCAAATAAAATTTTCTCAAATTTCAATGTCAGTCTTTTTGTCTATAAAACCTTGATAAGATATCTGAAATTGGGTTCCATTACATTTGAACCCACGTACATTTGAACCCATGGCAATTGCACCTGCCTACTATTGCACCTATGGAATTTTTTTTTGTTTTACGGATATTTGAACCCATACTAACCCTAACCCATGGGTTTAACACCCGCATATAGATTGAACCCGCGGATATACACATGGGTTCAAATGTACGGTCACCCTGAAATTGAAATCAATCGTGGTGCAATATTGATAGTAAGTATAGACATGGTGAAACTTGAATATCGTAGAAAATCTCCATATGCAAATTTGTCTAATTAGCCATGATATTTGACTTATTAAAAAAGTATAGGTTTTGCAGAAAAGTCGTAAAAAATCATTTAGAATATCTTTGAGCATTCATATATTATTATATTTAGTAACTCAAATTGCAACCTATACATGAACAGGAATAAATTTACAGTAATAATCCAAATCCAAAGTATTTTTATGCTAATTTACTCAATTCTACACAGATAAGCCTGCTTCATGAAACCTGCACTCAACGGGAAGCAAGTTTAACGGCAACTCAAGAAGAACTGGCAACCTTGCAACAACTTGTAATACACAAAGAAGAAGGTTTCAGACAACAAATGCAAATTGAAGCAGAGAATTTTGATAAGATCAAGGTATCCATTTACATTTCGACTTTCGGATAAAAAATTAATGTCAGGGTTGTCCAAAACGAATCGAATATTCGAATATATTCGAATATCATAGTATTCGAATACCTTTTCGGCTGATTTTCGAATAATTCGAATAGTAGCCACTTTTCGCCGTAAACGTGGTGTTTCGTTTTACGGGAATCTTCAAACGACTTTTTACGCTGTCTCACGTATTGTAATGACGATGAAATAGAATCGGCACTTTGATTGTTTATATTCTGTGCGACCGTATGTCGCATGGTGTTGCGACACATTTGCATGTTTGCGTGGGTGGACATTGCCGACATTCGTCTACGAGGCTTTTAATTTACAAATTCATTTCCATCACGTCGAAAAATTGACAATTACCGCTTTTGTATGTTTATTTTATTTCTATGTGGCCTGCTTATTAGTCTTCTCAAGCATGATTTGTGAACCTTATAATTGGGTCTTAGGGTCTGCCAATCATGATATTTAATCGCAGGCCGGTTATCGTCGTTATTTTAAAGAGAAACATGGCCACCGAGTGAAAGTGATTTGTGACCCTTTCGTTTTGCCGAATCAGCAGAACACGACAGGGACAGGAAAACACAGCTGTGAAATAACCCGTGGACGTACAGTGTAGTACTTATCACATTCCAAAATTATTTTAACATTCGGGTTAATAGGTTGTCCAAAATGATTGCCGCCTTACAACTTAAATTTACCGCTCAATTGTTAAAAATAGTTAATTCTGTGAGTATGATTCTACCAAACTAACATGATCTGGTTCTGAACATATAAAATTATTAGCGCATATAACAGGGACACAATTTTTCTACCAGTCTTATTGGAGGCCTATATGGAAAAAAAAAATTTTTGAGTGCTAAAAATAGACATCGTCCTATTTGCCACGTGGACCTATTAGCCGGGAAATACGGTATTTATAGCCGTCATTGTTACGATATCCAATAAATTGGCACAAGTTGGAAAAACAAGTCGATTTATTAGAAAATAATTTCTGGCAAATAATTTTGATAACGATCGTTAAAAGTATCGATCCTTTACCAGCATGATTTTTTGTTGCGCAAAATAATCCAATCCATGACTGGTACCAGCATTTAAAATTATTAATTTAATTCCGTTCAACGTAACTCATGGTTGTATGAAAAATAACTCATACTTTATCCCGCTTTTTGGCAAATAATTTGGATAATGGTTGATATCAAAAGTATGGGCGTTTTACTAGGATGATTTTGTGTTGCGCAAATATTCAAATCCATCACCGATACCACTATTGCCGTATTAATTTAATTCTGTTAACATGACTCAAGGTATATAAAATATATACTGCAAATAGGAAATGCCTGGTAATATAGCTAGGTTGTAGATAGCAGTTATTCCATTGCTCTTTGTATGGAAATTCCTACATACATTCAGATAAGCTTCAATTAGTGAATTTCATTTTCGAAGTATTCGAAATTTCATATTCGAAAAAAATAATTTCGAATGTATTCGAAATAGTGAACTATTCGGTATTGGCCATCCCTGATTAATGTATTCCTAAATTAGTTTGAAAGCGTTTATTTCGTATTTCAATTGATTTCCATTTCAGCATGCTTTTTTCATATTATATCGAAATTCTTCAACTATCTAAATGATGTTTTATCATTTATCCAGTATTTTCTATACCTTTAATTTTTTTATCTCTATAAAATAACCTTAACCTTGCTTTGCATGCTTTCAAAATATAAAGCCAATGTTTGACAAATAGGTCTTTATCGCTGGCGATACATCAATTTTGTGAATTAATTTTGTTTATGCTTCAAGATGTCTCAACAAAACTTCATCTTATCTGAATCTTCCTATCTGTTTAAACTGAAGTAGAAGGTGGTGGCTTGCAATTATCTGATTAAAATACAATAATGACGTAGGTCCACAGGGATGACCATCACTGAATAATTCACTATTCCTAATACTATTCAAATACAGCCAATAATATTCTATTCATTCTGATGATCTCTGGCAGTTTAAGATCCCTTCCCAAAGAATTGCACACCATTTAGGGTGATTGGCTGCGGTTTTATGTTGTAAGCTTGTGTCAGAGCATCAACAGTCCATTGTTTATTCCAAGCCTGCCTTCTCACACAGTCTTTAATAATGGGCGGGCTGTGCAAAAACCTAAGACACTTGTTTGGAATCTAGTAGCTACTAACATTTAGGTAATCAAAAATTTGTATGTATTCATTCGTAGGCTGTATTCTTGCTATCTTATTATTTCTATTTGATATGGATTACCCAATATCAGCATAACATTTTTTTCTCGATTATTTTTGCATGACTTTCACTTTCTCCTTTCGATACCATTTATCACAGAATGATTTCATCTTGAATGAAGAAAATTTAAAACAAGAATTATTACAAATAACAAGCACGTATAATCAGATGAAGCAAAGTTATGATACCCAGGTGCAATAATGTGTGATTGTTCTCAGTGCTCGATTTATGGTGTTGTACTTCTGTTTGAACTATTAACTACTAAAAATTTTGCTTTTAAACTTTGTCACTTTCTGGTGTGCAGATAAAGGGAATTGGAGTGGGCCTACCTCACCTAAGGTGTAATGATAAGTTTGGTAGGCAATGGCAAACCGTAAATATTTCGTTTTTTTCTAAAATAGGTCCTTTCATATCAAAGGCTACATGTACAGAGCATTGTTCAGAACGAAAGGCGTATAAATATGTCATATAAAGATGTTTCTGCTGAAAAGTGCTGTTCTACCAATGTAGTCTTATTAATAACGGTGAAATGAATCATTTTAACTTGCTAACTTGCAACATATTTCATCAATAAAGACTATTGAAAATGTTGTCTAATTTCAGTCATATGAGTGCTCTTTGTGAGTGTCTTATTTCAAATCATATTCTAATTTCTTTTATATTTCAGAATGAAGATGTCCGCAACCTGACATCTCATCTTGAAAAACAAATTGCAGAAAGTCAGTCTCATCATCTTGAAGAAATTTCAAAATTTCAAAATGAAATTACAAAACTTAAGCAAGATAAGGAATCAGCAACATCTGAATTGTTTTGTAGTCGTGAAGAAAATGAAAATTTGAAAGAAAAGGTAATTTTAAAATCATTGTTAGGTAATTGTATTTGCGTGATATCCAACACTGTACCCAGACCAATTTATGGAGTCATTGACAAACTCACTCCCCTCAGGATATGAGAAGATTCTTTTTTTTGTAAGATTGTTTTCTCCTGGTAATAGCCTAAATCAGCAGCTGAAATCACTCAGCCACAAATCAATATTGAGTATCATTTGAGGATTTTCGAATTCAAACCCTGCGATGGCTAATTATGTGGGAGAGATTTGCAAGACTCTTCGCATCTTTAAGTTTGCAGTTTGGTCTGTGCATGCATTTGAAAGAATTATCTGCTTAATTAGTCAAGTGTCTGATCTTGACTGGTACTAGTTTCGAAACTTCCCGGTTTATGACTAAACTGTTTTCCCTGCTACCAAGAGGTAAGTCTGAAGAAATTTTTTTTCCTGTATAATAAACTTAATATATTTATGGAGCCATTGTGAAAGGATTTTACGACTAGTCTGCATATGTATCAGTATTAATATGTAATTAATTTCATTTCATTATCAATTCAGGTGGAAAAATTAGAGAAGTGGGAAACAGAAGCTCAGGAAAAAATGAAGCTTTGTCAAGAACTGGAAAGCACTTGCAGGTAAACTATTCACATTCTCTATTTTATTTGTGAAACGGTTTTTATTCACTCTAACTGTCAAATCTTCAAACATTTGAATGAACAATATCTTTCTAAAATATGGAAAGAGTATTAATCGATACATACCGGCCTCTTCAATGAATGTAATTGTTTCCTGTCATTGACACTTATATTAATATTAAGTTTTGTACACTGTAAACCAGTGCATATGATTCAATAAACTGAAAAACTTGCTATTAGCGGTAGAATGTCTCATATCATGTTTGGTCAAGATGTTCCACTCGTAACAACTGTAATTGTTGTTTGTGGAGTTCGATCAGGCTGTATAATAAATATCTTTCTTTTGTGAAAGAAAATAACATTTCAATATTTGTCTTTCTTCCTTTTAGCCTGTTGGATGAAAGACTGAAAGAATCAGCTGCCAAGTTGCGAGAATATGAACAACAGAACACAATACTTCAACAAAATTTGTCCGAAACATCTGAGAAAGCATCAGAAAAAGAAAAATTAGTCGTACAACTTGACGAAGCTCTTACACAAAGTTCTGCTGAAATAAGAAAATTGAAAGATGCTTTGAGTGCAGAGAGTGAGAGACAGGTTTGTAATAGAAACAGACATAAAGATATAGTTTTAGTTCATCCTATGAGAAGTAAGCTGAAAACTGAAAACAAAAATAAATATTCATACTCGTGTATTATTGAATAAGACAGCAATCAAAAATTCTTGGTGTGTATTACCCGTTAATCAGTGTGCCAATCCATACAAAAAAGTGGGGTGAATCTCTTTGTTGATGGTATATTATAAGAATTTCCTAGTCCTTAATAATAATTTTCACATTTCAAGTGATCAGCACATGCTACAATAGACTTTTTACTTTAACTACAGAAGAAGAATTATATTAATGAATTTTATGAAAAAATGAGATAGGTTTTAAAGATAAATTATTAGAGTTGTTTGCTACATCTAAATATTCATCCTGAATGATTTGCATGCAAATTCATCGGCACAAAAAGCATAGAAGACACGAATAAGTTGTTAGTTTCGTAGAAACCCAATCGATAGTATATATATTAGTTGCAAAGGTCATCATAAAGATGAACATCCTAATATCACCTTATTCAGATATGACATTTTTTCATACCTAACTTGTGTATAATTTGTTCTAAATTAAGATCAAAGAAATAGACTCAATGGTGACATCAAATGTAGAAGAAAGAGACGAACATATCAAACGATTAGAAGCAGAAAATAAAACAATTCAGGAATCTTTCAACACAGTTCAAGAATCACTTGTTTCGATGCAACAAAATTTAGGTGTTACTGAAAAAGAAAGAGATGAACTGAAACAGACTTGCGCTGAACTTGAAATTGAATTTGAATCAGCGAGGAAAGAACATGAACTTAAATTAGATGGTTTGTTTTTGATATTTTTTATATTTTCCTTATAATTCTACATGGTTTCAGTGAGGAATGGCCAAAACTAAATATTTCACTATTTCGAATACATTCTGAGAAAATATTTTGATTATCTAATTTTAAATACATTGTAAATTGGGGGCAAGTAGGTGTGAAAAATGACCTGAATCACTATGTCTTCATGTCGATCACATCTAAAACGACACAAACTTGAGGGTCATTGGTTTCTCTGTGTTCTTTGTTACCAGTTGAGATATTGTATATTTTGATCTGCTTGTCTGATGGCTCAAAGTTCATGATTTTAAAATAAAAATGTTCTAAATTATTCCTGAATTCAAAAATTCAGTATATCGGTGATAAGAACTTGCTCAGATGAAGGTCATGCACACGATTTGAATGACAATTTCTATCTTGCTTTATAGTGTTTTCGTGGCAGATTTACCGAACTAAAATTCTTTATATTTCATATTTAAACATTGCAGGAGAAGCCACAAAACATGCAGAAGATTTGAATGTTTTAAATTCACTCTTAGAAGAAAACAGATTAAGGCTACAAGAAATAACGGAAGCAAGACAACAGGAGAATGAGAAAGAGGAAGCTTGGCTTAAAACATGCACTGATCTTGAAACTCAGGTATGGTGTTTTATACGTATTTCTGGTGGCTTAACAGATTATTTATTTTGGTCTCAACTATGGATTGTCTATTAGGCAGTAAAAGCGACCTGAAATTCTATTTCGATTTATATTCACATGGGTATATTTTTCGAAGCATTTATCTAATGTGGCATTAGAATTCTAAAATTCAAGGATACCAACCAGATTATTTCAATATAATCGTCCTAAATGAGTAAAGAAATAAAAGCATTGGACATTTTTTATTTTCTGCAGCTTTGTCAAACTCGAGATGAACTTGAATCATCAAGACTTGATTTATCGAGTACAATGGAAAAAGAGCAAGAACTCACAGCTGAAATAAGTAAATTAACTGATCAGCTGAATGAGTCGAAAGGAAAAGAAGAAGAATTTAAAGAATCTGTAAATAGACTTTGGTGATAGATATAGACGATATAATAAAATTGTTTTTTAACTATAAAAGAATTTTTAAAATCCATCCAAAAATATGTATTTCCAATTCTTGATTGTAAGGGGACCAGCAAAATGCCACCTATTTTCAACAATTTTAATATTAATAGAAATCAAAATTTGTGCCATATCAAAACGAAGTTGACGAAGATTTAGATTATTTAAATTTACCACACTGTTCGTTATACATTCATGATCATTGGGTTTATGAAAAGTTAACAAAATTCAAGTGTATTTTGTGACCGAATACCGACTACATTACCAGGGGTTTAGAGGTTGGAATTTCCTTCAGAAGGCTATCACTTTTATTTATTTCAAAAATTTCTGTGGGCTCTGTGAAATTTGGTTTTTGTAGGCAATGGCGTCATTAGAGGTAAAAATTGCCTACCATGTGGCGGTTTCGTGTTCGCATCAGTTTGGGAGAGTCAGGCGAAGTTATGAAGGCTGTGGTTTACTGTGACAGATTTCATACCCATACTACTTCCTTCTGGTCTTCGTGTCCATATAATTGAACATTGCCTCTCGTTGTATTATATATCGTAAAATGAGTTTTAAACTCTGAATACTCTGAATTTATAGAATGCTAAGCACGATGCTCAAATGGAAAAAGTGAAGAAGATAATTCGTGGACTACAAATTCAACTAAAACAAGGAAAAGAGAAGATTGCGCAACTCGAAAAAGAAAAAAGTGAATCTTTAAATGATTCTCAACAACAAAGTGAACAAAAGCTACATGAGAATGATGAAAAATTTAATGAACTAACACAGAAAATTCAAGAATTAGAAAAGGTACATAGAAAGTGTTAGTATGTTGTGAAAACTGTATATTACATAGATCTCCATTACCAATATGATGGTAACAATCCATGTACAGAATGATGTAATATGATTTGTTTACAAGTTAACCTATGGGATTCCACATTCAAATAGTAATACTTCAGCACTGGCCATAATCCACTATGCGCACAGATAATACTATATGCCCATTTTTACTTTAACTCCCCAAAATTTAATAAATACTTTTTCGCTTTGAAAGCATTTATGCCATTATCCCAAACGTTTTTCATGAATATCCATAATTTAACATAGCATGGATTGACTATGAAATTTATAGTAATTTTTGTCTATTTTTGACAGGAAATTTCACAGCGTAAGTCAAATGCTGAAGAGTCTTCTCTTCTCACAACATCTCTGAAAGAACAATTACTTGCGTCTGTTCAAAGTTTTGACTCATTCAAACAAGAATCATCAGCAAATGAAACTCAATTGAAACAAAACGTTGAACAATTACAGGAACAAATGAAATATGATTCTGAATCACTGAAAACTTTCAAAGAAAAGAATGAAAACCTAGAAAATGAGATTGAAACGAAGTGGAAACTTGAATTGCAGGAAGTTTTTGCACAATCTGAAACTCTGAAATTAGAAGTGGAAAATTTGCAAATGAAATCATCTGAAGACGAAAGAAAAAACGTTGAACTCATGAATCAAATTTCTGAAAATGAAGAAGAATTGGATAATTTGAGACACCAAGTGGAGTCACTCAAAGTATCTAGTTCAATTTTAGTCTCGCAGAAATCACAAGTAGAAGCCGTTCTGTCAGAAAAAGACGATATGCTTCATAATTTATCAACAGCTTCTGAAGATGCTTCGAATTTAACCCAGGAGGTTGTATCACTTAAGGATTTGGTTCAATCAAAAGATAATGAATTGCAAACTGCTATATCAGATGTTGAAAAGTATAAAACCCTTCATCACAATGTTTCAAGGGAACTTGAAGGATTAAAAGAACAATCTGAAATGTTACAGAATTCTTTAAAAGAAAACATTCAAGAGATGATGTCAACTATAACACTGAAGGAAGATGAATGTGAAAAATTATCAGCTGAAAATAAGGAATTGAAGACATCTGTTATGTCAAATGAAAGCAGAATCAGTGAGCTAGAAAAAATGAACGAATCTTTGGAAGGTGATATTACAGAGGAAAACAAGAAAAAGGAAGAAGTTGAAATGCTGACTAACAAAGTTATAAAAATAGAAGAGGAATTGAGAATGAAAAACACTGAAATAGAGGATATTCAAAATCAAACGTTGACACTAGAATCTGAATTGAAAGAAAAACGTGAAGAATTAGCAAATTTATTAGGTTCTAATGAAAATTTGAAGGAAGAGCTCTCAAATCAAGAGGAAAAATTGATTTCAATACTGAATAATCATGATAAGATTCAAAAAGAATATGCAGATTTATGCGATGGTATGAATAAAAAGGACGAAGAGTTGCAGCAAGTTAAAAGAAGACTTGAAGAAATTAGAACAGAAACTGAAAGTGGTTCAGAAGAAATGACATCACAACAGAATTCATTACAAGATCATATCAATAACTTAACTCATCAGAATGAAAAGTTGTCTGAACAGATTCAACATTACATTGAAGAAAACAGAAAACTACAAGACAGGATTTCTTCTGTACAAGACAGAATTGAAGCCTCAGAAAATGAATTGGTGAATAAGAATTCACTGAATGAAAATTTGAAACAACAGTTACTAGAGGCAGACGCCAAACTTCAAGGTCAAAATGAAATTGCAGAATTGAAGCAAACACAGTTAGAAGAAAATTTAAAACAAATGGAAGAAATACAATTATCGTTAAATGAAAAAACTGAAATCTGTACCAAATTGGAAAATGAATTACAAGAATCTTCTAGCAATTCTGAAGCTTTAAATCTGAAAATTCAACAAGAAAATGATGCAAAAATAGAGGAATTGAGTAAAATGAATACTTCGTTGCAATCAATGTTACAAGCAAAAGATGAAGAGATTTCCGAAAGGAGTGATGAAATAGCTCGGTTGCAAAATCAATATAAAATACTTCATGAAGAAAAGACATCTTTGGAGGAAAAACAAATTGACATGAGCAAAGTTGTTGAGAGCTATCAAACTTCCAGTGTTTTTAAAGAATCTAGTATGGAAGAACAAGATTCTGGGAAGGAAACTGTAGAAATAAATGAACTGAAAACCAACATATCATCATTAGAATCACAGGTTGAGGAGAAATCAAAAACTTTGTTTGAAACCCAAAGAAAATTAAAGGCTTCTCTGGTATCGAGGAAAAGTTTGATGGAAAAATTGAAAACTGCTGAAAATAAGCTGAAAGGATATGAAAATGGTGAAAATTCTAATATATCAATGAATGACGGAAATGAATCTTTGAATCAATCTTTCGATTCTGTTTCAAGTCCATCTCCAAGAAGTACCATTGATGATGATCATTCGGAACATATTTCTGCATTGAAAACAAAGAACACTGAATTAACTGATAAAATCCAACAACTGGAAGCTGGAGTCGCACAAGAAAGACAAAGGTTTGCGGATAAAGAATTGGAATTACAGAACCAGTTTTCAGAAATTAGTAAATTACGAGAATGTGCTGTTGAAGATTGCGCACAAAAGAATATGGAAGTAGATAATTTAAAGAGAAAAATTGATGAATTTGAAAAGCAGTTGAATATTACAAAATCCATTGAAACTGATACTGAAAATTTGAAATCTATCCATACAGTTGAATTGGCAAAGAAGCAAGAGGAGTTGCAATCTGCTATCGATGCTAAAGAAAATATGGCAGAACGAGTCAATTTCCTTCAAAATCAAATTGACACATTTCCATCGACAGAATCATCATTAGTAGAAGAAATAAAACAGAAAAGTAATGATTATGAAAAATTGAATGATGAATTCCTTAAGATTACACAAGAAAAGCAAGACTTTGAAAAACGTGTTGCTGAATTTCAAGAAAAACTGGTAATAGCGAATGAGGAACGAAATTCACTGCAACTTCAATTTGACGAAAAGAATAATATGGTGTTAACTCTCCAGTCAAAAATTACGGAATTGGAAAACACAAGAATTAATGCTGAAAGTTCTGGTCAGCCTGAATCTGAGGAAATGGGAATATCATTGAAAGAAAAGGAAAATGAATTTCATCTTCTTCAGTCAAAAATTACTGAATTCGAAAATCAGTTGTTGGAATCTCAAAATGCCGCGAAGATATCTAAAAACGAATCCCAACATTTTCAAGAATCGTTAGAAGCAGAAAAAGCTGTGGTAGCTAAAAATCTTGAAGAACTGAATTCATTAAAAGAGGAAATTTTGAATAAGAATGCTGGATTGGAAGATGCTGAAATTAAACTAATCGATGCAGAAAAAAGAATTGAGGAATTCGAAACCGAAAAGACGTTGGCAAAAAATTTACATCTTGAAGAGATTCAAAAATTAGAAGAAAATTTGAATTCTACAAAAGCAGAAAAGGATCAATTGTTGGAAATGATAACAACTTTAAAATCTGAGAAAGAACATAATTCTGCTTTAGTCGAAGTTGAGAAAATCCAACTTCTGCAAAAATCAAAGGATGATGCAATGAAGGAAAAAGAACAAATGCAGAGAAAATTAAAGGCTGCTCTCGTTTCTAGAAAAGAGTTGATTTTGGAGGAAAAACAGCTGAAAGAAGAAGTAGAAACTTTGAGGACTGAATCTAAAAACTTGAAAACAGAATTGGCGTCTTTAAAAGATTATCATCTTAAATTTGAATCTTGCGAAAAAGAATTGAATGAAATTAAACAGAAAATTGAAGAACAAAATGCAGAAGTGACTGAAATGAGAACAAGACGCGAAAAAGACATTCGAATTCTAAAAGAATCGCAAAGAAAAGTCAAAGAACTGGAAAAACAAAATAGAGAAATGACAGAAAATACTGAATTTGAAATCACAGAAATGAAAGAGAGTGTGGAAAAGATAGAAGAAGCTTTGAAATTAAAAGAAACTGAAGTTTCCACATTGGAATCTTGTAATAATGATCTTAATGACATGGTTACAGCTCTTGAAACTAAGAAAAAGAGTTTGGAGAGGAAGCTAGAAGAAGATGTTGAAGAGATGAGGAATCTCCGTAGGCAAATAAAAATGGTCCAGGAAGATTCAAATGGAATGTCTAATGAGGAAGTCGAAGAGACGAAAGATCGTTTGGAAGCTGCAGAGTGGGATAAAGAAACTCTACAAGAGCAAGTTAAGCATCTTGAAGAGGAGAAAAAAGAAAAATCTTCTATGTTGGATAAAGTCTTGGAAGATTTTGAACGCGAATCGATCGCGAAACAAGAACTTGCAGCAAAATGCGAAACACTGCAAGATGAGATTGATAAAATCAACGCTGATATGGAAGATTTTTCACAGAAACATGTCGGAATGGATGATTCCGTAGTGAAAGCTCTAAAAGATGAAAACAAGAGCCTGAAGTCTTCTTTTCTTGACATCAAAGTTGAACTTGAAAAGATTAAATCGGAGCGAGATTTGACTTCAGGTAACTCTAACCAACAAACTGGTGGAGAAACCGCACTTGATGATGAAAATGAAAATTTGAAATCGAAAATAAAAGCTTTGAATGCGGAGTTGCAAGATTTCAAAAATCAAAAATTTAGTAGTTTTCAGTCTGATGCAGAAATGCAGGAAAATGAAAGAACAGCATTATCTTCGCTTCAAGAAGAAAATGAATCGTTAAAACTATCTGTAAAATCTCTCGAGTCACGGTTAAATTTATTAAAAAATGAAAACTTGTTGATTTCCAGAGAATCTAATATTGTAGAACAGGAAGAATCACTGTCTCGAATGGATGATCTGTCTGAAAATCCCAATACATTAGAAAACGAGATACTCCTTGCTAGAAAAACTATTCTGGAAGAAACTCTGGGCCAATTAAAAGTCACACAACCTGAAAATTGGGAACAAGAACCAGGGATTAAAAAACTAATCGACAAACTAGATTATCTTGCGAATAAAGCTGCAGAGGCAAGACGAGAAACAAAAATATGTAACGAAAAATGTCAAAAAGCAGAGGCTGACTTTTCTAGAATCAAAAACCAGTTTGATTCTGCTCAACAAGCTGTGGAAATGCAGGACAAAACGATCGAACAACACATTGAAGAAATTACTGCATTGAAGAACAGAATTCTTGACTTGCAGCAGGAACAACAACTATCTCCAGAATCCGAATCTATTAACATAGAGCTTCTCCAACTCAGAACAGAGTATGATCGTTTGAAATCCGTCTCGCAGGTTGAAAGACAAAGTTATGAACAAATTCAACTGAAAAATGAGAGCGAAATTTCTGACCTCACAAATAAAATCCAAGAATTGAAAAATGATAAAAATGACTTGAAATCAGCAATGGATGTAAAAATGAGTGAACTGAAAATTGTTGATGAACAATGTAAAAGTTTGGAAATTGAAGCTGAAAAACTTCATGCTGAATCATCAGAAATGAAAAATGAACTCCAATGTATGAAAAATTCAGTTTCGGAGCTAGAAAAGAAGAGGATTGGATTGTTGTCTCAAATAGAATCATATCAAAGAGAAAGCAATGATCCATCTACGCCTCTATCAAATTCGGCAAATGAAGACATTGGTTTGGCTCATAAGAAAACAGCAGAAGTTCGAAGTTCTTCTGGACATAGTTTTTCGGTTGCTGAAAGTTATTCAAGGCTTGTTGAAGATTTGAGCTCAGGGAATCTTGATCTAGCTGAAATGAAAAAACAACATCGAGCTTTAGTTGAAGAACTAATAAGCAAAGACGAAGAACTTTCAAATGTTAAAAACGAATTTGCAAATCTTTCATCAGCTTATGATGAAATGCTCCAAAAGGCAGAGCTACCCCCATCTCAAGTAATAGACTCTATACATAGTCAACCTCAAATTTCAGATTCTGATAGTACTCCATCTGTTGAATATGAAAATCTGTTAAAATCCGAAGTTGATAATACAAAGCAAAAGGTTGATGAAATGAATAAAGAACTTGCAAGCCGTGAAGCTCTTGTTTCAGAACTTGTTTCTGATTGTATGAGATTAAAAACTGATTTAGATCGAGAGAAAAAAGAAAATGATGCTTTGAAAGCAGAAGCAACAGAATTGCGCACCCAAGCACAATCTCTCGCCTGTTTAAGAACACAATATGAAGCAAATGAAAATCATTTAAAATCAGAGCTTTCAGTAAAGGATCGTATTATGCTTAGGCAAAAGGAAGAACTTGATTACCTCAAAACAGAACAATCGCGACTTCGACAAGAATTTGGAGCTGGTAGCCCACAAGAAGTTCAAGTTGTATTGGCAGCATATCTTGAAGATATTCACAAGTTAAAAGCAAGTTTGAATACAAAGTCAACTGAACTTGACCAAAATGTCTTGACTATCAAACATTTAGAAAGTGAAATAGAAAGTAAAAATAATGAAATTGAGAAAATTTCTTCCGAGTTGGAATCATTGAATACACAATTAGAATCTAACCAACAGCAAATTTGTGATCTCCAAGATGAAATTGAGTCTCTAACGACTGAAAAATCTGAATTGAGCAGTAATTTGGAATCATTGAAAGAAATAAGTGAGACGATAAAGGAAAAAGATGAGCAATTAAATGTTTTAACGAAGGAAAAACAAAATGCTCTGGAGGAATGCAGTGGCAAGGATAATCTTATTCTGCAGCTGCAAGAAGAAAATAAAAATCATAAATCTGAAACAGAATCTTTAAATAATTTGCTCGAAAAGAAAAACCAACTTGTTGAAACTTTGACCGAACAAAACGACAGAATATCTTCAGATTTAGAAGAAAAAATATCTTTTTCAGGAGTAATTGAGAAAGAAAATGATGACATCAGAATAAAATTTGATGCATTTGCTGAAGAAATTCGATCTAAAGATGCTGCATTGAAAGCGCTTCTAGAAGAAAAGGATAAATTGTCGAAGGCTTATGAAAAAACTTCGAGTGAATATTCAGAAATGCAAGGTAATTTTACTGCAATAAAATCTCAAAAGGATTTACTTGAGAAAGATTTGAATGACACTGCAAAGAATTTTGCTGCTTATGTCGAAACAACTAAAGAGAAACAGAAACGTTTAGAAGGAAATGAAAAAAGCTTAAGGTCAATAACTGGGGACCTTGCAGCATTAGAAGATAAGTATTCAACACAAGGATCTATTTTAAATGAAATTCAAAATCAAATTCCCGAACCTCAAGTTGTAACGGAGATTTTAGTGCAGTCTGAAGCTTCCACTCCCTCAAACGGAGTTAAAACAGTATCAACAAAATCACTCAAGGACAAAAATCCACTTGTACGGTTACAAAGAAAATTAGACTCATATGAAAACGCTTTGACGTGGTTGAATTCATCAAAAAAACAGGTGCAGGACCAAAACGTAGAAATAAACAATCTTTACGATAAGTTAAAAAATGACTATAACAACAATATATCGAAACTAGAAGAAGTTCAAATATCACTTCTGGAAATGGAAAGAAAATTTCAAGATTCCGATATTTCAAATAAAAAACTAAAAGATCAAGCTGAAAATTATCGTTCTGCAATTGACAAAGAAATGCAACAAAAGTCATCTGACTTGGAGAACTTGAAAAAAGATCTCGAATCTGTAAGCAGAAATTATGAAAATGCACAACTGAAAGTGAATAATTTGGATAAAGAGATTGGTGTACTCCACGTAAGTGATGTATTTTCGTGTTGCGATGCATAATTATTTTTATGGGAATTATAGCTGACTGATGCCATATTCAAGATTTTATTTAAAGTAAATTCGCTTTAGAATCTTTCAATTAATTCTGCTTTACCATGAAATTAGGATTAGACATATATATCACAGCAATGTTTCACAGGACAAATTTTTGTATTTTTAGGAACGTAACAAATCACTACAAGATGAAATCAGTAAATTGTCATCTGTATCTGGAAATCATGTACATTACATACAAACTGCTGAACAGAAAATACAAGCACAAAATTCTCAGGTATCATAGTAGATGAACTTGTAGATTAGCCTTTGCGACTCAAAAAATTTGAAAAAATCATTTGTATATCAATTGGCTTTTAAAAATACTTTGGTGTCAGCCCAATTTATGTATATTGGGGTTCATTTTTTTTTTGTAAATGATCTTTCATAGAAAGAAAGCAATGAAATGTTTTTAAATGGTTGTTATGTGCTCTTTATTTACATCCCCACCATTATTTGCGACATTTTTACTCTTTATACTAAAACTATTTATCCGTTAGGCAACTACGACTGAATTTGTTCCGAAATAGTTAGTGCTTACTGTTAGAGTCCATTTTAGTGTAGTGACAATAATTTATTTTGTTGTGTGTTGTTTATTTAGTTTCTCACAATCATGGAAACTGATAGGTGGCCATTTAGTAATCATATCAATGGCTTTAGAAAAACAGATGTTGATGTATGTATAGTAATAACCGAAAGGTCTTACTCTTATCTATTTTTATAGCCCATTTTATTTTATAAAACTTGATTACAATGATGGATATCAGCTGAACAACAGACAAAACATTTCAAAACTCCGGAATCTTCTATTTGTAATCTCAAAGTGATTAGTAATTAGGCCCCAATACTCGATAGCGATTATGATACTATACTCGACTTGACTCATATTATTATTATAGCTTGAACATCTATTGGCTGAAAGAGGTCAACTCGGTGGACAAATCACTGCAATGCATGCTAACCTACAAGAGTATCAAACAAGATATGCAAGCCTACATTCCGAATATGTGAAGGTTGTACAAGAACACAAAAAGTGTCATGCAGAAGAAGTGACCGATTCTCCTCAACAAGAGGTTAGTTTCTGACATCTGACTTAACATTGTTTTTACAACCATTTGCCTTTATCAGGAGGTATGGTATTGAATCTTCCATTTTTGCTGGTACCAGATTGGTATTTTCAATTTTGTTGTGTTATTGGACACAAGGTATACAATATACATATGGATCCTTTTGTTGTGATGTTGTTATGATTCTTGTTAGTATTTCTTTTCTTCTTGTTGTTATGAAAAAATTGCTTTTCTTATTTACTACCAACCATTTGGTTTGAAATTTAGTGGTTAAAGATTGTAATTTTCTCTCTGTTGTTCAGAAGTTTAGCTTATTCAAGTTGATGTTTTAAACTTACAGAAGTTATATTTTATGAATGACTCCTTATTCTAATCATAACTTAATCAAAATATTTCAGGTGGCCAAAATTCCAGACACTGGAGCACCAGGTGGACCTCCAGTACAACGATTGCCAGACTCACCAGAACATATTAAATGGCAACAGAGGTATGCAATCCTGCATCAACATCCAGTATATTTTATATATCAAACATTATCATATTATTAATATCTTATTTTCTTCCAATAGTCTTCATGATGCCAATGTCGAAAAGAGAAATTTGTCCGCAAGATTGACACAAATGGAAGAGCAATTGAGGGAGGAAATCGACAGGAGGAGTGAGGTAAATAATGATACGATTTTGTTTTTGACTCGAATTTATTCTTAAAATTTAGTCCATGATTTTGAATCATATCAAAACAAATTGTTTCTGATACAGGTTGAAGACCTGCTTCAAAACTTGCGTAAAAATACGTCAAGTAATGGAGAATTGGGAGAAATTTCCTTACAAATAGTATCAGATGAAGAAGAGCCTATATTACAAAAGCCTGCTTCTATAACAAGAAAGGTAGTAATATTGTTTATTTTGGAGGTTTATAATTGGATGTGGAGTATAATTATGGATCGTTTTAGTGCTATGTTATATGAGACTGGATAATGAAATTGATAGATGTTTGCTGAATAGTAATCCAAATTCTAAAATTAACTGCAACCTGTTCTTCATTTCAACTTGTTGTCAGCCATATCTTGTATGTGTGAAGAGGTTATCATTTACTCTTTGTGAAAATAAAATAGGATTTGTGTAACATAAATTTATGATCGCTAATGCTGGGATGTAGTAGCTGTAGTTTTACATATATTGAAAATATTTATATATATAGCCATTCAAATCGATGCTGAAAATTCACTAATAAAAATATGATGAAATTTAATTTTTGATTCAGATCCAACAATCAACATCCAGCAGTTTTTCTCGATGGCTAAGAGGGAGATCGTTGAGGTGGGCAAACCCATCAAAATCAAGACTATGTCCACACTTCAGACCACTGTCCGTTCAGAGTCTCGCATTTTTATACTTTGTAACTTTACACATACTATTGATAAAGTGCTTCTTCAGTATCTAACACTGGAATCTGCCATTGCAGCAATCTTCTGGTGGCATTTGCAAGAAGTAAATCTGGCTTCTAGATTTGTGTTCTCATGGACCATAAGACGCAATGTTATTATGTTGAATCAGCAATTACATGTCTGGCATTTCAGTTCATTTTGATTCAAATTTGCAGCATTAATGCAGATAGGTGACGGTGCCACAAAATGTACATACATACATATGTTACTGCATGAAGCAGATTTACTGTGCAATCTATATATATATTGAGCTAAGCAAGCTTGTCCCATTTGTATAATATTGATTTTTTTCTTCCTTGGTGCTATTTATTATTCCTATATCATAGCTTCTGTTAGCTGTGCAATTAATTAATGCTTGTAAAAAAAAGATATCGAATAGAAAAGTCTTGAATCTGTTTATTTCATTCATGATACGAAAACAAGGATATAGATAATAGGATAGCAATCTGAGAGCTTGCAATCACTTCGGTAATTGATTGCAGAGCAAGTCAAACCTGTTTTGAAAGAGTATAAAGTGTGAATATACATATAGATCGCTCGAGAATGAAAACACAATCACTGAAAACAATATTGGGATCTAAATGACAAAAATTAGATGCATTTCTGCTCCACAATTGTGGCATCATGGGTGGTGGCTCGAGCACTTTTGCACTGCAGGGGGCTCTGGTGTCCAGTAAACATTGTTAATAATGCCTTTCCAACATCAATAATCTTCATCTGAACTGTCATCGTCATTCTTGGTATGATTTGTTGAACACCGAATTGATGACATCATCATATCATGAACTTTAGGTTTTGGGTCTTCTTCCAAGGTAGTTTCCACAACCCCAGCTTTGTGAAGTTTCCATTCAAGTTCTGCAAATAATATTCACTTTCAATATAGTTTCTAATACATAGAGAAATTGGCAAATTTTTTGATTGTACTCCATAAGCTCAGCTAAAATGTGTTCCACATCCAAGTGTCTATAATAGGGTTGGAAATGAAAGCCAGTAAAATGACTTAATTATGTGGTTTATCACTAGTTATCTCGGAATAAGCCAGATAAGTGCTGGGCTAACCACCCTATAACCCCGAACTAATTTCCGTGTCAACTGCGCATATCACTAGCGAAGGATTGAAAAAGGTATATTGCATTTTCCAATATATATTATATCTCACAATACGACCCCATGTTGTTACTTACCATCGACTTTCAAATTCATTCCACCAAAATTTCCTGGTCCAATCCAGCTTTCTTTTAAATCATTGTTTCGATAAATAAATATTGTTGGTAAGTTTTTATCTGGATAATTTGGTATACAAGTTGTAGAGACACTATTCAGGAACTTTACATGTGGAAATTTAGCAGCGAGTTGTCTGAGATACTGGTTGATCAGTGAACAAAGAGGTATTCTGAATATTGTAAATAGGGATGTGAAAATAATTAAAAATGATAATGTGGTTTCTTCAGTGAATTCATAATTTGGAACACAAAACTATACAGCTCACAGATTATTTGATGATAAATTTATCGGGGACGGAATTGTTATTGGCATTTGCTTTCCTAACAAAACTCGTAATGTAAGGATTGAATCATAAACAGTCGTCCTTATTAACTATAGCTACCAGTATGATTACATATTAATTGATAAAGCAGACAGGAAGGATGAGGATTCATCTAATAGGTCACTGTTTATTACTGAACATAGCTAACCTATCAATAATGTAACTTTTGAAAAATTGTTTTTAAATAATTCAAATGAATCTTGTAAATTATTTTTCCCATCTATCCTTATTTCCCAAAATTTATTTCAAGCCACATACTGAGGAAGCATTCACTCAAAATTTCATAACAAAAAGTGAATTCCTATTTTGGCATACCAATTTTAAAAATAACCAACCCTTGCTTATATAAATGTAGAACGACCCATATTCCTTCACCAGCTTTATTGACCTCTTGTACATAATCAATTGCACTTATTTCTCTGACATCTCCGAATTTATTTTTACTGTGTAAAGCTTTGATTTCTGCTATTCTTTTCTGTCTGTAAAGAAATATGATTCAAATTATAGACAATTAGATAGTTGTTCAAATCTAGGTAAAAGTACAAAATCTTGATTTAGTAATTCTTACCTGTACATTTCCATTACTCTTTCGTCTTCCTCATCTTCAAATTCATCGAGTTCATCAAGGGTCATATCCTCGTATTTTTTACCTTAATATAAATCGCTTCGATTAGCTTTTAACCTATCCTCGGAATCAAAAGCAATAATTAAAACATTCCTATTTCTCAGGTTGGCGGTGTGGAGCATGATGCTAAGTATTAGCATGTTTCCCCCAGGATAAATATGTAAATCTTATTTTATTCGACAATTAATATAAAACTATACCATCATCTTCAGGTATTTCTTCTTCTTCAACAACAGGTTTTTCCTTCTTTGGTAAAATTCCCTTTCTTCGAAGAATGTCATTCCATTCAGTATCTGCATTAGGGTCCTAAAGTACATTGTCAAATATTGATCCCGAAAGGAACTTTACATCTAGGTACATCATATTTCAAATGTGAGATTTAATATGCAATTTTTACACATAAAATTTAACAAGCCTAGACCCAAAGGGGTCTCGTGTAGTTTCGTACCTAACGTACTTCTAGTAGGCGTAGCATAACAATTTTTTGACATGCCAATCCTAACCCTCACCTGACTACGCCATCCAAAAATTACGTCACTACGACGTCACAATCACGTCATAGAGCTTGTCAAATACTCGTACGATGGCCCGAAATAGCATCGGCGCCGACGATAAAGAACTGACTGACGTCAGCGACCTCTATCCTATCGGGATCGTTGCGACGAGAAAACGAGAGAAATGGCTGTTCGATTTCGGGTTCTCGTCTGCGCGTCTTGGATGACAGTTCGCATAGTTTGAAGCGCTCTATTACGTCACTGTGACGTCGTAGTGACGTAATTTTTGGATGGTGTGGTCAGGTGGGGGTTAGGATTGATATGTAAAAAAATTGTCATGTTACGCCCACTAGAAGTATGTTAGGTAAGAAACTACATGAGACCCGACCCAAAGATATATCAATTAGGATAACCTACCTGCATACTTTGTTGTTAAGTCTGACGTTTACTAGTTGTTGAAAGATATTTTTTCAAGTATAGCGTAAGTATATCTGGAAAAACATAAGGTAAGAACGTTAATTTCAAAGGAATTTACTACCGTAGTCTATGCACTTGTAAACCCAAGCATTATAAAAACGCACAATTAATTAAAAATTTATGCGGAAAAACTACAACTAGGCTATAAACATTTCAGGGAAGGTCTGAAGGTATGTTAGAAATAAAATGAATAACTGCAGTAAAACCTGAAAACAGTATTTTTATGACACATAGCATAAAATACCAGATGAATTCCCTCCCACCAACTGACCAATCAGTTATTCAAAATTTTACAATTTTGAGAATGCACATTTTTCAATTTTATTTGTAAGATGTTCATTTTAAAAACAAGGCATTGACTAGATTTTCTCTTAATTCAGACATGTGTTTTAATTTTTTTTCAGAATATTTTCAAACTGGTGAAATACTTGTTTTGGATATATTCCATTCGACCAAATTGTAGTAACGGCACTATCACTGTATCAAGCGCACTGACAGAATGAAGTAAAGATTTTACTATCAGGGTAGTGTTGTACTGGTAATCCAGTAATCAATCTACGCTTTGAACTGGCTCGTCAATTCCACATCTTACTGAACTACACGCGATTTCAACATAAAAATCTTCTTCAGCAGTTCAGTGATAACTTTCGGCACCACTCTGTCAGTCTCTCGATCTGTAAGTCTACTTTCCATCATCTTCGCTAGAAGTTTCACGATGTGTGCGGCCAAGCGTAAGACTTTTGTCCATATAAGGTGCGAGGAGAAACAGCTGTTCGGTAACAACGGATACAATGATCTCACCCTTAGTGCAAACATGTGCGTTTCTGCCGACAACTGATCTAAGATAGTATGTTGTATGTTCATGCTTATCCCAGGAGTGAGTAAAGCCGATAGGACGACCTAATCATGTGGTAAGCCACGTCTTCCGACGGTTAACCAGTTTATGTCGGGCATTGAATTATTTGACCAGTTATTTGTTTCAGATTCATGGACTTGAGTTTGAAGTGAGTCCTAAGAGACCCAAGTTACGCGAACATTTTGATCACTGTAACTTCGTCAAATTCCCATATTTGCCATTTCTGCACATTTTGCTTTTCCCATGTGCACCTTGTACGCAAATGCTCAATGTCTAACCATAAATAAATAATAACCACATATTTATAACGTCCTTTATTCATTAGAGAGCACATTTTGCATCATCATAGAGGTATTCTTAGTTTCATAGATCAATAAATTTTGGCGTTAATCTAAGTTTTAAAAACGTGGTGTGCATTCCGTGTAAATTGAAATTCACGCGATAAAAATTCTATAATGCGGTCACTGTTCCTGAGTGCAATAAATGTACCAATAGGATACAAAAATTGGGTGAATATGAATTTATAAACTACCAGTGGTGGGATTCAATTTTTTTGTCAGCCGGTTCCATCACAAAAGTCATATATTTCACATCCGGTTCTATTACAAAAAGTCATTGCGAGTAACCAGTGATGCTAACCGGTTCGCTGATATCCTGAAATTCCGTGAGACGGTTCTATGGAACCGATGCGAACCGGCTGAATCCCACCATTGTAAACTACTATTTGCAGCACATGCATATGGAATTTACTGAGTAGTTTTCTATAACTGTCCTAGACTCCTAGAGCGTTTCTGTCACTTAACAATACAATATTTCAATTTGTGGTGATTACCAGAATCAAGTTGGAATCGAATTCCACTGACAGTTGGCTGTTGGGCTTACCATTTAGTCCATGTGGATGGAATTCATCATTTCTCTGACGACGACATCATCAGTTTTAGCGTGACCTTTCACTGATAGAATATTACTTTAACTAGTTTAGGGAGACACTTTCTCGGTTCGATCGCTTAATATCACCGAAAATTGAGGACTTCAATTCTGCAATATTCATAAAAGGATGGAATTTCGGGATCAGAATTTCCTCGAATTCTTAGACAAGGATCTCTGAATTTTTTGGAATTCATCGAATTTAGTTTTTAGATGTGAAATAGTACGAGTGTATGATACGTACGTAATACGTAGTTGTTACCTCTAAGACTTCTTGCGTGTTGAGACTGCACTTTATCAACAGTCCGCTTTCAGGTCTTTAATTAAAACGAGTAGAAAGTTTGATTGTGTATGTGTTCTTCAATTAAAAACGACAACAGTAAAATCGATATATAAAAGGGATTGATAAAAGTGTAGATTGAAGCCAAAAGCTTGAGTGTGGCTGTGGAGGTGTGTGCGATGCAAAAGACCCAAATCGAGTGACTAAATTTCGAATACTCTAAAAACCAAAATGTGGCCAGAGCTTCACGCACCAATCAACGACCTGGACTTAGGTGCGCTATATGAGAATTCTCGGTATCTATCTGGGGTGGATAAAAATAGGAAAATTGGCGCCACCGTGACCCATGACGTGAATACGGGAATTAATCATTAGATTATAGGTCTCATTTTAAAGAAAATATACGGATCGAAAGAGTAGGTGGTATATGATGTACAACGCCATTTCCCGACATAACGTGAACCAATCAAGAATCATATTGAAACTTTAAAAAATTAAATTGAATTAGAACCTTATGCCGTATAGCAGGGAGGAAAATGCCCAATAAAAGCGAAAATTGCCCATTTTTCTGAATAATTCCCGGAATCGTGACGTGAAAATGAGTGGAACTGGAACATATACAAATTGGCTAAAAAGTATACCCATAAACACTCGCTATGTAGCGTTTGGCATAAGTACGCATCGTACCTAATGATCTAGTCCAGGTCTACTCAACTGGCGGTCCGAATCCGGACCATTCAATATGAACCGCGTCTGAAGCATAAGCATCGTTTTATAGTTTTTGATACTATTAACATACACGGCTATATTATTTGCCGTACTGATACCGATGTGCAACATTTGTGTCCATATTTGTGAGCCATTCATTGCTCTTGTATTTAATTCAATAATGCATTTGTTTATTTCATAAACTAAATTTACTGAAATGTGCGGACCCCAGCAATTTTGAAATTTTGTGAATGGACCTTCAGTGAAAATAGTTGAGTAGCCCTGATCTAGTCCCATTGCAATATCCCAGTGTGGTAAAATCTTTATCGACTTTCGATTCCATCACAGTGGTTAATTATGTTGGCTATATAATGTTATGCAATTTGTCATTTTCTAAAAACTCGCATTTTGAGTATGAAAATCTAGTTGAAATTGGGATCATTTTCAAGTCCTTTAGCCAAGGAAATTGATAAATTTTCTTGAAATAATGAGCGTATCATAAGTTCATGTTTATTTATACGTCGTTATTGAATTTAAACAAATCACATGGTTGAGCTGGAAGACGGGAGTTTTTTGCAACCTGTTCACCTTTTCCTGTTGTTCTGAGAGATATATACAGTCAAAGACGCCTTACATGTCATGATTTAATCTTTTTTCCGCACATCCGCCTGCCCACCCCTATTTTATACTCTTTGTGGTTTCGTACCCCGCTCACTATTCCACATCTACGCCATTCTGTGGCTGGTTCTATGCGATGCGTTTGCCCTGTTGCTTTTATTTGAACGTTTAGTTCACGCTGCTGTTAACGATGCGAAATAACCAGGATGCGATTGTATTTAATATTCAATTTTTAAATAGACTGGCCCAGCTACGTGATTTTTTACATAGGTAAAACTAGGTATAAATAGTTAGTTCTCATGTTTCTAGTTTCCAAAAATTGGCGATTCACATAACGCAATTGATATGAAAACTTCAATTTTGGGATGATTTCTGATAAATAGTAGGTGCAACTTGAAACAAATATGATTAAGGTGTCATACGGTCGAGTCGTCTTATCGTCTTTTTCCCCGACACAAATATTAAAAGTCTTATATTAAAATGATAAATTTAACTAAAATTACATTTTTAGTTGGATATTTATTGGCTGGTTTTTGCAAACTAAATGTTTTTGCTGGTGCGGACTCTTTTCACTACTGGGAATCACCTTTCCTTCCTACTTTATGTGCTGCAAGTCACGTATTTGGCGACCAGTGTGGTGGACGTGATTGCCGGCTCGTTCCAGCTGCTCAGAAATCCGCCAGCTTTCCATTTACACAACATTCGCTTCGGGGGTCATGGGGTACAGTAACTGAGTAATGGGGGAAATATTATTGGGACCTAGTCTAGAATTATAAGCCGTTAAATAGGTACGGTAATGCCGTTTACGAAACCAACTAATTGATTTTTATAAAAAATATAATATTTCCAGATAAAAAAACACAGAAATAATAGCTGAATACAGGAATAATAGAGTTAATGCTACACTTAGTATTGCAGTACCTGTCTGCTTGTAGTTTTCTGGAATTAACTTAGCCACGGTACCAGTACTACTGAGTAACAACAGAACAAGTGCAATTTATTGCATTTCAATCAACATGGCCACTGGTGTACCCGATATTATCAAATCTCAGCTTTTTACTGAGATTTGTCCTGACAATGCAAAGTCTGGACCAACTAAAATAACCATTGTTGGAGTTGGAATGGTGGGAATGGCTTGTGGAATGACAGTTTTGATGAAGGTATATTTTAGTTGACTTTAATTCCAGAAATCAGTGATTGTAAATATTCAAGTTTGTGATTGAATAGTGTGATTTAGTGAAATATTTTTAGTTGCCAAAACATTCCCACATGTACTTGAATATTTATACTTAAATTTTAGAATCTCGTTAAAAATAATTAAGAATCAATATCTGCGTGTATAAATATATAATCAACGCTGTTTGATTGAATAATTGTTCAATGGCAAAACACTTATTGGTATAACTTAAATTTATTAAATGAGTATCATGGGTGTGTAGTGAAAAATATACTGTAATAGTGATCTTCCAATTGCTTGGAAGTCTTTAGAAAATTGGTTTTCAAGCAAGAGTATCATATTCCAGTATTCATTAGAAAATGCATTCTTTTTTACGGACAACACTAAAAGGCTGAAGGAAGAAACGGATGAAGTGTCGGAAAAACGGAAGTTGAAGTGTTCCCAAGGGTGAAAAATTGAAAAACATTAAAAGGCTGAACACTAAAACGAAGAAGTAGAAGAAATTTCTTCCGAGGTGGCTGAAGTCACTAAAAAGCTGAACACTAAAAGAAAGAAGTGGATGAAATTTCTTCCGAGGTGGTTGAAGTCACTAAAAAGCTGAACACTAAAAGAAAGAAGTGGATGAAATTTCTTCCGAGGTGGTTGAAGTCACTAACTGAAAAAGCTGAACACTAAAAGAAAGAAGTGGATGAAATTTCTTCCGAGGTGGTTGAAGTCACTAAAAAGCTGAACACTAAAAGAAAGAAGTGGATGAAATTTCTTCCGAGGTGGTTGAAGTCACTAAAAAGCTGAACACTAAAAGAAAGAAGTGGATGAAATTTCTTCCGACGAATAATGAGGTGGTTGAAGTCACTAAAAAGCTGAACACTAAAAGAAAGAAGTGGATGAAATTTCTTCCGAGGTGGTTGAAGTCACTAACTGAAAAAGCTGAACACTAAAAGAAAGAAGTGGATGAAATTTCTTCCGAGGTGGTTGAAGTCACTAAAAAGCTGAACACTAAAAGAAAGAAGTGGATGAAATTTCTTCCGAGGTGGTTGAAGTCACTAAAAAGCTGAACACTAAAAGAAAGAAGTGGATGAAATTTCTTCCGAGGTGGTTGAAGTCACTAACTGAAAAAGCTGAACACTAAAAGAAAGAAGTGGATGAAATTTCTTCCGAGGTGGTTGAAGTCACTAAAAAGCTGAACACTAAAAGAAAGAAGTGGATGAAATTTCTTCCGAGGTGGTTGAAGTCACTAAAAAGCTGAACACTAAAAGAAAGAAGTGGATGAAATTTCTTCCGACGAATAATGAGGTGGTTGAAGTCACTAAAAAGCTGAACACTAAAAGAAAGAAGTGGATGAAATTTCTTCCGAGGTGGTTGAAGTCACTAAAAAGCTGAACACTAAAAGGAAGAAGTGGATGAAATTTCTTCCGACGAATAATGAGATGGTTGAAGTCACTAAAAAGCTACCCACTAAAAGGAAGAAGTGGATGAAATTTTTCTACTGCAGGTGGTGAGGTGGCCGAGGTCACTAAAAAGCTGAACACTAAAAGGAAGAAGTGGATGAAATTTCCTCCGACGAATAATGAGATGGTTGGAAGTCGCTAAAAAGCTGAACACTGATAGGACGAAGTGGATAGAATTTCCTCCGACAAATAGTAAGGTGGTTGAAGTCACTAAAAAGCTGAACACTAAAAATAAGAAGTGGGTGAAATTTCCTCCGACGGGTGTTGATGTGGTTGAAGTCAATAAAAAGCTGAACACTAAAAATAAGAAGTGGATGAAATTTCTTCCGACGGGTGTTGATGTGGTTGAAGTCACTAAAAAGTTGAACACTAAAAGGAAGAAGTGGATGAAATTTCTTCCGACGGGTGTTGATGTGGTTGAAGTCACTAAAAAGTTGAACACTAAAAGGAAGAAGTGGATGAAATTTCTTCCGACGGGTGTTGATGTGGTTGAAGTCACTAAAAAGCTGAACACTAAAAGGAAGAAGTGGATGATATTTCTTTCGACGGGTGGTGAGGTCACTAAAAAGCTGAACACTAAAAGGAAGAAGTGGATGAAATTTCTTCCGACGAGTGTTATTGTGGTTGAAGTCACTAAAAAGCTGAACACTAAAAGGAAGAAGTGGATGAAATTTCTTCCGACTGGTGTTGATGTGGTTGAAGTCACTAAAAAGCTGAAAACTAAAAGGACGAAGTGGATGAAATTTCTTCCGACAGATAGTGAAGAAAATTGAATATATATGAGTTTAATATTTATGAGACAATGTCCTCGTGGATTCGTTTTATGTTAATTTTTTATATGGTGTTCTCTGTTCGAGCCTGGCAAATATTGAAGGCCATGACATTCTCGTTATATTGTTTTTTTTTTCGATGTAATGTACAAGCAAATTGCTATATATATATATATATATACTCATTTCTAGCTGTTACTGCCGTATAATGGATTTGTTGCGCCACAATGGGTGGGTTACGGCGAGGCATGTTTTGCAAATAGATATCTTGTTTTTCAAGACACGTGAAGCTGATTTTGTTATCAAATCAATTTTTCCAATCAACAAACCTTGTAATTTATAATATGTTTGTGACCCACCTCAAAATGGCTCTGAGGCTTACCAGTGGGACATGGCACATTGGTTAAGAACCAGTGGTCTAACAGGACTTCAATTTGACTAATACATAATTATTTCAATTCTTCGTGCGTGAACTGCTTGCAAAATTTTAAAAACAGATATTAAGTTTAAGGAATGAAATACGGAATCAAAAATTAATTATATTCGGGCACAATATGTAGGCAATCTATGTACATAGATGTGTGGTCAACTGCGCGATTGTTATTTATTTTTTGATTCCTATTTTCGTATTTACAAAATAGAACGGCGATCCATGGACTTAAAATGTGTGGTAAACTGCCCGATTATAATTAATTCTTGATTCATATTTTCGCATTTATAAAATAATAAAAGATATATATGCGGACATTGAAGTGCCCGAATATAATTAATTTTTCATTCGTGTTTACCTACTCACGAAAAAATTGTCGCAAATCAGAAATATAATTTATACTTTATCCCGCTTTTTGGCAAATAATTTGGATAATGGTTGGTATTCAAACTTTTACTAGGATGATTTTGTGTTGCGCAAAATGTTCAAATCCATGACCGATAGCACTATTTTAAATGCTTGCCGTATTAATTTAATTCTGATAACGTAACTCATGGTATATATATGAAAATATATAGCAGTAATCTGCAAACATGAAATGCATGGTATACAACATGTTGTTGATAACAGTTATTCCATTGTTTATTGTATGCAAATTCCTGTATATAGGCTACTATAGATAAGCCTCAATTACTTTATTTTATTTTCGAATGTATTCGAAATTTCATATTTTAAAATAATATTTTCGAATGTATTCGAAATAGTGAACTATTCGGTATTGACCAACCGTCCCCTTAGGACTGAAGCAATTTGATGCAACTCAATTGTGAAAATAAGCGCAGGAAACAATTCTATTGTACCATCTTAAACAGTGCTGCAACAGTAACAGCATTGGTTCCCGCAGTCCCACTCCAGAATATGTGAATGTGGTATTTCAATATCGTTATATTAAATTAAGGCTGGACTCATTACAGATTTTTTATCCTTAAAATATTAGTACAATAATTTGTGACTCTGGGTTATACATAAAGGAAAACTTTGTACACACAGATCTTTGTCATCTCTGTGATATATGGGCTCATTATCGCGATAGAGCTTGCTAAACAAGGAGATATCGAGCATATATTCATGCTAGCAGCATAGTGTAATAAGACAAAGACATTTTAATTGCATCTGGATTACAATAAATAAGAAATGCTTTCAGGAATTTGCTTGAGCACAAAAAAGTAATTAACCCATTTAAAATAAACCTCCAACCGAAAACGATTAGGAGAAAATACTACATTTCTTTTATGATTACTGCTGCAAGAAGTGTTCTACCACGTGTCCCCTCATTTCGTTTACCGCCACTCAAATGGAGGTACAACAAATGGAAATAAAATAGCATAAATAAAAATGTCAGGATAAAAACATGATCGTCAATTAACATGCCCGGCGAATGAACTTGTTCAGTAATAGTTCTCTTCAAATATATACGCGAAATATTTCACTCTCAACGGAGTTTAAATTAAATTTCAATCAAAATTAAATGTTTTCTAGAAGTCGGTATCTGATCGTTTATCAATTCATGTCAAGGCGTACCATAACTTAGTCGCAGAGAAGGTGTGCTGTTGCAAATTATTAACAAAATTTCGGGTATACGATCCATTTAAATTTGCGTGTGATAGAAACTTAGGTCATTCAGTGGGAACCTCAACTGACAGATTGAAGGAAATTAATTACCCACACAGCACGTCAGCATCTCGAGTGATGATCAGGGTATGTTGCGCTGAACTTGAAAATGAACGAAGGCAGATCAATAGAAGTAAATAACGAAAAATTCATTTACATTCCCGTCTGGCAATTAATGTTATTTGAAATGTTTGTTTTTCTTCGCTAAACGGCTCTCTTTCTTTCGAATCGCGTAAATCGGATTCGAAATGAATTGCGATTTGAATCGATTCAATTCATAAATCTAAAAGTGGCATGCCTACTCATCAGTCCGCTTTCAGGGTCTTCATCCAATCTCACTTCCGTCGGGATATGTTTTGGCTTTTTAACTCTCCTAATATTCGGTATTTTAGTGACTTCAACCGCCTCAAAATCGATAGGACAAAATATCATCTACCGTACTTCTTCCGTTTAGCGTTTAGCTTTTTAGTGACCTCCGCCACCTCATTATTCGTCGAAAGAAATCTCATCCACTTCTTCCTATTAGTGTTCATCTTTTTAGTGACTTCAACCATCTCATTATTCGTCGGAAGAAATTTCATCCACTTCTTCCTTCTAGTGTTCAGCTTTTTAGTGACTTAAACTACCTCATTATTCGTCGGAAGAATCTTCATCCACTTCTTCCTTTTAGTATTCACCTTTTTAGTGACTTCAATCACCTCATTATTTGTCGGAAGAAATGTCATCCACTTCTTCCTTTTAGTGTTCAGCTTTTTAGTGACCTCTCCACCTGTAGCAGAAAAATTTCATCCACTTCTTCCCTTGAGTGTTTAGCTTTTTAGTGACCTCAACACCCGTCGGAAGAAATTTCATCCACTTCTTCCTTTTAGTGTTCATCATTTTAGTGACTTCAACCGCTTCAACCACCCCATTTTTCGTCGGAAGAAATTTCATCCACTTCTTTCTTTTAGTGTTCAGCTTTTTAGTGATTTCAACCACCTCATTTTTCTTTTAGTGTTCAGCTTTTTAGTGACTTCAACCACCTCATTATTCGTCGGAAGAAATTTCATCCACTTCTTTCTTTTAGTGTTCAGCTTTTTAGTGACTTCAACCACCTCATTCGTCGGAAGAAATTTCATCCAATTCTTCCTTTTAGTGTTCAGCTTTTTAGTGACTTCAGCCACCTCGGAAGAAATTTCTTCCACTTCTTCGTTTTAGTGTTCAGCCTTTTAGTGTTTTTCAATTTTTCACCTTTGGGAACACTTCAACTTCCGTTTTTCCGACACTTCATCCGTTTCTTCCTTCAGCCTTTTAGTGTTGTCCCTTTTTTACTAGTTTTCAGTAAATCACCTTGTATGTTATGAATCTATTACAGTAGGTTTATCGAAGTTGTTTGATTATGTTTAGTAGACTAAGAATAGCTAAATTAGTGAATATTTTTATTAGTTAATATAGTTTCAGTTGAAATACAATGAAATACATCAACACTGCAACAACTTAACCTTTTTCATTCCCTAAAAATTACTGTAGGTATTAACTGTGCCAAATGTCCAAATTCTTTATCATTTTCAGAAATACAACATCAGTTCACTTATCTTTATTTTATAATCCGCTGAATTCGACATCTCCATGATTTTAGTTTTAACTCAACCCTAACGGAGGAACTGAATTCTATAAGAATTATTTTATGACTTTAAGTCTACCAAAGTGGCACCACAATTACTGCCACTTTAGTATGCGATTGAGATCATGTTAAGCAAGTTAGATCACATACAAAGTGGTAGTTTTTTGAGATCTAATACCAAAGACGAATCAAATAAAATTTACTAATTTACCTTTTGAAAAATGCAGATCTACTGTGAATTAGTCATACACAGTGAAAAAAATCACAAACTCATTCATACAAGTCTAAGATTGACATTTATTATAAAGAAAAGAATGGAAAATTTATTGTTTTGTTATATTCCTTAGTTAACAACTAGTGAAGTTTACTGAATAGCCATTTTATGAATAGAGATTGTCTCAAATACTCAAATATTGAATTTGCTATCAACATCCGTGTTTCTTGTCTATATAAAAGTACTGAATTAATTTATATATATATATCAATCAATATTGAATAGGTTCTTATATAGTGCTTTTCATTACCTAAATATAATCATGACTTTTGCTGGAGAGTTCGATATCAAATCCCAGCTATTTACTCAAATTACTCCTGATGAATCGAAGGGTGGTCCTTCAAAAGTTACAGTAGTTGGTGTTGGGATGGTAGGAATGGCTTGTGGGATGAGTGTCTTAATGAAGGTATAAAGTTTTTGTTAATTTGAAGCATGGCGGCTGGTTTTGTTCTCATTAAAGGCATGCATGGGGGATGTGATTGTCATCATTTTGTATTATCTGTGTTTGTACATGATCTATATAATAAGAAATTCAGAGGAATTTAAGGCTAATAGCATCAATGTATTATTCATCATTAATAGTTGTAATTGGTGATATAACGTTTTTCGTCTTGTCAGAGCATAAACTATTCATATTCTGCTGATTCCACGTTTTAATATTTTAAGGATTTAAACGATGAAAATATTTTGGTTTGCTTTACAGATGCTCCTTGCATGCGTCAATGTCGTTGTACCATTTATATTGCTTTGTTTTTAACTTGTTTGGTGTCATGGCATAGCTTTATTTTGTATATTTTTTGTTTTTTCTACTGTGACTTGAAATTAATTTCAAGAGCTTTATCTATCAATTTGCCTTTTTATCTCATAAGATATCAATGCAACAGATAACATCAACATACTTATTGTCTGCGGTCAGTTTCTACACTATTATTCTGTCTACAAAAAATATAGTAGAATTGCTTCTTTCTTTTTATGTCAAATAAAAATAATTTGAGTTGTTTTTCCAAACGTTTGTTCGAAATTGTCAGGAATTTCTCCTGTTGTTATGGCAATATGACAGCATGACTGGCATCTGTGTCCATGTTGAGTAAAATTTACACACATTCTGCCAAGCCCAGCTTAATTACCTGTATACCTTTTTAATAATTTAGAATATATATCCCTTGCTGCTAAACTCATATTATAACTTAAACTTTTCTTTTGAAAACTATTCTTTTGAAGAAACTCATTGCATTCACTGTGACCTGTCTATGTTGCCTTTTGTCATATATCTATGTTAATACAATTTTTTTTTACATTTCTTTGGTGAGATTTATTGTGATAGAAGCCATGCATGCGGTGGCTAATTGTTATTACTTCATATCAAATCTCATACCCATTTTATAAAAATACATAAATGTATTCTCTACAAAGCTCTATATTTATCCTGAAAAGTTTGTTATGATTTTCCTAATTTTCTTGTTTTCAGGGTCTCTGTACAGACCTTGTTCTTGTTGATGTTGTTCAGGACAAACTTCAAGGTGAAATAATGGATTTACAACACGGAAGTTTGTTTTTGGAGAATATCAAAATTTATGGAGATAAAGGTCAGTAGATTTATTTACGATCTTACTTTAGAAGAAAATTAGATTTCTCATTAAATATTGAGATTTTGTATGCATTTTAAATATTCAATGCAATAAAAAAAAATCACCTACACACATTTTCAAGTACTACGTGATTACATTGTCACAAAAGTAGTGATGTGTAGTCAATTAAATTTATATCTGACTCTGGGTTGACAAAAATGTTGACTCTAGCTTCCATGCTAGGTTCAGGGAAATTTTAGCTCAGAAATCGGCTCCAAAGTCCAAGAAAATTATATTTTACAAATAAGCTTTGGCGTATACCACTTCTTGAATAGTCTGTTGAGAATGTTCAGTCAGTTTGTTGCTTTTCGAGTTCTTGTTGAAAATTCTGACTTCTGTTAATGCTAACAAGTATGTAATGACAACTCAGACTATAATATTAATAGAAACATACAAAAATCTGAATCAGCTGCCCTGGACAAAATTGTAGCAAGTTTTGATGCAACAGATTAAATTTTCTGTCAAAGAATCTACTAAAAAATGTTCAGAATAATAAATTATTCAAATATGGCTGGGTTAGCTCATGATGTCGATTTTCTCTTTTCTAAAGTTTTTCAAACACTTGCCAATCATGAAATTGGGATTCAAATTTACAGAGATCTATTTGGTTTGGCTCTTGAATTTGCTTTGAGAAAGCTTGCATAAAAATAATAATAAACAAACCAGTTTCCTTTTTCAGATTACTCAGTTTCAGCAGATAGTCAAATTGTAATAATAACTGCTGGTGCTCGTCAACAACCTGGTGAATCGAGACTTAGCCTTGTTCAAAGAAATGTCAATATTTTCAAACACATCATACCACAAGTTGCCAAATATAGTCCAAATGCAATTTTGGTTGTTGTCTCAAATCCAGGTACATTATAAACACTAAGTTATTATTTGAAGCATTTTGACATACTTTTGAAACCTTTTATCTGAAATCTCGTTTATAGTTTTGATTCTCATTTTATGGCTTTGCAGTTGGTACATTGTGCTAGTCAATAGGCCTACGCTCGTCATCACACCTTTGAAAACCTTGTTCTGCTTCTGTTACCCTGTTCTGGTTTCCTTCACCATCAAGTAGGTGCATCTGAAAGAATAACTGGTTAATTATCACCATATCAGACATGGACTGGTAACTGGATGGGAGGCAGGGGTTTATTATACAATTAAGCTGTATTATTGATTAAAACAAAAGATAATGCAAGCAGCTGTTGAAACAATTTTTATGGGATAGATTTTTTAGGTATGGGATAGAAAATGTTAATGGTTATTCCTGGGAGTGGTCAAAGAATCTAGAATTTGTTCTGACTATGAAGTTTATTGAAAATCTACCTATTCAAGAAAGTATTCAGTGTGTTGTGAAATAACTAAATAAGCATCGCTTGAATAAATTTGACATTATTTATATCAGATTTTTCGGTGTTTTGTCGGATACTACCAATTTAATATGTGAATGGATTCAAACAATTCAACTTAAAATTCAAAACTGATATTAAATTTTTGGTGCAAAGTGTCTACCTAACCATATACCTTGTTTCAATGAAATCGTGTTCACTTATTATCTAAACAGCAAATAGCCTACTTTCCTGTTTTACAGTTGACCTAATGACATATGTTGCCTGGAAGTTGTCAGATTTTCCTCGCAATCGTGTCATTGGTTCTGGTACTAACCTTGATTCTGCAAGATTTCGTCATCTTATCGCAGAGAAATTGAACTTGTCTCCTGTCAGTGTTCATGGTTGGATTATTGGTGAACATGGAGATTCAAGCGGTAAATGATTTTATATAGAAAATTAATTTAAGATTAATTCAATTAAAATAAAATTAATTTAATTTTTGATATGTAATTCCATGTCGTTTGCTCTGAACAAGGCTCTACACCAAAAAATTCCTTGAGCTCTTTTTTAGATAAAACATCAAAATTTGGTTTTAGTTTGGTTGTGTCAGCATCATGCGGGCCAGATTGAATTACCCAACATGTCGGATTTGGCCCGTGGGTCGTAGTTTGCCCATGTCAGCGCTACACAATCAGTCACTTTTAGGTAAAAGTTCATTATAGTTCGGAATGAAGGTCTTCGATTCGGCATTGATTACCCAGTTTATTACACTCAGAGTAAGGTGGTGGGAAATGGAATTAAATAATCAAGTCTTAAATAATGAGATACTTACTAAAGAAAATGTGTACTTGAGGTTTCCTTTTTCGTGTTTAAATAACATCCTTTATTAAGATGTATAATACCCTATTATGTTAAGGAGAAGTGTTTTGGTATTTACGGACTATTCTTATATTACATTTTATATTCTTTCTTAATTATTGTAACATATGCTGAATAATTGGCCATAACCTTTCATAGAAGAAGCATTGCAGGTGTAATATTGCACTTCCTGGTATAGTATTACTTAAATGGTTGAGTCATGGTTTCCTTCCTGATTTGAAAATTGAATACACTGGTGTATACTGTGTTGTATTTCATTCTCTTTCATATCGATATTCTGAGTTTATGTTGAAATCACTTATAAGTTTCAAACAATTGATAAAGGGGATGTCAAAAAAATATAAATGAATTTTTGCTAAAATAGTTAAAAATCAGCAAACTATTTCATTTCAATTTAAGGCAACAAATTAAATTGAAAATTGAAATATTATCAAAATTATATGAAAGCTCGATTCAGTTCTAGGCAATAGATTGCACTGCACAAATATTCAGTATGTAAACCTCTCGTCAATTATATTCACTAACTCAAATGAAATGTCATACTGAATAACAGTGTCCTGCAACCTCTGTAGCTAAAACTATAATTGAAATGCTGGTCATTATTTCACGAAATTGTAGTGTATGTGAAATATTACATTTAATATCAGTTATATGGAGCATTATCGTTTGCATTAATTGTTAGAATGAAACATTAAAAGGAATACATCACTTACTCATTATGTTTTTGTTCAGTTCCGATGTGGAGCGGAGTGAATGTCAGTGGAAAATGTCTCAGCACAATTCACCCTAGAATTGGATATCATGATGGACCAGAGGGTTGGGATACACTACACAAACAAGTTGTTGATGGGTGAGAATTTGGACAATAATGTACATGATGTTTTTTACTAAAATAAGTTTGTTGACTTCAAGATGCATTTTTTTCATGTTTATAATTATGGTAGAAATGATGTTAAATAATATTTTGAAATGTTGTTCTGGATAGAATGTAATGTAAGTAATTGCAGTGTTTTTGAATAATTGTTTCCTAACCACCTTTCCCTCTACGTATACATCATGATTTTTAAAATATTCATGATAAAACTGTGTCCTGTAGAATAATTTATGATTGGTTTTAGTCAGCATTATCTTATTACATGAAGCAACTTATTCCAGATTCGAAATGCCAAAACCAGTTGCCACATCTTCTCAAATTTTGTGGTCATATTCACACTCAGTGTACAGTTTATTTATAAATATGACCGCTTCATGAAGCTTGTTCTAGTTAGTCTATATGGTGTACTTATACTGATCCAATATACAAATAAATGTTCGTGTTATGCTGTTTGTAACTATTAATTTGTTTGATTTCAGTGCATATGATGTTATTCGATTAAAAGGGTACACAAACTGGGCCATTGGTTTAAGTTGTGCTGAACTGCTGGCTTCCATTCTACATCACAGACATAGAATTCATCCAGTTACCTGCTTTGTAAAGGTATAGCATATAATGTCAATAACAGTGTGTCATACTATATAACTTTGGCAAACAATTCAATATTAATTAACCATATCTGAATATCACACCTGCAATTTAATTAAAATCTCACTTAGGTTAAATTGAGTAAAATTCCGTAATGATTGATGTACGATTGCTTATGATTCTAGAATTAATAAACCTCTATCTGAAAATCATGTACATTTGAATATCTTGTGAATCAAACATCATTAAATCGTTCTTCATTTGTCACAATTATCAACATCTCACATTTCGGAATGCTTATTCTAGAATGGCCCAAAACCAAGTATTGTACTATTTCAAATCCATTCTAAAATAATTTTTAATGTAGAGTATATTCTAACTAGTATGTAAATAACTTATTTCGTATAGACTGGGGGAGTACTACACCCGTAATATGGTCATCAAAGTCAGCTCCCCCAGATAAACAGCAATTTTATTAGTTTTAGAATTTCACTAATCCTCAAAATTAAATAACGGTCGTTTGGGCCATACTTTCTGATTCCAATGATAATTTTCTAAGTGAATCTATTCCAAATGATTCCTCAAATCAAGAATTTTTAATATCTAATATGGATTTTCTTCACCTGTTTTTCTCTTGCGTTCCCAGTTTAATTAATAATTCATATTCAGGGTCATTATGGTATCACAGACGATGTTTGCTTATCGCTGCCATGTGTGTTGAATCGAAGCGGTGTCGGTTCCATTGTGAATGTCGATTTGACAGATGAAGAACAGGCCATGGTAAAGAAAAGTGCCATGACTATTGCAGATGTACAAAAAGGACTTAAATGGTAAAATTCACCAGTTTTTTTATGTACGTAGTGCATTGTGTTTTGCAGTTTTTATATTATTTTATTAGTGCATTCGTCAACAATAATTTTTATTAGGGATGTCTTAAAATTAGTTCCCACAGAGTTGGTATTTAATAAACAAAAATTGTTTTATATATACCATATTTGAATTTCAATTAATTAAATATATATTGGGATGCCACGACAATTTAATGAATGTAATACTAAAGCATTCGAAAATGTCAAATCATTCTGATATAGACATCCCTAATGTCACCTTTTACTGTAACGAGTTGTTTTGTTGCTCTGTCACTCAATTCTTTGCTTTTTGCCATAAATCTCAAATAATTGCTATTTTTAAAATGTTAATATATCACTGTTCTGCAGAAGCGAGGTTTTTAGCCACTTGACTGTTCCATTGATAGACACCCCTAAAATATTTTTAAGATTCATTGTATTTGGAACATTTTTATTTTTGAAAGGATTAAATAAAATGTCTTAATAATGGGAGAAGAACCACTGTAGTCAAATAGAATTCATAGATTTTTTCCAAATACTTTCTAAAAAAAATTTCATTTGTCTTTTACACAACAATTGGCTGATTGATTGACCTCTGAGATAGGGTACACTAATATATTATTTGACAAAAACTCACACAGTAGCTTTGCAAGTATTGCTATAGTCTACTTGCACATGGATTGACTTTTTTATGTCTATTCAATCTATTGAGGTTTGGTTTCCTGAAATAAACCTGCCTGTGTATGTGTGTGTAGGGCGTAAGCTGACAAATCTTCCGCGATGGAGGTTATCTTATATTAGGAAAGAAATCCTTGTGCAAAATATTGGATATTGATAGTTGCAGCCAGAAAAGTTTTCTTTGTGCTGTACCCTCAAAACACAGTATCTGACTTTGGACAACATATTAGTGCTACCGCTCAAATCTTTGCTATTATATTTATGTTTTGTGTCGAATATTTTCACGTAATATATGTTTTTGCTGTATATATATATTGTTTTGCACTTTTTTCCTGTAATTTTTGAGAGTATGAGTTCTAATTAAATTTCGCGTCTAAATGCAATTGTGTATTCGACTTATATATTGGAGGGCAGTTGTGAAAAATAAGTAACATAGCCTGAAATTATCTTGAGAATTTCTGTTAAATGATAAATCGCCTGTATCATCAAACCCAAAATTTACCCAAATTGCGTTTCACTAATCAAAATTTTTGCCTCTTTCTCCAGGGGGGATCGAAAACTGGAGATAATTGGCGCACGAATTGTGGCTGATCTACCATCACCTGTCGTGAAATTCATTCAATATTCTACCCATATCTTGTCCGCTGTATGCTTAATTCATGTCGCTGCACAGGTAACATTCTGCATTGTATCCCGTAAATCTATTATATAAGAAGCGTGCTATGTTGTGGTTTATTTATGCTGTGAAGGAAATGTTTGAAAATCACAAGTTTTAAATGTTGTTTACGCTCTTATGCTTTTCTTATGTATACCTCTGTATATAAGACGCCATGCACAACCATACCGGCACACCCATACCCGGTTAAAGTGTCCTTGTCAATCAAGTTCAATATTAATCTATCGGTTTTATATTCAATATTAGTCTTGGAAAAAATTATTTTCCTTCCTAAATTATTATTTCTCAAATGTTTTCAAGAAAATTGAATTTAATAGTGCAGATATTTGCTTTTTCATCTGTTGGCATGTACGATATTTTTTCTTTTGCTTCAAATGATCTGTAAATAAATTAGTATTAAAATATAAAATCAGATTTTTTGATAAATTTTCATTGGTGCAGTTTTTTCTATGCACAACTGTAACCTGTGTCCTTTCTCTGGCTACTTGACATAAAATGTTAGATGATATGCTCGATACTCGTCAACATGTCAAATAGTTACACAAATACATATAATATGAATACAGTAAAACATTAATTTGATAATTGATCTTTATCAGTGGCTTTCAAAACCTATCAGTCTGTGACTGAAAAAATACTGGGAAACTGTTAATACGACACAACTTTTTACAAATTTTATTGCAACCTGGCCCAAACCTAATCCTAAACAATTGGCCCAAATTTTCCTATGCTAGTTTAGAGGAGGCAGTGCTTGAAAACATTGGCACTAGTGCCCACAGAACGCAGTTCGGAAACCACTGATCTCTCTCTATTCATAGTATGTAGATGTCCTAAATAGAATACACAGAATTTTAAGTTTATTATTCGTCAACCAATCAGAAGTCCTTTCTGTAATTTTTCTCATAATTACGTTTTCTCTGTAGCTTAACTACATATCTTTACTTGAATTTTATCCCAAGGATGCTGTTGCATGTATTCTGAAAATAAAACTGGGGAAGAATCAATGAAATATGTATTTTTGTTTTGCTTAAGCTTGCCAATCATGCTGTAATATGTCTTTTAATTTCAAAAATTAAACTTGTGATGTGATTAAATGATACACAAGATATTTTTATGCACCTTCTGATCGTTTGGCGATAGCGAGATGATAAAGAGATTGGAATATACTTGGAAGAGATTTAGGTGACATTTTATATTACAGCATACGAGATTATTATCAATTACATTTTCAATGAGATAAATAGTCAGTAGGGTATGACTTTGTCAAGTTGTTCAATAATCAAGATTCATGTTGCACCTCGTGTTCCTTGGAAAACGCGTTTCTATGTGTCAAATCATTGATATTGACCAGATGTTTAATATCAATACTTATGCTCTGTTCCACGGTCTTGAAAAAGCGAAGGAGGGTAGAATTTACATATTTGTTCCGGAGGAAAGGAAAGACGTCTCAATCGCATGGCGTTTCACGGCCTTTCGTCTCGTCGGTTATGAGTTTAGTCAGGAAATCTGTTGTTTTGTTTTCAGGTAAATGGGGTTCAGACAGTGAGTGTCAAACGGGCGTTTTTACCACAATTGAGTTGACCTTTTTGTATAAAGGAGACCGGTGCCGGATTTTGACATACGGTAAATAGCAGAAGTCGCTGCCATATGGCGGTACCCGTAGTAACTGCCGGTCAGTTACGGTCGGGATTCCAAGCAGGGGTGTGTCAAACTTTCCTGCTGGCCGGGACGAGTTTCCGATAATAGGATATAGATTTACATATTTATCCCGGGGAGAAGAAGGCCGATAAGACGAATCAATCATAGGGCGAACCACGGCCTTTCGTCCGCTTACCAGGTCCGGGTATGGGATTATTTGGCCAGTTATTTGTTTTCGGAAGCATGGACCTGATGGTGAAGGAAGCCGTAACAGACCAGCGGTTACGTGAACCACCCCACGGCGGCGGGGAGTCCAGCAATCTTCTTGCACATAATCATCCCCTCGTGAGATTCGAACCTGCGGACCCACGCAAGGTAATCAGAGATGCGGTGGCGAGCGTATTCCTAACGCTTAGCACGATGAAAGATGCGCCACGCCGCCGATAAGGATGCCCCTTATACCAGCGTTTCCCAACCTTTTTTGTTTGCGGACTATTTTCTCACCGGCGAAAACCTTTACGGACTCAAGGTACGTTTATTGCAACCGTACTCTGTGTAAAGAACCAATAAAACCAAACACAATAGAATTTCAACGATTTTCAAAATAGGAACTTTGCTGCAATTACGCGTTCGTTAAAAGAGCCGACTTCTTAGTGTATGATGGCCTATGACAGGGATGGCGAACCACTTACCCGCGGGTCACAAAGTGACCCAGCGCGTTTTATTTGTGACCCGCCAAGCGAAAGCCGAATAAAATAAAATGCTAACATATCAGTGATAAAAATTGATAAAACCGGCCTTAAATTAATCTAACAATAACTAAACTAATATAATGTACCGTCAGTTGGACAGTCAGGGAGGGCTGCGATCGCTCATATTCAAAATGTTGATTTTTGGGCCGGTATGGTAATTTTCAAAAACTCTAATCTTGTACGCATGTATGCACCTCTGTGTACCGTTATTCAGCTATTGGACCTGACATAATTTATGACATAACAATGCAAAGGATCTGTTCATTTCTCGCAACGCCTGTCTTTTTTGGAAGTGCATCTGCAGACTATTTTAGGGGTTATACGAGAACTAGATGCTACTTTCCTTTTTATTAGTTTCTGGCCTACAATGCCGTTGTGAAAACAAAATCTTTCAGACTTGAAATAAAAATCTAGAAATCTGATATAACAATGGGGCAGTGTAAAAGTGGCTTAATGTGGTTGGAAGCTGATCGAAAATTTTAACACTATCGAAGCAGAATTACCTCCAAACACTAGAACCGTAAAATAATTTATCGCATCATCCTAAACATTTTTGGTAATTCATATGCGTTTTTTTCGTACTCTAACCGAGTGCCATAAAAAGTCCGTGATAGAAGTGCTGCATAAGTAAAGCCCAAAACTACACCAACACCAGCTTATAAGATTTGTTTCAGAAGTTTCTTATAGATACAATCGTGAATTGAATATCTGTGACCCACTCTCTTCTGTTCCGCGATAAAATTGTAGTTTTTGACCCATTCATTGAAAAAGGTTCGCCATCTCTGGCCTATGCTGTCGCACAATATTCAGTCCATGACAACGACGAGAATTTAAAATGTATTTCTATTTTAATTTAATTGCGTTCATGGTAACTAGCGGCTGCGTCGACTTACGGAAGATTAAAGCGTTACTTCTTTAAAATATCACGACAATCTGCGAACATAACAATGTGAGAATATATCGCCCGATTATAATTAGTTTTGATATATATATACATATTGTTTGCGATCTTGCGAATTTGTTATTGCCTCAAGAAAAATCCTACTATCTGCTATAAATTTCCAGAAAGTACAGCTTGATTTAGTACTTATTAAAAATATATTTAAAATATATTAGTAAATTAAAAATACATTCATCGCCTTGCTTTATTATTAATTTAATTGTGATCATTTTAATCTGCGGTTGTGTTGACGAAATAAAAGCAATACTACTCAGAAAATATCATGACAATCCGTGGACACAAAAATGCGATTACGTTTTGTTTTGATTCGTATTTTTGTGAATTCGACAAATCTGAGTTAATCGTACATCACTTACGGCGCTCCAGCGCTGTAGCCTACGTACCAATGTGAAGGCGGTAATGCAAAGAATTCTGAGGGAAAATGCACCGGTACGTATACTTCGGGGGCACCCGAAATTTTGCGATTTGCAATGTCTAAAAAAAGCGTTTTTAATTGGTCACGGACAATCATAAAATAAAACTTATACTATTCTCCGTTTTATTTTCCTTGTTTTGTATTGCCGCTTTTCAAGATAGAAAATTTGGGTTGACACCTACAAGGAAAAAAATTTATTCCTCGTTGTTTGAACTCGCGGGAAACACCAAGTGAGATGTGAAATCCAATCGTTTGATTAAGCGACGCGCAAGTGACCTGTCGCGCCACTTGTTACCAATATTTGAATAGAAATTGCTATTCTAATAGTAAAATTTTTGAATATATATATGCCCAGCACTACTCAGTAACCGATAATTATTGACTCAATTAATGTTATGTGAATAAACTTGCTTTTTATGTTTTGTGTAAATTCTAACGTGAATCGTCACTTGGCTGATAATTAAGTTTCGCAAAAACGTTTGCGGCCCGCAGTGAATTTCTGGCTCGTTGCGGACTCATTCGAGTCTGAGACCGCGGACTCGGGTTGGGAAACACTGCCTTATACTATACCTGTACTAACTTCGAGAATAATTCTGGGGAAAAAAAATATCGATCTTGTGAATTAAATACGTAAGAGTGGAATGTTTGTATTATTATGAATTAAATCATCAAACTAACAAAGAACGTGCTGTCCGGGGCGGCCCCTCCCCCATATGCACGCCCCTGATTACAAGACAACGGTTTTAAATCGGATCTGATCGGATGTACCGGTAGCTAAAGATGGGGAAATTAACAAAACGGAAGTTTTTTGGAAGCAGCACCCCTGACGCCGGGGTGAAATGTCTTTCCAAGTTCCCATCTTTACTCCAGGATAACACATTCTGACGGCGAGAGCGAGTCTGCATGTTCCATTACGACCAGTAGATTGGAGTTTTAATTTGATAGACTGTTTGCTTAATATATAACTTGATTTCTATCGAGTCCTCTTCTATGTCTCCAATTTATGCGTGAATATCAAACAGTAGGCTCACCTAGTTCTTGTTCCAATTAAGTGTCACACATCAATTCCATGCATCTGAAACAAATAACTGGCTAACTAGTTCGATACTCGACATATATTGGTGATCAGACGAGCGGCCGTGGTTCGCCGTCTTATCGGCTTACCTTTCCGCCGGATAAATATGGAAATCCTACCCAATCCTTGCATCTTGTTTATGTATGTTCAATAGGTATTATTTTTGAACACCGCCTGCTTTTCTAAATCAAGAACATTGATCTAAATGTATTTTATGTCCTTCTATGTTCCCCATCATTTACTATAGTATATAACATCACTCTTTTCAAATCATACTATATTTAAATAAAATAATGATAAAAAAGTTTAATAAAAGAAATCCTCAGGAAATAAGAAGTATTCAACTATCACTGAAATTCTCCTACGTTAAAATTGAAATTTGGCAAAACAAAGCATTAGGTACAATAAAGTATGATTTGGGAGTTTCAACATGTATATGTATTACAAGGTTGATTAGTCAAGAATATATTGTGAAATACTATCACTAATCAAGAGAGTCACCATGCTACGATTCAATGCTCTTATTGGAAATAAAATTAAACCTGGAATTTGGCAAATATAAGTATACATCAAAGAAACTTGATTAAGTGTGATTTTTAGTGAGGTGAAAAATATGTATAACAGGTCGATTCGAAATATGCAATAATCTGTTTGTTAGTTTGTTATCAACTAAAATCGTGGAAGCATGAGTTTGCAAATAAAAACACAGTGAATATCATACATTCAAAATTATTGATGGAGTCAGGAAGTTTATTCAGACCTCGTGTTTACTAGCGTCTTCCATATTCGACCAACGCCATTACCATCGCAATATTGATTCATCCGGATTCTGTATTTTTGGGCTTTTTTCAAAAAGCGCGAGTTCCACAATGAATACAAAAAAATGTAGAAATCAGAGATGGAACGAATAATTTATCAGACATTGAAGCAGTTTCCAAACTAGGCTCACATTTTATTGCGATGTGTTACTTCCCCTTCTATCCGGAGCCGCAATTGTGTTTGGAACAGATATGGGTATCTCAAAGGGAGGGGTATTACTAAGAGTGAATCTTGCTGATAATCGACATCTGGCTGCGGCCTGGTCTTTCCAGTACTGTGACGTTTTTTCTTCCTCTCTTTTCCTCGTTTTTCTATAAACTGCTATTGCAACAGCAATAATTGAAATAAAGCAAATTGCTGATAATCCACCAACAACAGCAAACACTGCAATTCCTAAAAAAAATTGTCACAATAAGTTGGTTATATATAGATTTCATTTTATTCAATGTCTCAAGTGCTTATTAAGAAATAAAAACGTATTAGTCGCGAAAATCGAGTTACCCAACTAATATGATTTCACATTTAATTTACTTGACTTACTCGATAGCCCCAAAATCTTCGATTCGCTGACATCGTTTGGCGATTCCGATGTTACTTCTACTTCAGCAAGACTTGATGGGATTTCAGGAACATCCCTCCCTATATTAATTGGACCCAAGGATAATAGTCCACTTCCCGGAGATTCCACTTCTCTGCGTTCTCGCTGATTGTTCGAATCGGGGCATGTCTGGTAAGAAAAGGATTGCAATAAATATATATATATATTATTTGATATAATGACAAATATAAATCGAGCAATAGACTTTGAATTGAACGGATACACATAATAAAGCGCAACATCTGGCTCTAAATCACAAAAAATGAAGGATATTTCACGCTAATATATATGTATATATGACATCACTTTGAATTGAGAAATCGCCTTTTGCAACAATTGCTAACAATTTACCGGTCAGGATTGGATTATACATATTTATTCCGGGGAAAGAAAAGTCGAGAACATGGCCTAATCATATGGCATACCACGGCGTCTGGTCCGGTTACCAATCCACTTCGTGCATGGTATTAGTAAGTCGATTATTTGTTTCTGACGCATGAACATACTATGGTGGAGGAAGCTGAAACCGACCAGGGATTACGTTAACCACCTTACGACGGTTAGAAGTCTAGCAACCATCTCGCAAATAATCATTCCCCACGATATTTGAACCGGCGAAACCGGTAATCAGGGGTGCGATGACAAGCGAATTCCTAACGCTTTGCACAATGCTAAAAATTTGAAAAAATTCGCGAAAATGTCTTTGGTAACAATGTACTTTTATTTAATCCCGTTTCAAGCCAACGTTTAATGATACATATGATTTTAAATCAACTGTTTGGTACCTTTTCACAATCCTCTTCAGCGAAGCATACTTTAACATGACAGTGAATGAAAACTTCAGGACCAACTAAGAAACGAAAAACATTAGATTCCCATAACACATGCTGCTGATCGCCGTTATTTTGTAATTTAACTTCAGCTCGAACCCCTTCTTCTGACGGACAACTGAAAAGAAAGTGAAGGAATAAAGCTATTGCATAATTGATTGACTTGCTGAGAAATAAAAACAAATCATTTCACATACCCAACCTTTTGTCAGTGAATGTTGGCACATGTAAATGGGCAATTAACACTTCATCGCGCCCAAAATTATTTAGTATAGCTACACTCACAAAAATAGAGGAGCAAGATGCTATGTTAAAAGTAATGTCACTTCAATATTTTAGAGGGGTTCCCAACCTTTTTTGTGTTAAGTACCACCGAGTCATGGAACAATCAACCCAAACCGAAGTAATCAGACACCAAACAAAGTTGTGATATATTGGCTAACAATTTTTAATTGTATTTATTTCATGTATACTTTAATGTTGTATACTTTAATACTTTTAGGTTGTCCCTGTTTAGGTTTGAATTAGCATATCACTTACTGCAATGCTTGCAGCACATTGTCTTTTAAGATTTTTACAGTTTAGCTGCGAAGCCGTGGATTTCACATTGTTGCGTCACAACAATGCAAGATCGGGTAAAATCTACGCTAAGTTTCAATTGCCACGCATTTTCTGCTGGTACTAAAGAATATTGAAAATAGCAGCACATGAAAACTCAACTGCCATCCAAGTACCCCTGGAAATTTTCAAGAAAACCCTTAAATTTTAACCGCATGCGAATCTCAATTCGAACCTAGAGAACTAGGCCTAAGTCAAATACCCCTTGAGCGAACAGAGAGAATTAATGAATTTACGTGCCCAACACAGATCTACGTGATGGAGGCTATTTGTTATAACAATACTCACAATTCGTCAATAAGAGTAAATGTCAAATCTTCATCTCTCGGAAATTCAACCGCCGTTCCCCAGCATTTATATATTTGCATTCGACTGTTGGTAGGACCTCGCAGTAGTTGAACTTTGACCCGTAGTCTATAAATACAGCACAAGAAATAATGATGGTGTTTCATCTCATTTTCTGTTTAATATATATGCGCGATTTTAAATATTCTTCTGTAACTAAGGTATAAATCGAACAACTAATGTTTCATTTCGTTGTTTGCAACTGTTTTGTTGTTTGTTATTATTTTCAGGTGTCAGTTTAATAACTTGGAATATATGTAAACTTTACCAAACCCAGTTCGTTAAACCGCGGGCAGAACAACAAATAAGAGCTTAAATATTTGAACACTAATGTCAAATAACCACCGCAGTGTGGGCAATTTCAGTCAAGTGTTCAAGAATTGTAGCAAACGCCATATGAAGGTATGTGCCGAATTATAAGAAAACATGGGAATTTGTGGTGAATTAACGGGCTTCTTTACCATCAAAAAAGCGACTTTTCCCATCTTCAAGTAGGCTTACTGATATTAAAATCCATTGGTTTATTAGATGATGTTAAAACAATATTTTAGAGAAGGCTACAAAGAACAGTTCGGTAAACATACTTGTCTGTTATATGAAGTTTTGGCGTTGTATCGTATAGTTTCTTGTAATCTTGATCTCGATATAAGAACATAGCTGCTTCGAATACGCCATATCCCGTTTTGTTGCCAAGAAACACAGTAACTGGACTGAAATAAAGAGAAATAAATCACTTAATAAAAGTTGTTTCGTGGATTTTGAAATTTGAAAACGTTATTTCTTGTTGCTGGTATCAATGATTATATCATTATATATCATTTTTATCGATTGTCAGAATGAGTGTAAGCTCCCAAATGAACAATATTTCCGAAATTGGCAATACTTGTGCAAAATCAACAAAACCCTTTGGTAATATAATCTATTTGTAAATAGATTTGAAGAACTGAATTAATCATATTTGAGGTATAGCGTTAATTTCTTACATATTTTTCAAACATAAGAAATCTTTTTTAAATCGAGGATAATTAATAGATACCCACCAAAAGGAACATTTTACCAATGTATATACCAAATGCGTAGGAGTTAATATTTCAGGTTATACGAAAAAGATATGACATTATTGGCCAAAGTACAGAGTATGCCACATCGACTGGGGAGCTATTTTATTGAATATACCCCCGACGAAATGTGCATTCTTTCTAGCACACGCCATGTACACGAGATAGAAAATTGACTAATGTTTCGGCAGTCTTTATAAAAGTGTAAAATGAGATTTTAAGTATAATGATACGAAACCCGAGTTCTCAAATAGCAATACATAATTCAAGCTGTGTATTAGTGTTTATCGCCAAGGTAAGTTTCAACAGCTAATCGCATTTGTCAGTATTATATATACGTATATTGTGTCAGCTTCTGTCGTATTGAACGCAAAATTTAGATATCGTGACATGTGATTTTAATAAACTATAAAAAACAACACAAGTTTTAAATTTTACTAAATACAACTTATAACATCTCAAGCAAATTGAAATATTATTTAATAAATTCAGCTCTGTTCTGTTTGGAGATAGTTCATGTCCTGCTAAACGAAAGTTATCCTTCTTATATTGAGGATTTATCACCCTAATTCAGGAAATGGTATGTTGTTATTATCGGTCTGTTATTGAGTTCTATGAACACGAAAGTTGACGTTAAATTACGTGGCTTAATTGAACATCGATTTAATGGAACGTTTTCTAATCCTTTTAGAAGGCGCCATAAGATGGTATTGACGTTGTTAGTGCTTGTCAATGAAATCCTATTGAACATGAAAGTATAAAGATATCGCCGACAAGGTTTAGTTCATTTACGACACATACTCAGCAACAAATTCTTGAATGATGCAGTTAAACATGGTTACGTGGAGGCAATAAAAAGATTACACTGTGATTAATCCCAGGCTAAGTCTTTGACTTCTCGCATATGCACGGAAGTGGATCTAATATGAACCAACCGTGCCTTTATTGTACGTTTTAAGCACGCAAAAACTTGACTGAAGCGTTGGAATGGTTGTACTGAAACGAAATATTTGAGCGAGCTCACGACAAATGCACATAAAACATAATTTAGCGTTGTATGGAGCCAAAATATTAGTTGATATTATGATTTTTTTGTTATTCAAGTTAACTGGTCTGATTGAGAAATTCCGCCTACTTGTGTGGTCAAATCTACTTGTGTTTTTTTTTTTACTTGTGGTTACACTTTACGAGACGTATGTTTCACCACGTTGAAAACATGTCTCATCGTCTAATTTAAGTTCAATTTAACGACACTCCAGCAAGAGTAATCCATTTTAGCTTAACGAGGTATATTCACAATTATCCTATCTCTTAAACTTCATGTCCAAGTTGGTTTTGACAGTTTACTAGCAATAAAAATTTCAATGAGAAAATGCATGTAACTTGATCCTAGATAGATGCTAATAAAATAATCCATAGATGAAGGCCGTATTCAATATGATGGTGAAATGCTAAGCATGGGACAAAATATTTTCATCAAGATTTCGCGAGACCAGGATTGAAGAAAATAAATTAAATTTGATGATATTCCCGAATCACTAAACTAGGAGACACGAACACCATATATATCCATATTTCAGGCGCTTGTAAGTTTGCAATCACGTCCATTAGCCATGACATATAAAATTGTGAAAATAACTTCATTTTGATTCAATAATAAAACCTGTTCGTTGATAACAACGTGTACTGAGCAGTGGCATGCTTTCACAGTGATTCTTTTTTAAATTGTTATTACTTTCCCTCGTCTTACTCACAGTTGTTATTACTTTCCCTCTTCGCAGATTTTTGAAAAAGTTTAGGCGATGTTTTACATGACTTTGCTTGGAAAATATTTGAAGATTTTGAGATCTACATATTTCATATACTAATGCCCCGGGGCTTTCGCTTAAAGCTTTTCAAGTGATCTTTTGACTCCCGTTTAGCGGCAATATTGAAAGGTTATCTAATGAGACCTATAATATTACGGATGATGATAGACGGCTTCGAATCCCATTCTCTAACCATGTGTGGACAATGAAAAGCTTGTCATTTTTTCTATTTAAAAGACTCGAATAGCTCATTATTTTTCACATAGCTTTGATTCAATAAAACGCATTATTGCTCAGTTTAAAATATATGTCATAGGTCAAATTAGACTCTCAAAGCCACCGACACTCTATTTATATTATTGATTTGACCGTTACGGAAATGTAGCTCAGAAATATGATTCAGAATTCCTACATAACTAAAAAAAAACTAAGGACTAAATAATTCGACGAATCGGTTACCTAAGGTAAACAAGTAGTCAACTAAAATTTATCAAGAAAAATAGTATGTGATATCGAGTCTTAAGTAGGGCTGGGAATGGGTAACCGGTTAGCCGATTTCAGATGGTTAACGGTTACGATTTATTTTAACCGTTAACTGACATCTCAGGTACAAATCATCTTCATACCGTACAATTTCTACAAATATGGTTACGTCATCGCAAATTTATCTCTTGTGGCATTTAACTCAAAAGAATATTTCTAACTGTGTGGGTAAGGACTCAATAAATATGAAAAATAATGGAAGTACCAAGATTGCTGATTATGGAAATTTGACAATGATGAATTCAGAATCAGTTTTCGGGTCGATTTCGAAATATGCCGTTTTTCTGTAGCCTATATGATATATATCTAAGTAAAATTTGCACATCGAACACTGATAATTTGTCGCATAAATGACGTTTAACAACGGAATCAGGTTTTCTAAAATACTTCCACACGCCCGAACCACGCTGCTTATCTCTTGCAGCAGAGCAATCATGAAACTATCTCGATTCGTGAATAATTTTAATAAGAGATACCGGGATAAGAACACGTGAGATTGCTTTATAAGCATTGTGACGTAACAAGCTGAAATTATAAATTATTACTTCAAACGTCACGCGGCGGTTAATTGGTTAACCGGTTAATTTTACCCGGTTAACGGTTGTTATTTTCCCCGAAATTCCCAGCCCTAGTCTTAAGTATCAAACATAATCAAAATGGAAGACCTTTTTCCTAATTCCTATTTCCATTGTTTTGTTCAATATACAGCGAAACACGCTATGACAAACTTCACCAAAAAAAATAACAGACACCATGATTTTGATTTATATGTACTCGTATGTGTTATTTTTGGTAAAAATGATGATAAATTTCTGTTTCAATTTTAAATTTGAATCTACTCATATAATTTTTCAAGATAGCAAAACAATTTAGGGAATTTCTATTTTTAAAGCGTCATAATTTGATTCAATTGGTTATTGCGGCCAGACAGGTAATTAAGCCGCAAAAGATGTGTCATGCTCGCGTTTGTTTATTATTATACACCATGTCTCTATTGAGTATTACTTTATGATCTATACATGCCACTCGTGCCTCGATTCAACACTGTAAAATATGCTTAAAAAACTCCCTGCGGTGTTTATGAATGTAGTTATAATGATATTTTATCCAAAATATCACGATGGGAAAGATGAAGTAAAAACCTCGTTTGTTATTGAAAAGATGGCAACTTGAATTTTCTGGATTATTCATTTATATTTGAGATCCCTGATTTCTACTTGCGAAATTTGAGGAGATAAAAAGCAAATCGCTAAACATTGTAGTTGTTGAGTGAAACAATTAAATAACAGTGTGCCACATATACTCCTAAAAAGCACAAGAAAGTTAGAGTCAGAATCTCTCTGGGTTCAATTTTTATGAGGTATTGCCTCTTGAGGAGTGACTCTGTTTGGAAAACACGTCTCAAAAACATCACCTTCAAAATTGCTTCGTGTTTATTCGCATGTCAGCAAATGCTTTGGAGCAATTTGTCACATAATTGTAGAAATATCCTAATAAAACTAGATAGCAGTTTCCAAGCTGATTTGGGATTTTATAAGATAATACATTGAGAAGCCTATTATGTTTATTGTGAGTTTATGACTCTAATCACTTATAATAGTCGCGTCTACAGGTATTGATTCACCAGGTGCAATGCAGAATAATTTACATGCTATTCATCGATGTATATTCTGTAAATGCAATCAGAAACTACTTAAAAATACAATTAGGAGACATAAAACATTTATGTAATGCGATTCTCCGTTGATGTATTTTCATGCTAATTCATGCCTACCTTATTTGTGGAACAAAATTCACTCCAACTAACAGTTTCATTGGATAGGTGCAAGTCCATGGTATAGTTGCTCTAACAATTGGCACTAAACCGTCGGTTGGTGATGGAGGGCGCAATATATGAACGTTGTTGGAAAAAGTAGCATGTGTATCATTCTGTAAAAGAAAAGAAAGAATAATTGACAAAACAACCGATCATGTCTTGAATTTTGAAATGTATAATTATGGCCGATCATTTTTTATATTTATAAACAAAAATTCTGTGGGATTTTATATAATTTGTCTCATTTTATCTTGAAAGCACTATGAAATATATCAAGTGCCCTTTGACTTCATAAAATTGGAGTTCAAAGGTTAGAATCAATCGCTATCAATAATTTCTTCTTCGTGAAATTGATTTTGTAGTCAGTTTGTGAACTAATAAATGTTTCAGCAGTTTAGTTTTTCTGCTTGAATGTGTTGTCGGATTGCCAGATACTTGTAAAATATATACATATTTAAAGTAGGATTTGGTTTAAATCAAAATCCGATTTTCCATTACTGCAATACTCGGTAATTTTATAAACTAAAAATATATATTGTACCTGTGTGAATTTAGTCCCACACGAAGTTAATCTTCCCTTCTGAGTACATAAAATAATATGAGTTTTATTCTCTTCCACTGACCCATCACATCTTTGTAGAAGAGTGAGTTGTTCTTTCCCTTTCACTCCCCAGTTTTTATTCAACCAAGATTTTGCAAGTGCGACGCACATGCTGCTTGTATAACATTGAAGTTCAACTGCAAAAAATATTCAGATACTCAGCAAAATGAAATGTTTTATTTTTGCATTGAACCTTTTTTCTATTGTAGCAATAGGAGTGTGAAAATATATATATATGTCTGTAATTAAACAACTATATAATCTCGGTATTATTTTAGCATTTTAAGCGCACGGGCTGTTGGTAATTTTGCTTTCGACTTAAATTTATATCACATCCATTCTATTTATACAAAATCGTTTGTTGAGAAAACCCCCAAAAAAGTTAAAGATATATTCTGAATTATATATAAAATATCTGTTTTATACAAGATCCCAGTTTGTTTAAAATTCCGATACTATAGCCTATTAGTGCTACGTAGACACCATGAATAAATACAGAGACTGTCCATTTGCTGCAATCCAGACAAGGCAACAGATTCCGATAATTCCTATGTTAGTTTGAACCATCGTTATTTGTAATAAGTTGAATTTTGCAATTCATAGTCTAATTTGCAATTTATATCTTTAATATTTAATTAACATTATTCTGATTCAGTCTTAATAGATGATAATTTGCCCACGAAAGATATTTTATTTCGCGAACCATGCACGACAACCAATTCAGTTTGACCAAAAGTATTCGATTATTACAATTTTAATCACCGCTTTCAATTTAAGAAGGTATAATCCAGCACGTAAATGCCGGCTGTTGAACAAATAAACATAAACAGTATAATTAAGTGCTCTCAACATCTTCAATTGGTGTATTTAATTTGCAACTACGTCATTCTCACGATATAATTTGAACACCGTGACAATTTCCCAAATTTCAATTTTTTTTTTCAATAATTCCTTAATTTTAACATATTTATTTGTAAATTATGTCATATGAACGTGGACAAAATGCGTCAGACTTTAGAACAGTGTAAGAGTAATATTTGTAAAATGCGATCATTTACTTTTGATGACAATTTGAATGTTGTCATTTTCAAATTCTGTGTCATAATTGTGGAATCTTGTTTTTAAATGATCCAAACAAACATGAATTATGAATAATTGTTCAATAAATTGCGGAAGTATTTCCAAAATTTATATCATTTTCACCATACATAGCATTTACAGTTTGTTGTGTTTTTTTTTCCTTACTGAGAAATGATTTTTCGTGTAGAATCAAACAAACACCCCACCGTAGGACAATTCTAGTACACTTTGGAAGGTACTAAATGTATCAGTTAAATATATCTATGAAACGAGTTTCTGTTTGTGTTTTGTCTACATCATTAAAATATAAAGTCGAATAAATCGTTCGTTGAAAATATAATAACATGATAACTAGAAAACTTGAAGGCATTTTCGCAAAAAAGTGTTTAAAATTCTGGTGTTGTTTGTATATGGTAATCTATATACTGGAATTCCACTCAACCATGTGGCAACTACATTTATAGTTCAGTACATTTTGATCTGCAGAGTGAAAATTCAAAAAATCAGATAGCGTACCATGTTGTGTCGATGGAGAAAAATCTCTCAATCTTTCATCAATTTCTTCTTCTTCCTCTTCTTCTAAATCCAATCCTCGAAGAAATTCATGTTCATCTGCTCGTGCCAGGAAGACGACAAAAAACGAAACTAACACAAGACGGAGTGACGTAATTCCAAGGGTACCACGACGTAATTCAACAACAGCCATAGCCTAGTTTAATTACTAGTTATTGAGGCCTAACGTACGTCGATCCCAACTGTAATTACACAAATAAGAAGCAATTTTCAAGTAACAAACAACATAATCCTTTTGCATGTCACGACGTAAAGATGCGACGTCAGGCACTGTAGTGCTCAAGAACGGTTAATTGCCTATGCTCTCTTTTTATTTGTTTCTTTGATTCGTTTTCTATGTTTATCAAAGGGTGTTCTAGATTCGATGACCGAGCAATCCGTTATTCACGACACCAGTCATTTTGATGTAAGAACTTTAATGTTGGATGTTTTTTTACTGAAGTGACAAATAAAATAACTCTAACTTTGAAATTCAAACGTAATAACTTACACAATAATTCAACACATTCATTGTGTTAGCTTTGTAACTTTCCTAAATTGACACGAAGGACAAATGATTGTCAACACTATCCTAGGAACTCCATGAAAACTATTAAACGAACCAGCCATAGTTGATTTTATTTTAGTAATACGCACATTATCTACCGTTAAATGTAAGTGCTGTAAGTGTAAGTTCTTTTTGACTTACACACCCAGTTGCTATGATGGTATACTTAGATACATATTATCTGCTAAAAACTGAAATACAGTGACCTAACGTAGTTTACATTACTAAACTAGCTTTCAATGTACAAAAAATGCTCTCTCTATCATGAACGCTATGCTTCGTTTTTTTTTTCATAAAAACTGCCTTTTCATTCCCATTTTAACATTAAGTAAATAATAAAAGAATTTTATATTATTCATACAACTGAAATACAATTCGCAAGGCTCCAGGCTATAAAATTAAAATAAAAAGTCAAAGATGAAATTTGAACTTCCCACGTCCAACCACAAACATATCCGCACAAATAAAATCGAAGCTTACGGTTGAAGGTAATAGTATTATCTACAAGCAAAGGTGCGGTTATTTTATGTTTGTTATGGTGTCAAAATAACACTATATACTGAGAATATTTTTTTTCTTGTTCAATTTAAAGTGCATTTTTGTCAAGGTTGCATGCCAAAAATGAGTTTATGAGCTTAGTCCGTGGGTCTACGTTTAAGTTCAAGTTTGATTTTGAAATGAGCAACCGAATTTTTGTTTGTTTGTATCGCTATCGCCAAATTCGTATATTGCGATAACACATGACAGCAAAATGATTTCAACTCAAACTTCATTTTAGCTTCTATGTGAGCCCACTTACAAATCATATTTTTGGCTCTATGAAAATAACATCGGCATTATTTTGTCGATGTTTAATTCTGCTTTGTTGATCCACTAAATAGGAATGCAATAAATACGTATAAAGTGGACCATATGATTAAAATGTAGCATTTAACATCTCTTTCTTAAAGTTTTTTAGAAAGTTTCTAGCGCGACATCCTTCTTTTTATTCGTTATCTGATGAATTAATTTGCCGTGAGAAGAAACTGATGAGAGATTTTTAAAATTTTGGCTTTGTGCCACCGTGCGGAGATAAAAAGATATGGAAGTTAGAACACGATTTTTGTTTATCTAAACTATTTTCATAGACTTCTCGTTTTATCGAGGGATTAAATTTGATTGATAGTATCTGTGATATTATTCTAGTTTCCTTCATAATAAATTTTTTTTATTTTTGATTAAAAATAAATATTCCCTACATTTTTAGTTATGAAAGCATTGCCCGTTTCTTCGAATTGTCACTTGTGTATGCTCAAGGATATATTTGGTCACATATTGTTATTCGAAAAATATCATTTTAGCATGTTTTCTGTCATTTGAAAACTGATAAAAATTGTATAAAGAATCTTCCCATTACGCGACTTTTCAAATTTAACTATTTTTCTAACAACGAAGGTCATAACGGAAAATTCTTTCAATATCAAAAACCTATCATCGTATCGGGATATCTGCGGCAATGCGGTGACCAGTTCTCGGGAAAAATGCCCTCGGGGCCCGGTGAGATGAGCACAGATATACGATTCTTACAACACCCTCATTGATTTTATACACAGAGAAAAATGGAAAAAACGGAAATTTTATTTTTAATAATACCATCAAATACCTATTTCATTTAGTACACCTTATTACAAACGTCGATTTAGGGAAGTGGTCCGTACCAATCAGTCACAGCGATAAAGGCTAAAAAGTAAAAACTCACAAAGCCGCTTATAGGATTGGCAGTACAACGCTACAACTATATATACAGAACAAATGCAGCAATATTACGAATCACACTTATTTTATATACCGATTGAACTTGTCTTATTTTATTTCTTATAATTTACAAACAAGCAATGTATTCATACCATTCATTTTAAACAAAAAAATTATAATCTCACATTCTTTTTTTTATAAAAATTGGATATAAACATTTATTATTTACATCTTAAAAATTAGTACTCAAAATATTTCATAATGGTTTCAGCAATTCCATTTGCACATTTTATTACTCATCTGCTATCCTTATGTTTATGCTACTCTTTAAACACGGTAAAAACCATGGATATTCATATACTGACGAATTATAAAGCTTACAATTAAAATTTATCATTCGAAGTAATTCCAAAACCTCAATATATTTTTTTTATCTTACCTACCTAATCTATACTTCAGTAACATTTCTCCACATTGCACAATCAATAGTATTCTTTTCTAAGAATAGTTCGACAGCAAAACAAATACGTATATCCCAACTGCTACCACGAATGAAAATATTCACGTAAACATTTCGCTGAATGGAGGCTTTCTAATTTTTATTAAATAAAATAATTATTCTTGCTATTATATGAGCAAACCAGTTTTTAGTATCCCTTCGATTTCAGAAATTCAAAATATAAATACTTTGTTTGATGCAGATCTAAGACCTATAAATAAGACATTTTTTGATTGAATAACATAAACTTCCCCGAAGTTTTATGATGAATTTAAAAATAATATTATTCTAAAAGTTGTCGAATTTTTTTGCTCCGTGTTAATTTCAAGTAATATACTATGACATAATGGAATGCGGTAATCGGATACACATTCAACTGAAAACATTTCGGAACATATTCATGTCTTTAATAATTCAAATTGCACATATTATTCGTTCGGTATTATTCTCATTTCAGATTATATACATCGTCCATCATCCTTATAATGTTAGACTAAAAATTCATACTCAATGACAATCACAACTGTTGTCAAACCGTTCTTGATAGCGTGGATATACCCCCTGCCGTTTTTCTCTTCTGCCGCTCGCGGGAAATTTCCTCTACACGAAAATCAATTTTACGGCTTGACAATGAAATTGCTTGCTATTAAGTGATTTATTGCCATTCAGACTGTTGCAATTAAAATACCAGAGGAGCGATGCGTCAATGAAAAACGTTTGATTATACATCGGATGATCCAAACTAGAGACAGCTCTAATTTCAATGAAACATCTTCAACCCGCAGATAGACCTTAGCTTTTTTTTCATGTTGTCCTCAAACTTTGGGGGCTGAAAACTTAAAAACCTGTAAATGTATTTTATTTGGTTTCCGTCATCATATTTTCGAACAGGATTTTCAAACTTAGCCCAAAGAAGAAGAAAAAACGCTAAGGCGTCATATTGGGCAGTTCATAAGTTTCATATCACACTTTAACGTTTCTTCTGGCCAAAATCAGACTTCCTCGGGCAAACGGTTTACAACAATAAAAATAAAGGACAAAATCACAGCTTTTCGTACGGGTTGCGTATGTGAGTAACTCAGACAGTTGATCGTTTTCAGAAGATTGTAAATTATGCTTAGATTTATATCTAAAACGTAGTAATATCACTGTTCATATCAATATGAAATACTAAAAATCAACCTGGGTTTATAGGATTTGGCCTTTGGTGTGGAGAATAGATCACAGTAATTTCATAATTTCTTACGTTACACCCGAATGCGTTTATATTTGACAATTAGTTACCTCAGTATTCTACGAGTAGTTCAATTGCCCGGCGTGCATTTCTCTCCAAAACATCTAACCACCGACTGACTGTCTGACTGACTTTAACCACAACTATTTACATGTGCAAGGCGATTAAGATTGCAAAAATGGCAGATGCCAGATTGCCAAAATTTTTGATGATCGCTAATATCCTGCTGTAATATGAACGCGCTAAAGACATCCAATCATTATGATTGCCTGGGGTGATTTTCTTCACTACGCACATGGTGATGTAAAGATTTATGACAGCATTTAATATTTCCATATAACGACGGGATAAAAAGTATTTGTATTGATGACCTAGGTCCTAGGATGATATACTAATGAATTGTTACTTTTATCTTCGATTTTTTAATCCCCGATGATTGTCCGGTGATAATATTACAAACTTACTCTTTATTACTGTTGACCATTCTAACTGGGCGCGTGTCACATAAAGCATTATAATTTGTGTTATTAATCTCACTAATTATTTATAATGCATTGTTATATTTACCCTTGTGACGTCATTATCAAAAGATGTATCGAGGGAGACATCTTCGTTTATTACTACAGGGCGTTCCCACAAACAGATAGTTGTTTGTTGTTGTTTACTCCAGGAAATTCAAGGGATAATCACATAACTGCATGATATTTATACGGCGATTTCAAGAAATGAAAACGCAACGCAGTGTCTCACGTACTTTCCAATTTTGGACACGACGTGTACAAATGATTCGTTTTGTTATTGAACATGAAATGTACATATTGATCGTTTTGTTATAATGCTGTCGTTGTTTTTTGAAAATCTTCGGGGTTAAAGATTAATTAAAAAATTGCGCACTTTGTGGGGGCTCCTCATTCACGTTAGTGGTCAGGTGAAGGAGCAAAGACTGCGGTACCGGTAGATGGCGGTAGTCTACTGCAACAGATTGCATACCCGTACTACCTCGTTTTGGTTTTCGTGTCCATATATTTGAGCATCGCTCTGTTGGTATTATTAAAACTGATAAACAGATTAATAAAACTATTAGTTTATTTTTAAGCAAGGCCGTGCTGTGGAGTTCGGTGCTCGTTTAGTTACTTATTTTTATTATTATCACTCATTACTATCTACT